CTGTCCCTACCTGCCAATAAATAAATTAAAATGGCGATCGAGCTGCTAGGCACAGCCAGCTCTCGCTAATAGACCAGCTCCATTTTACCTTCACAACAAGTCTGCAACCAATCGTGATGTTACCAACCACAGACTTGGAAGTGAAATTCTTGTTCAATGAGAAGAAATGGAAAGCTTATACGGGTCGATAGCATAGGGGTAAAAGAAAAAGCCAAGGGTAAAAACAACCAGTGAGCACTGACCAAGACTATCGCATTGCAATCCAAAATGGAAATGATATGTCTTACCAGTGAACACCCGACATAGCAAAGACATTTCTTCTATTAGGCTATTCACAATTCCTGTGCATATTATAATTTAACCTATACAGGTAAAAATAAAAATACACCATGGTTCAGCCAGTGCAGCAACCTGTCCAAAGTGTGGACAACGCTCTCGCTATGACATCCAATGCGTCCAATGGGTAAGCGCTCATGATAGGATTTCAGCCACATTGTGACCCATCAAAGTTCTTGTGTCTTCCTACACTGCAGGGAGCTAAAGTAGCGTACTGTCCACCCAAACTGTTGACATTTGTACAAGTTAGAATACACAGTATGTTATCCTCTCCATTAGCTATGCTTGGATCAAAGTCTTATTTTAATATGCAACCATTTGCATATACAAAAATCCAATGCTAAATAAGCATCCTATGTGCAAAGTAGTCATTGAAAATCGTCAATATTATGCCTCAAGTAATCCAGTTCAAGCTATTTACAACTTTACCTAGCTCGTTCTCATCAATAAATGGTGTTGAGATATACCTTGGCACACTTAAACTACTTTCATGGTACTGCTTGCTAAGCTTAACATGGGTTCTACGGCAAGATCACGGCTAACCCAATTGTTTCCATCACTACTTGATTTGAAGCGATGTTATTTCAATTGGAAAATTTAAAGCAGGCTTTGACCGATGCATTGGGTTATTCCTAGTTCTAGCGGCAAAATTGAATTGAAACAAGACAAAAAACTTTGACCAGTGTAGGAATGAGCCCTTACTTTGAAACTACTATAGTGTGGAGATCATTTTTTTAGAATAAATCGGAGAGTAGCCTGAGCTAAGCGCTAAACTACATTGCAATACGGAGGCATTGATCTCAATACTCATTCTAGCATGTGAGCAATCCCAAAACCGCTGCCTAACATCAAGATATTCTTAGAATCAATGGGAGAGTAACCTTTATTATGAGCTAGAGTCATTACAGTAGAGAGATATTGATCTTAAAGCTCATTCTAGGATATGAACTATCCAAAAGCCGCTGGCCAACTTCTAGATATTCTTAGAATCAATCGGCGAGTAGCCTTCGTTATGAGCTAGAGTCATTACAGTAGAGAAATATTGATCTTAAAGCTCATTCTAGGATATGAGCTATCCAAAAGCCACTGGCCAACTTCTAGGTATTCTTAGAATCAATCGGCGAGTAGCCTTCGTTATGAGCTAGAGTCATTACAGTAGAGAGATATTGATCTTCAAGCTCATTCTAGGATATGAGCTATCCACATAACTTAGATAACTTGACTTAACATAACTTAAATAAACTTGCTATCGTAAGGAAACGAAATAAATAGAAATCTACCTCAACATGCAAGCATGAGAAGACAAATCATCCAAATAACTTGCTAAGTATAAGTAAATTGAATCACGATTGCAACATAGACTAATTTGTACTATGTGCAACAAATTGACAACCATCAAAATTTTGTATTTGATCGTGGTAAACGGCACCAGGAACGAATAATTTTACCATTGATCTAACGTAAAATGAACAAGAATGACACATAATTCACCCAGACATGAGAAGAAGTTGTGGCCAGCCAGGGCTTACTAGAGAGAATTGCCTCTTACAAGTCCTTGAGCCGGCTTAGCTTCTAAATAAACTCAGTTCATAACCTCTTGAATATTTATTGTTTTGAAGCTATCGCTTTTGCACGCTGCAAATCGATAATCATAACAATTTTGCACATGATCACAGAGAGAGATGTTTTAATGAACAACATTAATGGATCGATTTAAAATAATATGAATAAAGTACATTGGGTACAACCGGTTATGCAAATTCTCAACCGGTTCAATGGCATCATCACTGAATCAATCAGGAAGACGTATGTTGCATATAAAATGTACAGCAATAGAATGGGAGTTTTAAGCAGCAATGTTAGCTTGTCTCTCTACTAAGTTTGCTTTAAAAATGGCTACCAGTAAATTAAAGGGTAGGATATGGTAGCCATAACATAACAGCAGCTATTCATGATGGATGCTGCTATAGATTGCATCATGCTTGTGAATCAAGTTGTTTTTAGTTCGTTGCACTTTTAACTTGTATTTATACTCCGCAACAGCTTAATACGATTAAACACCAAATCCCGACTGTAATCCATGAATTCGAATCCATCCTTTCGAACACTTAACTGCATCCATACCCGTTAGCATGCAAGCAATGTTAAAGTAGCGCGATTTATTTGCCGTATGCTTTAAAGTCAATATTAACCACTAAGACAATAATATTCCAGTTTATGAATAATTCATAGGTCGCAATTACCATATGCATTAATTAACTATCAATTATTATTGCTACACCAACTGGAAATTATTCAATTATGACAGCATTGAAAAAAATTAACAAAGCTCTGAGTACATACAGAAATCTTGATAGTTCAATTTCATCTACCGCAGATCTACTCGAATTTATAGCACTTTGTTACTTATATTAATTAATTATTAGCGTTGTCATTATCAATCAGTCTGCTACTGTAAGAATAGTGTAGAAAAATTTGAAACATGTCTTCTCAAAAATCAAACAGCGGTGAATGGATCTTTCATCCAAGTGGCTTCGAAGGCTCCAGTAAGGGCGTCGACATCATGCGTAATCCAAAATTTAACAAGGTGCTGTAACTTAACTTGAAGAGCGCGTATACTATCAACCAAATTCTATCTCACTTTGCCAGTTTAATTTCATTTGTGTTCCTGTGATTAATATATGCCAATTATCATCCAGTAATCTGCGATGCACGTACAAAAGCAACGACCTTTATGCACTAATTTATTACATAGTTTTCTTTCGTATACTGTAGTTGTTTCTATTCGGTGATACTCTTTTAGGTTGTAGATCCATACGATAGTTCTGTTGCAAGCATGTAATCCTCTTAATTTGTTGTTCTACCTAGTGTGTAATCAGTAGGAAACTAGGATATAAACGAAAAAATCTAGAAACTTTTAATCATGAAAATAAAACAAAACGGAGCAAACTAGTTTTAAAAGCCATCTAGGTTATCAAGTTAATCGATATTGTAGGATAAGGTATTAACTTTTTGTCACAAAGAGGGGGTAAATCCAGGAGAATAATTTTAAATCAGCCTCCGGTATGCCTTCTTTGCCAAAAATTTAAGTACAGCCACAAGGGAAGCTCAAATGCATGAGCTATGAATATCCAGATAGAAATGCAGTAGAACGTATGATTTCGTGATTGTTCTTCGTTTTTGCCACCCTGTACCCAATTTATGTTATGTAGAATATTCCTAATATGCTCCAGAAAAAGCAGCATTTAGGAAAGATTTCTTATACTTTGTTTGCAAGATAGTCCATATTCTACTGGATATTTAATCGCCTCCTCCCACCTCATCAAGCATATGACTTGATGATAAACCCCTTTAATGAGAATTCTCCATGAATTAGTCACTGTTCTATTAGCGGAAGATAGGATGATTATGATAGCTATCTGAATCATTACCTAATTAAATCATCAGCTTTCATTTTTTTCACTCTATGCTTTCTTTATCACACTAATTGCCCAAATTTACTTATTTTGAATAAAATTAGGAGAGGATTAACAGGCAAAAAGGTGTAGCGTATGCGAGTATATCTGCTTTATAAACAGTTCGACAATATGCCAGATAAAATTTTTCGCTCTTCTTTTAATAATTGTAGCTTAGTAAGTTGCTGAAAGCCTGACTTAAAATTTCCAGTATTTTTAAGCCTTTACCTTGCGTTCATTATTACACATTTATTTTGCTATTGCATCCGATAATAACTGCTCATAAACATCTACTCAATTACTACTATTCTATCTTTATCATTCTTTATAATAAAGTAAATATCGATAGGAGCTGCTAAAGGATATTTGTATTTGAGGCCCATTCTTTGCAATGGATACTACCAGCATATGTAATCATGGAAAAAACATGATACTTTGAATGCAAACGACGGAAATCTATAGATATATCTTATGTAGAATATAATGTAAATTACTCTATTTCTGCTCTATTTTGCAATGACATAAATAATAAAATTGTTTTTTGCAATAGATATTATATTAAATTTGACATGGTAGTAAGAATCCCTTGCGTATGATTAAGATCTACAGCTATACTTTGCGTGTTCATAAACTCCTACTATCCGCAGTCTACCACACTGATAAGTCAAATTTACTGAATTATCAATTTTATATAACCACTAATTCAGCCCAATTGATTTAGTATTACAGTAAGGCTATTATTAAATAGATATTTGTGCAACAGAATGACCATTTGGAGGCTAAATTTTAGCAATAAAAATTAACAAATTACAGATATTTCGGGTCTTACACAAATGCTACATGAAACGAATAGCAGACCTTCCAATAAATGTATTGCACTGAAGTAAACTTCAATGCAGCTTGCTAAGGCATTTATTAGACCTCTTGATATTGGAATTATTAATTGTCGATGTCAAAATTAAATTACTTTAGTCAATACATAACATTCATATACAACTTACATATTATCACCATGTAAAATAAAAAAACTATAGTTAAAAGTTTAGTAAATTCATCATTTAGAATTGTTACCGATTTTGTATAATAGCTAGCATTAGTTTATTTTCGTATATACTCAATTGTTTCATGTTGCATTAACCAGTTTTCGTAATATTTTTGCCCATAGTATATTAATGCAATAATTACATCTACTGTACTTATAAATAGGGAATGGCTTTTACTTTGAAAGAGCGCCAGCTGATTGGAATCCATGGTTTGCTACCACCTACAGTATTAACTCAAGAGGTGCAAGTTCAGCGTGTAATGAATAGTATTAAAGTAAAGCCTAATGATTTAGAGAGATTCATCTACTTGATGAGTTTGCAAGATCGAAATGAAAAATTATTTTATCGAGTAATTCAAGATCACCTGGAAGAATTAATGCCTATAATCTATACACCTGTTGTCGGTTTAGCGTGTCAGAAATACGGTCATATATTCAGAAGACCTAGGCAAGTCAATACAAGATTATTACTTTATAAACACTCTTAATACTGTCATAACTACACTATCAATCAACTACAAATGAATACTTTCTGCTTCAATTGTAGGGGTCTTTTTATATCTATTTATGATAAAGGAAACGTCAAATCGATATTAAGATCTTGGCCAGAAATCGATGTTAAGGTAATATTACCTTTCAGACAAGTAGACATGATTAATTGAACACTTTATAAATTTTTACTGATTAAAATAACGCTGTTCAGATAATGCGCGTAATATATTAAGTATCTTGTTTTTTTAGTTATATAAATTTACTAGTTATTTGTCTACAAGTAATTAAATATTGCCAAAATTCACGCAATTTCTCTAGGCTATTGTATTTACGGATGGTGAACGTATTCTAGGTCTAGGAGATCTAGGCTGCTACGGAATGGGAATTCCTGTTGGCAAGCTATCTTTATATACAGCTTGTGCCGGAGTGAAACCTTCTCAATGCTTACCAGTAATGTTAGATGTTGGAACAGATAATAAGGTATTTACATTGAATTGAAAATAGCAAAGCAATCAGTTAGTTATGAACTTATTCTGCTTGTACTCGCAATAGGAATTACTCGATGATCCTTTCTACATTGGAATCCGACGTCCACGGGAAAGAGGGCCAGCATATGATGAACTAATTGAAGAATTTATGCAGGCAGTCGTCGAAAGGTTACTCTTAATAAAAAAATAGATTATCTCTAACAGCATCTAACACTAGCATAACTACTCCAAAAACGTTTAAATTCCAGATATGGTGAAACAACGCTAATGCAATTTGAAGATTTCGGAAATAGAAATGCTTTTCGATTACTAGATAAATTTCGAAATCGATTTTGTACTTTTAACGACGACATTCAAGGTAGTGTGCCTCCAAGATTATTTATCCGATTACTCTAATAGTGAATAATAATTTTGGCATGATATTCATATCTCGTTGCAGGAACTGCTGGGGTTACGGTTGCTGGTTTACTAGGTGCTATGCGAATAACGAAGAAAAGCCTTGCTGATAATGTATTCTTGTTTCAAGGAGCTGGAGAAGTATGCAATAGCAATGATCTCTTCTTAATCGAGTCATAAGAAATTCATCTAGAACTAAACTTATACGCAAGAAATCGGTTCAATTTCACAATACAATCTTAGTGCGATAATAATTGCTAAATGATTTTTATACACAAGGCTGCTATTGGCATAGCAAACTTGATTGTTAGTGCGTTAATGGAAGAAGGACTGGCTGAAAGCGATGCTAGAAAGAAAGTATGGCTAGTAGACTCCAAAGGCCTGGTTGTCAATGTACGATATCATTTTAAATATTAGTTGAAATTCTGTTTTCTTATTTAATGTAGTCCAGCTCTGTGACAGTGTAACTAGTGTATGCTATAATTTACCTTGATTGATTACCTTAATTGCAGAATCGTTCCAAAGGAGGCATTAATGAACATAAGCAGCCATTTGCTCATGATCACAAATACATTCCTACATTAGCCGAGGCAGTAAAAGTAATAAAACCGACAGCAATTATAGGTATAGGAATAGTGTAAAATAAATATAAAATTTTGCTATGATTTTAAAGAAATATACCCCTTTACATAAAGATGTCTGCTGAGGAAATTATTATCGTTTTTTTAAACTACAAGGTGTCGCAGCCATTAGTCGAGCTTTCACTAAGGAAATTATAGAAGATATGGCAAGAATAAATGAAAATCCAATTATATTTGCTTTAAGTAACCCTACTGCAAAGTCTGAATGCACCTTTGAAGAGGCCTATCAGTACACTAATGGCAAGTGCATCTTTGCTAGTGGTAGCCCATTCCCTCCAATTACCAAAAAAGATGGAAGCCAGATTATTCCTGGACAAGGAAATAATGCTTATATATTTCCCGGAGTTGCATTAGGAGTCATAGCAGCTGCTTCTAAAACTATCCCTGAATCGACGTTTTTAATTGCCGCAAAGGTATGTAGAACAAGATTAATTAGCAATCAATTTATACTGTATCGATGTTGCCATGCTCATGAAAATTCGTTATACCTATTAATTCAGATTTGTCAGATTTTTGATTGGTTTCTTTATTCATCTTTTTTTACCAATAACAACATTGGTTTACAGTCTTTGGCCAATCAAGTTACGGACGAAGACTTGAAACAAGGCAGAGTTTATCCACCATTAACAGACATTCGCAAAGTCTCACGTAAAATTGCCATCGATGTCGCGGATTACTCTTACAACATTCATTTATCAAATCGACTACCCAGACCTGCAAATACAGCTGAATTGATTGACTCATTTATCTACTCCACTGATTATGAGTCTTTCGTTCCGCATACATACGAATGGCCATCACTATAAAGTATTAAATGCTGCATGATGAAAGATTTCAGAAAGGTCAAGAGTATATCATGTGTATTTCGGAGTAGGAAAGATGAATCAGTTGTTACTCGCATGGACCGCTAATTCTTTTTCTAAATGTATACTACTTCGGTGATAAGTATGAATTGTCATCATTCCATCATTACAGATCACCAAAAGCCATCTTTAAATTAATTCTAGGTAAATTTTAGTCAAATTGCTATAATTAACGGTTTTATTTATTTCCACTACGTTGTGTACTTACTACACCGGCAAGCTTTCAATTTAATGTTAGTATCCCTATTACCATCTCTATCTTTTAATTGCAAAGACTAATGAGATTTAATTATCATGCGATAATATTTACTGGTACTTTAATGCCATGCCCCTCAATTGTGTCTGATGTATTGTTCATTTTTTCTAAATAAATTAAAATTCGGATGCTATTATATGATGTAAAAGTTATTACCGCAATGAAATTGAGCATAAACGAGCTAGAGCTGCATGTGTCAATTACGATAATTCTTGAACTGTTTTTACGTACCAAGATATGAATTTCAAGCTATTACAGAAGCCAGCATGAGTAGTTCCCTTCAAATATGATGATTTATCTATGCAACTGCCTAATCTGATCAGTTAAATCCAAGTATCTACAACGTCCATTCATCATAAAGTACTTCATACAGTCTGGAAAGAAAGGCCGAATCATTCTTTTCTAACACTTTCGGGATGAGAAAATGACGTGTCAATTTCTATCCACATTTACAAGATTATCAATGTGCAAATTTTAATCTTTTATTTTTCAAACTCTACTACATTAAAGAGCATGAAAATTACGGCCGTTAAGGCTACTGTGCATCCGTGATACTTATATCGTAGTGGAAATTCTCCTTAATCAACAAGTCCTCGTGCAAGCACAATCAGCTTGTTGAACCTTTAATGTCCTCTCTCTTTTCCATCGCATAATCTCCACTTCTAGTACCATACTTTTCACTAGAGCAGCATGCAATTACATTTTATACATCTAAATATACTACCAGATATCATAATATATTTATAGATTCCACTACAAACTCAATATAAGCAATGGAAGTTCATTCAAAGCTAGCAAGAAATGCAGCCATTTTCATGCAGCTTTTTCCCGATACGGACGTACGGACACGCGTCCATGGACATTCTGTCAAGGCTCATTGGTAAAAACCGAAAGATGTGCCCCTCTACCCATAATAAGCCCTATATTATAAACTCATGAATGCGTCTATTAACCGTAAAATGACCAGAAGAACTTGCATGAAGCTGATGTTACCATAGAGAGAACCAGAATGGCTGTGCCGAGCTCAGAGTTAAGATGGACTATGCTGTAAATTAATGAATTTATCCATCATCAGATAGTGAATACTGCGAAATTACCTACCATACTCGCTCTCTTAGGAGTTAGTTCATTGGAGAATCGTAAAAGAAAGAGATTAACCGTGTTTAATCTGGTTAAATTGAATTATATAATCGGCTAGCATCGATCATGCCTGTGACTTGTACTAACGATTGCAATCGAAGAGCAAAATTAAAAAGGCCCAAAACGGTAAGAATTGGAAGTGAAGAATGTATATAAAATCTAGCTGTTTTACAACCAATCTTGATTAAAGAGATTGGAGAACTAACGCATTTGCGATCGTTTATAATGGTAGGCTGAAAAATTATGCTTAGAATGTTTCTATCAGGCGTTTGAAGACGAAATCCATCGTACTATAGTCAATAATAAATTATTTCAGCCTGGGGAGTCTGTTGCTGTTGGAGCTTCTGGAGGAAAAGGTTAATTAAGGAAAGGATAGAAAAGTTTGGATTTAGAATCCTTTTAGTTGGCGAAGATCACGATTTTTAAATTCATACATCAATACTTTGCTTGATTTTATGCGATAGATTCTACTGTGTTGGCCTACGTTCTAAAGTTACTAAATGAAAGACACAATTATGGAATCAATTTAGTTTTACTCTCGGTGGATGAGGGTATCACTGGATATAGAGATGATTCGCTTGAGGTAACTATCTTGAAAGCAACATTATCCTTTTACTACTCTTTATGTACATCCTGATATACCCAGTAGGTCAAAGAAATCTCTACTGTATAGTAGGCTGGGACGAGTAAATTTCTGCTTTTATATATTTTATGACGATAGACAGTCAAACGCAATCAGCAGCAATATCAGTTACCCTTGAAAATTGTATCTTATGAGGTAATAGATTATGATTTCTAATATGACACATTCGATGCTATCTTCAGCAAGGCAAATCTCGCTACATTAGTATTCATTTACTTAGTTACAATAGTTTAATCAATTATTCATTCTCTGTTTCAAAAATCTAGGAGCTTTATGGATGGACCATGGATGCAATTGTACAGAAAATTGGCATGAAAAACAACTGTACTTTCTGTGGTGTTTTTCGTAGGCAAGCTCTTGATCGGGGTGCCATGCTTGTAAAAGCAGATAAAATCGTCACAGGTATGCTAATATTTCACCTTAGTATGATAGTCCATTACTTAATAACCACTAAAATGAGCTAAAACTGATTTGATAGGTCATAACGCCGACGATGTTGCTGAAACCGTATTAATGAATGGTATGACAAGTTTTACTTTACCGCTAACCTAAAATAAACTTGGACTACTACCTTGTTTTATCTATGCTTAATGTAGTACCGTCACTTTTACTAGCTTTGTATATCTGCACACCATGATAGTATTCGGAAGTTTAGATGACTATAATCATTGCATATTTAGGAGCATGGCTAATCACGATTATGCTAAACTCCAACATTTACTCTAATAATAATGGATTTAACATTTTATGACATCTATATAGTTTTGAGAGGCGATATTGCAAGACTTCGAAGATGTACAGCGATCATGACAGTAAGTAGTAATTTCATAATTACACTTGATTGCTACGGGTTGAAAGACGAACTTGATTGGTCTAAATTTTTTGCAAATACTTGCTAATGTTGTCTCTGATATGTCACACCGTTTATGGTGAAAATTAGAAATAGAATTTAATATATTGTATGGTAATAGGGGACTGAAGGAGCACTTCCCAGATGCAAACCTTTTAAATATACTTACGAAAAGGAAATCGTTATGTGAGTTCAGTGAGATTACTTGACATATATTTAACTGCTACGACAATAACAACGATAACTACTGTAGTATTGAAAATCTACAGGTGAATCAATAGCTATTGATTTCAAAACCTTAAGTGTACTGTATATTTAAAAAATTTTCCATCTAGGTATGCATATTTTAAAAAATTAGACTATTTTTCCACCGAATGTGTTTATTCACCAAATGCTTATAGGTAGGGTAGGCACAACTATGAAATAAATTGACGGTTATCCAAGTCTGAAGGCTTTTCAAAATTTATTAACTATGAAGTTTTTCTTGATTTCTAGAGGCTACGCTAGGGCTTATTTGAAAGACTTGGAATCTATTCGTCCATCTTCGATTGTTGGTCTGTTTACTAGAATGTTTTTCTGAGCATTAATTATATATGAACTGAAATTTATATTTTTGGTAAGCGAATCATTCATCTTGTATATTAGATATAATTCACTCTGGAGAAAGAATGTCCATTAAAAAGGAAGTTAAAATGCCAGAACAAGGTACGCATATTAGAAGTTAAAGCCGTTGTGTTAAATGTGACATTTTTGCAACCCTGACCGTTATAAATGATATTTCTTATCTTAGGAACTTGCTCAAAATGCGGCTATATTTCTAGTCAAAGCATATGTAAAGCCTGTGTTATGTTGGAAAGTCTAAATCGTGGACTTCCTAAATTAGCCATAGGGAAAACACATAAGGCCAAGGTAGTGACAATATGTAGTAATGCATTCCAGCGAATAATTTACAGATTTAAAATATTCCATGAATTGGAACGCGATGAAATAAAATTTGTTTGATATATATTATCTATTTTAGCTCGCCGGAATATTTGATATAAAGGAGAATGTAAGAACAGAAGCTAGCTGATAATGTTGTATCTGTAAAAGCCAATTTTTATTTACTTGTAAAATAAAGTCAAAGAGAAATAAATAATTACAACACGGGAGAAGACTGTTAGACTATCAAATCTAATGATTGACTTAAGCGAGTTTCAATAATTTAGTTGCTGTAAAATATATTGAGAAATGATTAATCAACACACTTTTATATCTGTCTTGGTTCAGCTGTGGTTCATTTTATACATATAATACAATGTGATAGAGTACAGCATAAATGAGAAATAACTTATTATATTAATATAATCGCTTATATTGGTGGCATCTGGAAATTTCCAGCATTTTGTTCTTATAAGCTTTCCAGTTTGTTGCATCTTGCCACATCTGCTGGAGGCTGTCCTCACTCGGATATGACTCGATCTATTTTAAAGAATTTAGACATTAGAATGAACTGCACTCCATAAATATTTATCGTATTGTATATATGTAGTCTACTGTATAAATAGCAAAATATTTCGAAATGGCTGCATGAAAAGTTCGCAAATAGCTGTAAGAAGATAAAAATTTTAGAAATATTTAATTTACTCACTTGACTTCTTAAATAGCTTTTAACGTCGTCATTGGCATAACGCAGGTAGAATTCTTTCGATATCATAATACATTCGGAACCATTACTAACAAGCGATAAGGATGGTCTATCAATTATTACACCCTTGTCAACCTCCAGAGTAGATAATCCCTAACAGTCAACGCAACATTCCATGTCTGATTAATCGATTAATACTAAGAGCTAACAAAAGCAACGATTTGGTGAAAGATTGTTACAGTACTACAACTTCTCTATATATTAATGAAAATGAAGTATATGATTAAAATTGAACTGATACATAAAGCCAAGCTCATAAAAACTTTATGCAACTCGGAATTCAATAAAAGAATGCGCAGTAAAGTCAACTCACAAAGCAATCCTTAGGCTTTAGCAGCTCAATTTGAACGACAATATGGCGTTCGTTGTTATTAATTTGACTGTTGATAAAATTTCGTTCGCTTTCTATTTCATCTACCTCAGGGCAGGTTTTTATAGCCTAATATAACACAGAAAAGAATGTGTAAATAGATTAATTGTGAATATTCATTATTAGTATTACTTACGATTAGAATACGTTTTACTGATCGCATTACCTTCAAGCTCAAGGCACGCCTTCGATTCAATTTTCGTGTATTATTGCCTTCATTTTTAGCCGTATGCTCTACACTAGTTTGTCTTACAATACCATTATCAAAAGAATCGCCTTTAATTTGAGTATGATAAAAGCTTCCATGTAATGAAGCATGATGAACGGCCTGGTTATTTTCCGAATCATCGTTTCCAGTGCCAATGACTGGCTTGCCGATGGCAACGCTAATATCTGTCATTAACGTTTTTCTTAGTAATATTTTAAGCTGTTTTTATACCTTTTCATTGCATAGATCTATCACTATAATGACACCTTACACTTATATCATAAAAACTAACCATTTAATGTTCTAGAAGGTTTCATTCTGCTCAATTTGGGCTGCAACAAAATGTTAATATTTAAGAAATTACCTAAATTAATAGACTAGCCAAAGTTGTATACTGACCTTTTCAGTTTTATCAATTTGGTTATCTTGTAACGATGATATCTTCGTAACAGCAGGATAATTAGCATTTTTCTCCGAAAGGGCTTCGTCTTCATCATCTTTTGGTGATTCTACGTTTTTATTGAGTTTTAGATTAGGGTTAGGGTTATATGATATTACTTGAACAGTCAGTAAGGCATACTTTAAACTATGCAGCATGCAGTTTACCGTTACGATTACTATCCGACGGGATTACTAAATGAGTAGTGGTATGACTCAATTTGGAAATTTAAAATAATGTTTGAGGTGGTTTTCATGTCCACATTTTAATTATTGCCAGATTGATATGTTCAAATAATAATAGCAAATGACATAAATGATACTAGACATTAAATTATTTATTTTTTAATTGCCTAGGTATTTTGCCTGCTAAATTTTATGATGATGATAATTGTAGCTGAAACTAAATCATAATAGCTTAGATGGCAAACAATATTAACTCCATGATTGTACGGTAAGATATATTAAGAAAATTAACCATTAAAAAATGGTCAGAAAGTAGTAGCTTCATAATACTGGTTAAAACCGATGAAAATAGACACACCGTGCGTTCATGTTAACAATTTAAATAAAAATTTTATATCCTTAAATACACTGCTGAAATTTTCCAATTGATGTTTAAGCTATCTGCGTTATTTTTACCTTTATTATTTTTTAAATATGGCAGCAGGCTTGGTAGCAAGCATTCTCCGAGATTATTCAGTTGGTTATTGTTTGTCTTTTTCTTGTTAAAGTATGGTTTTGTCGGTTTCATCTTAACGACAACACTACAAGATCCCTAAATAATGAAATTTTGGATGCTTATTAAGCTAAAAATTTTCACACCAAGTAGATCGAACATATTATAATATTACTTTACCGTAATTTATTGATTATTTTAACTGATAACGTTACCAATTCTTGAAAGAAAATTAACTGCGATAAGCTTATACAGCTGTAATACTTATTATCAAACATGCAATAAATAAGTAACTATAACGCTAATTTATGCATATGTAATTTAATTATTTTAATACACTACCAATACGTATTACGCAACCCATTTTTCCATTAAAATTACTTTGATTTATTTCAAAATATAATATTATATGGTTACCACTACTTCAATGCTATTATTTAACGGAAAGAAACAATAAATGTTTCATAACTTACCGAACGAATAACATAGATCCAATCCGATAACTTGCTATCCTCAACGATCACACATCCTCTTCTGATCATGTTTATTCAAAATTTAATTGCAAAATTAAAATCCGTTCAGTTTCTATAATAATTAATCATCAACAGTAGAGCCATACCTAAAGTAATGAAGCTTGCAGTTATCTGGATGCAATGTTAACTTTTCGATTGGCCAGTTCTTCATACATTCTAGTTGACTAGGTTGGTAAAAGATGATGTCATGAATGTTAAAAGTTGTAATAATACCTATCCTTAACTTAGAAATCTAAAACTATCCATTAGCTGTTTGAATCAGCGATCGATGCAAGAATTGCCAGAGTATAATCGCATTTTCAAGTCATAATATAGCCGTTCTATTTTAAACTAATGCTTACTTACAAGTATTACGAAATTACGAGGCGCAATATTAGTTTTAAAGCTGAGGTTAAAGCTTTCAATCACTTAAATATGCAAAGCTAAAGATGGTCTAGTATTATTTCTTATTAACTGAGGGCATGTTATTATATGGAGGCAATGACAGCAACTTAAATAGTATAGGAATAGAAAATCAAAAGTGAATTATAAAGTAGAAGAAGCATTAACATTAGAAATTCTCAAAGGAAAATAAGCCGAATTCCTATCAATGAATAAAGGTTTATCAAGTATAATGCCATCCGAATGAGCTATCGTACAACATAAATAACGGAGTATTGACAGTAGCAGAAGTATAATTTAGTTAACAAAATGTAATTTAGTAAGGGACACTTTAATAGCCCCGTTGCAATAGTAAATGCAATCACCTACAAGCGATGATAGACTTCTATCCAAACAAAATTATAGCCACATAACTAATATCTTAACGACTTACGAGCAAATTTGGATATATTCTGCAGCTTGGCCTTCCTTTTCTCGCAAAAAGATGGCGTTAAAATCCTGTCGAGTAAATAATAGCATATTATATAAATACACTGCAATAGTTAAATATAAGGATAGCATAGCTTTTGCCTTACTAGCCCTTCTATGCCGTTAATTTTTAAGGATTATCATTTTTTAATAAGTAGAGTAATTTAACCTGCACTACTAATGATACTGTGACACTTATTATTAGGGGTTCGTATAATAATGTGCACTAAAATCTAATCAAGTCGAATTCTATTTTCTCTATCAGTTTAGTAGAGCACGTATCAATTATCTCTTACATCGCCATCAATTGCAATTAGCTGCATTTTTTCTACGCATGTAATTGTATATTCTCGCTTTCTTCGATATAATAAAGCAGTTTCCTAACCCATCAATGAAATTTGAAATAAAATTTTTAAAATAAACTATTCAAGATAGTATTGGATAATGAATGTAATTTATCGACTGATGTACACTATAACTGTATGCGATTAATTCGTAGGAAAATAGTCTATAGCAAAAGTAGACAGCCAAATTCTTGGTGCTTAAATATATGGTTGCAATGATAAAGTGAACAAAATTCCAATAAATCAGACCTTACCCCAAAAGTTTGCCCTCGCGATAAAGTTGCAATATCAGCTGATAATCCTCCTCCCTGAAATAGGGCATTAGGCTTGTATTGCGTGACTTTAGCTAAATCATTGCAGCAGAAAAGTCTATCAAATTTATGGATTTATGCAATGATGTACCATCTTACTGTTATACTTAATTCTTACGTATCTACTGAAAGTTAGTGATACTGAACCTCATCGATCTATATTGCAGTATAGCGAATTAAATAGCAATTAAATGCTATCCACTTTACAAGAAATATCTATTATTATCAAAGCAAGTATAGAACTAAATGTAACTGCGAAATTTTGAGATGTAGCAACAATTTATTAACATCGCTAGCTAAACTGAAAAGCTTATGATATACCGGTATAACTATACTGTTCAAATTTTCAAAAGCAAGATAGGTTGCTTACTTAGGCTACTATAAATTAATTCGAATAAGATGATGATACAAACCCATTCCTGAAATGATGATATAAAAATAGCTCGCTGGATATCCTTGACGGATGAGTGTTTGCTCCGGTAAAACTCTATAATGCCCATTGGAATTTGGTTAGCAATTAATTTAAAATAACTTGCTTTTCGAGCAATGCTTGATTTATGTGTATTCTAACTCAATTTCTATTTCTATTAAAATTAAGTCAATTGTATAAGGAATTATCTGAATATTTTACATTTCACATGGAAAATCAAATTCTTGACTCATTCCATCTCGCTAGATCTTTAGCTAAGAAGACTCCCATAACAAAATCAATTTGATATGAGCGATATTAATCTCCATCTACGGGTAGCACTTATTAGCTAAACTGTGACACTGCACGAATAATGATTACTCAAGTTTCATATCATAATTCGATCGATTTTCAGTAATTGATGGTCTTATTTTCAACATTTAGTCTATGATACAGATTTACGATTACGACTCTACATATATGGTTAGTTTGATAGCTAGTTATTATCCAAACTTTACTATCGATCGGATTCATTAAAATAGCTTGATTCATGGTTCTCTGGTAGGCTATGGCTTAGTTCTACCTCGAAATTAGGCTATGATTGTAGATTAAAAACTGGAGATATACTTTAGCACGAAATCAATAATAAATTTCCTACGCTCAAGTAAGATTTTATTAACCGTAATCTCGTTCTCAAGATCTGATCTGAGGCGGCAGAAATTGAATAATTGATCATCCCGCTAATTTAATATAAAAATTTAGCATTTATAATGCCTTAATTCTTTCTCGCTGTTTCCTTACAGGTAAATTGCAGACGGTCATTAATGACATTTCTCAAGTTGGAGTAGAGTAGTATTCCAATATGAACATTAATACCTATATCTAATAGACTGCAGTGATGTGGGAAAGTTTGGAAATAAATTTTTCGCAAGGTCTCATTTGGCAAAGTAAAAACTGCTCAGTTTTCACCTCAAGACTTTCGCTTTCAGTTTCATCATTCATCATTAGATACTTGAGAAGCATCTTAACTGATGTAAGTGCAGTAAAAGCTATGAAATAAAATTAAACTCTTTCACTTACTCTAATAGCCAGCCAACACGGCATATTTCTCGTTGGACATCAAGAGGATATTCGGAAAAACATTCCAATGTTTGAAGCGCAAATAAAATCTATTCCAAATCCCGACAATAAAAAAGTGATTTTTTTTATTCCATAAAATGAAAAACTAATCGGAATGGACCATATAGGTAACGAATTAATTCATTTGCTCTCTAGAACGCTATACTTATCCCATAAAATGGCGGGTTATAATAGAACTAGAAATCAAGTGACTTCGCAATTAACTTAATCATTATTGTATTTTATCCGCGAAATCAAGACTAATATAATGTTAAGCGGCAATTGGCTAAGGGAAAGATTAATATGGCGGAAAAAATACTGACCATTTGCAGTTGTTCTTTGCCTCTATTCTGTGGTGACTGACTTAAGGCCAATTTGACTTCTTTATTAAGCACCATCTATAATCCAATAAATAAAATAGGAAAGATTAGTCATGAACTTTGAAAGTTAGAAATGATCCTATTTTGGCGCTACTTTAGCGCATGTTATGCTTCATGATTGGAGATATTAGTCGTTAAGGAAAAAAATGTTGAAATGGAATTGTATAACCTCTCTCTTCGCCTTGTATTGCTTAAAGTCAAATGTTACTTGGCGATTTGTCGATACAAATGTAGGCATTCGCTTGGAACTGCTACCAGTAGAAACGAAATAGCCTGGCGTGCGAATTAATTCTTTGACTGGTTTCTTGACCAATTGATTCTCCATTGGTAATTCATCAGAATCTGCACTGTATCTAAGGCGAAGTAAAACGATGAATTATTCTTATAATATGATTGACACTTTAGAATTAATTCCATTTTGGATAAAGGAAAAGCCTGTGAATAACTAATATCCTTTAAGTAAAATTCGAAGGGATTTCAACATCGGAAAGCTGTATAAGGGTCATTAATCAAAGTGATAACTGATTTTATAAGGAAACTTTGACTACAAGCACCAACGTGATTCAGTTTGCTATCTATTGCACTTCTACTCGAAGTCAAAATGTAAATTATTCTTGTCATATCATTTATACCAAAGAGCTAATTGAAATTTGAATGAAGGCAAAGTCTACAAAAAACTAATATTATTTCAAATCAATAATAATTTCAAGTGGCATAGAGCTAATTTTAATTTTTCATGAAGGAAATATCGGCAAAAACAGTTATCATTTCGACTAATGATCTCAAATAAATAATTAATAATGGTAAGCGATTTAGAACATTTTAACAACGTAAATTAGTCAATTCAAAAACTAAATCATGAATAATAAGATAGGGAGAAATTACGACCATCAAACAGAGGAGAAAGGATACTGCTAGATTAAGTTGTTAAACTACTGCTAAGAAAATACGACTAAAGGACGGATAGAAATTTATAAAGTTAGAATATTGCCTTCGTATTAGCATCATTAAACCACAGAATACTACCACCTCAATGGAAGAGCACTTGAAAAGATCTCAGCTATGGAGATGTCATGCGATATTAGCACTAAAGATTGGCTTAGAAGAGAAAATAAATTAATGAAGAGAGAAATTAAATTATCAACTCTTATAACTCTGTTGGTTTTAGCGCAGCCAAGATAATACTGACTAATCTTAAAGGTCGATGTTGGCTTAAAATCTCTACTAATTAATATCTTCTTAAGAGAATAATTTTAGTATAGATGATTGATATTATTCTAATAATTTCTTTTCAATCTGATTTAAAGCCTAAAATCCAATATTGATCTAAAATTCAAAGGACTAATATTGCATAGAAATGTACCAGACGTTGAGAATGATAATGGAATAGCCGGAAAATAGTGTAATAAACGGCAAAAGATCTTTGCTGAAGTAAAATAATCTTCTCTACATAACTTACTTATTGGTTTGAATCGCTGCATATTTAATTTTGATTACCATTAACACAAATCTGGTTGCTTTGCGAAATCTTTTCTTAGCCTAACAACAACAATAATCCATTTAGTATTCCGTCTTGATATCATTTCCGACAAAAAATGAAAAAAATTTTTTCCTTTAGTGATACAGCAAATTAAAAATGATTAAAATGGAATAAATATTAAACCATGAAATTACTAATTATAAGCCGAGAAATAATTATTGACGTCATGATTATTTGAAAGCCAAATGCCAGCCACAATAAAAAAAGTTATTTTATGATTATTTAAGTTCAAGCTCCTCTATAAAAGACTGAATTGAAGTAGTATTGGACAATATTAAATTAATCATGGCCATTTCTTCTTTCAGGATATGTAGAAGTATCGATACATGATATTGATCAGGAGTAGTTTTATTTTGCCAAAGTAGAACACCTTGCATCGACAATTTCTTCACAGTATTAAAATAAACAAATTCGTAGCTGTGCTCAACAGATTTCTGACAAGGTAATATTAGTTTTGGCGAGTGCCTAGCAATACTATTTCTGATATAGTTTAGATACTGTTTTTTATCGCCCAAATTTCCTGGAAAAAATATCAAACCTCTTTGTAGAAGATAAAATGATTTAAAAAATCAATTCTTATTCTTTCCATAGCGACGGTGTTTATTGAAAAAATAATTGCATGTTGACATAGACGAATTCATATTCGCCATGCTCATGATTCTCAGCTTGCATAAGTAGTTTATCGAATACGGTCGATGGCATTTTCGATTTTCTGAAGCTTTTTTTAGCCATTTATTTGTTGAATAAAGTATTCTTACATGGTTCACACCTTTATAGAAGGTGGCAAATGCTATTTTACCGTAGCTATTTAAAGTTTCTACCCTACTAGAGAAATGTAGTCGGCATTCCTGTTGGCTACAGAATCCTTGAATGGATTCGTAGTGAGCAAGTTGGATCTACAGGAATCTCAAAACCAACAATAATATTATATTATGAAAAAAGCAGAAAAGCAGTCATCTATCCAATTTTTCTATATATTGGATCGAATGTGCTACTTTGAAGCATCCGTCAATACCATTCTAGCTGCTAGAATCCTTTCGAACTGAATTAGAAAATCATTCCTGTCTGATCTCGAACTTTTTCTTTTTCATATCATAGCCATTTTTTAGCGCCGTTGTGTGTATTTCTTTAATCAATTTCTTCTAATCGATCTTGCCATCTTGATCATAGACGTTCTTTCAATATCGTTCTATTATCCCATCTGATTCTTACGCTGATTTTCTTAGTAGTCTCAAAATCTCTCTATGTTAAGTTTCTGTACTATTTTTTTTCTGTCGATAGACTACGGAATATTGATGTTTGTCCTTTATGGTTTACTAGAGTCCTACTCCTTGCTATGGAATAACTCATTCTACCACATTTCAAATAGGACAACGATTTTAGCTTGAACGTTATGCAAATTGAAATCTCCCTATTCTGCGTCATAAACTATCTGTGCAAACTATTTCAAAACAAGATCAACTGAATATGTCAGACTGGTGGAAATTTGTACTACTATACACCATTCCTTCCCTAATTTAAAAATTGCCCAAGATGAAATTGTTTGCAATACTGATCTATTATAAAACAAGTCGACATGTACAATGAATATAATATACCGTAAAACGCTTTGGATTGGAAGGTAATGTGCCACTTCTTGTACGATGGTGTTTGCTAATGGATCGCAAAGGCTTGATTAATTTCTTTTTCTCTTCTCCATCGGTACTACAGTCATCCGCTATCGATCTAACACTACCTCGATGTGAACTGGAGAAAGAGCCTCGTATGATTGTTGGCGTGGATAATTCTTGATTGCGATACCAATCAAGATGATGAAGATGATGATGAACTTCAGCACTATCGATATCGGAAGTAGGGTTATAAAGTGGCCTTAATGATCGGCGTAAGCCAGAATGATGATTTTTATCGAGGCGAGGACTTTTCCGATTGGAAGATGGATTAGGTGATCGACTTAATGGCGATAGTAAAGGTCTTGAATTCATTAGGAATAACTTTTAATCTTTCATTCTCACTAATATCATTCGTTCACCATCAATCCAGTCAATCACTAATGGGATCGATATCAATTCAAAATCCAAATTTAAGATATCACCTCACAATTGTATAAAATCTTACTTACACTATTTCAATATCTTTTTTGACTCCTTTTGAAAATCTTTCAATAACTCTTCTTTCATCGAGTAAGGCACTAGTGTAGTAATTTTAATTCCCATTTAAACAACCATCAATTAAGAATTTGATGCATTATACAATTTAGATTTGGATGTCAACTAACACTATAGTCTTAAAATAACGACGGAACTCATCAATAATCTACTATTGATGATGACTAAAGAATAAGAATAGCGTAGAATAATATTCAAAATGTGGATAAGGATAAAATGAAATCAATATACATTCAATGGAATAAAGAGATTAATAAATTAAGAGTAAAATAGCTAAAACAACTAAATACACAACATCATCACTAAATTGTACTGATGATACAAGAAATAATCTCATTCATCATGAAGAAAAACTTGTCTTACAGAGTGGAAAATTGAAAAGGTGGAGAAAAATAATGATACATGAAATAATCTCATAAATTATGAAGAAAAGCTTGTCTTGCTGAGTGGATTAGTTGAAAAGACAGGAAAAATGGATGATGCAAGAAATAATCTCATTGATTACGAATAAAAGCTTGTCTTATGGAGAGGATTAGTTGAAAAGATGGAGAAAATAGATCATGCAAAAAACAATCTCCCGAATGAAAGCTTGTCTTACTGAGTAAACTAGATGGACATACAAGAAATAATCGGACTAATCACGAATAAAAGTTTGTCTTACAGAGTAGACTAGGTGGATATACAAGAAATAATCCCATTAATCACGAATAAAAGCTTGTCTTATTAAGTAAACTAGATGGACATACAAGAAATAATCTCATTTATCACGAATAAAAGACTGTCCTACTAAGTTACTAAGTAGATTAGATGGACGTACAAGAAATAATCTCATTAATTACGAATAAAAGCTTGTCTTACTGGGTGGACTAATTGAAAATACGGAGAAACTTAATTTAGTCGTATTGACAAACACTTTCGTTTACTATTAGAATAATAAATTTGTATTGATAGCGATTTTAGAATAGTTTAAAGAATTGGATCGAAAATTATTTGTATAGGCAAGTGGGAGGATAAAGAAGGCATATGGAAATGATGGCCAAAGCTTAAACACGAATAAAACAAAACCATAAAATCTAAACAATTACTTCCTTCTCTTACCTCGACTTACTTTCTATCATTCATGTATTAGGATTGCTTAATAATTGTTAGAATTGATGATGAGTTTATTCTATTTGTGTTGAAAGATATGTTTAATGATCAGTAAGGATCTATAACATCGCCATTACGATAATAAATCAAGCCACAACATGGTATTAGCTGTCGATATAGTATTGCAATAAGTTAACTGCAGCGAGATAGAGGATAATTCCATATGGAAGAGCTTTTTTCAACTGTTTATAAAGTAAATTGTCATTGTTATCCTTTCTCAATAACTTAAGCAGTAACATAGGATCAATTTTGGGAAAACTTTGCATTATGGAAGATTTAGTTAATCTCCCTTAAGATTGCAGGATACCACTGTTTAATCGTCAAAGTTGTCGATGTTAATCGCCGTTATGTCTTCATTTCTGATGATATAATTTTATCATTATTTAGTGTAGAAGACAATCATTTCGCTTACCTTAAAATGTGATGGTACTCTTCTGTTCTAGAATTAACCCTATCGATTTAGATAGCCATTAAAATGGAGATGAATTAGTTCAATAACAAGTGATTCTATCGTGATCGTTGAAAAGAGTGATTGATTTCGTCAAACTTTCTATTTTTATACTGGAAGCAATAAAGTTATGAGCAACGAAACTATCCTAATTGATAATTATTGATAGAATTTGCGGTAATATATTTATGGATCATTGTGGAAATGGAGAGTTATCCACTCATAGGATGTGATTGATTTACCTATGATTTAGTCCATTAAATGGGGAAAACCTGAGAGCCAATGATTTAAGGAGTCCATGAATGATCAGTTCTGATCATTCTTAATTCCAGTGATTACTCAACTTGAATAAATTCACTTTCAAAAACGATGTATCCTATTATAAGAAATTCTATCATAAGCAAGAATTTCTTATGAAGTATGGTGCAACATAATGCGATCAATAGCAACGACAATAATAAACATCCCCTAGAATAGCAACCAAGGCATCAAAAGTTGCTTTAGCATCAATGCGTGATTTGTACTTTTACAATGATTAAGTAAACAAATCTTGCTAACTCCTTGTTGACAAATTGACATTGTTAACATAAATCTTGATGGAGATGAATAGAATGATGGTTATTTCATTCTGGATAACAATGAATAATCATCAAGATATTTTTATTCTCTTAAATTCAAGACTTGACAATTAGATCAAAATAAAAACAATAACTTATTCTTTCATCTAAGATTATCGAATAGTTGGATTCGAGTTGATGTTCCGGATGACAAGGTTGTTTCTTTTACCCCCTAGCTAGCTTTATCCTTCCTCTATTATAAGATTAGCAGCGTGTGATTATCCATTGACTGCAGCATGAACGCTACCCGTAGTCTTGGATTGGTTGTCCATTTTATACCTTGATTAAAGTGAATAAGGGAAGTAGAAATCTTGGAAATGAATACTTGGATAACACGTTTATGATTGCCTTGATTGACTTACTTCAAAAATTTGAATTGTAACTAAGCTGTCTAATGAAATCAATAAGGAAGTCTTAATTGGTCTTTTCTTCTCCAGTTTGTATGCCTTACAAAGTGCGTCGATAGGCCACTTATGCCAATGCTAATGTGATCGAATTTGATGGAAAGAGTAGACAACACGTAGAAAATTTACAAAGTTTCCATTTTTGTTCTACTTTCTGCTGTAATAGGAAGGAGATACCTATAATCCATGCTCAGCAACATGCCTTCATCTATAGCTTAAACTGAATATAATGAATTACCGTAGGAGATTGGGATATTTTATTGAATTTCACATTTCTGTACAGATATCCTACGGATTCTATGGTTGCAGAAGGCCATTTCAATGACAATGATTATTCCGCCGAGATAGCTATTGTTAAAAACGGGATAAAACGGACATGTTGGCTCTAATTATGAGTTGAAATATACTAATAACATTGGGCTCGACATTAAATATTTTTACTTCTACTTTAATGGCAAACTTTCATTCCAACACATAGTTCAATAGCATCAAAGGGTGCGTAAATAGTGACGATTCTATACTTTCTTGATTGGGCCATTAAGAACAAGCAAAGGTGTATCTTAGAACATAGATTGATTGCAAATCATCATTTAACTTACAAAACTATTCGCAGAGTAGAAAGTCAACACTTCTAGTAAAATAAATGTCTTAGAACCGATTTTAAAATCAATAACATCATCAGTCTACTAATTATGTAGCTCTATCACTCTTTATTTTTCAAGGTTCATCAATATACTCGTAGTCTGAATACCATTAAAATAGTTACGGCTGTTTGTGTGGTAACTTTCGTCTGGTATAAGTTTCTATTTTGGCTCAATTAATTACTAAAGGATTAAATGGAGTGATAATTTGATCTCTATTAATTTACTTCTGCACGAAACGTTTTAGAATATCTAATGGCTATTAATGAAGCCATTCTAAGTCTCAAGCACTTTACCGGAGGCTTAATAAAAGGATTTAGTACAGAAGTGTTTAATGGATCTTCCTCCTTCATCAATACTAGCAACTGATGATTTTTCAAACTTCTTGCCTGAAGATTGAGTGAGAATTTACCGTGAAATTATTCTTAGTTTTATCCACTAAAGAGGAGGGTTTAATAAAAGGATTGAGTATAAAATTGTATAATCAATACTCATCTGTTAGTACTAGTAACTGATGATTTTCAAGCTTTTTACATGAGTATTGGCTTAGGATTGACCAATTTACTGAGTATAGAATTGCAATAATTTTGCCGGCAGTTCGGCAATTTAGTGAGTATAATGAATTGCTTACTATCATTCGACAGAAACTTTATGCTGTATTTAACTATGCTAATAACATTAAGAGGAAGTCAGTATTTGCGTTTGCTGCATATAAATTTCCAGGCGGATTTCCTGCCTTGAAATCGTTAAGAATTGCACTCAAGATTACGTTACATACTGTAAGAAATATGCCGCTAGCTAAACTGTCAAATATTGGTAGGTTACCAAGATCGTGGAATATGGAAATTTAGGTACAACCTAAAGAAGAAAAATTAACGATATCCTAAACAATATCTCTGGCTTGTAGCATTAACTAAGATGAGGAAGTAAATACGCAGATATTAGCGTAACTATTGTAGTATCAAATTTAAATATGTAGTAATTATGCACATAGTACAATATTTTCATGCGGTTTATTTGCTGATGCTCGAGTTCACCTATTAAAGAAGTCTCATAGCAATTAATTATTTGATGCCTACACTAAGCTGACCTGTGTGCGCTATCGCATTCAAGTCAGAGTAAAACCAACATTAGTCAAATAACTAGTCTACAACAGTAAAATTAGTGCATACCAATTAAATTTAAAAATTTTAGAACAGCTTAACCTTACGAATTAGATATAACAAATACACGTTACACTTTCTATACTATCGACAAGCTGTGAAAATCAGTATCATTTATTGTCATACCATGCACACAATGAAAATAAAATCCTTTGACCGTAATGACAGATTCACAACTTTGTGCGGTAAGGCCACAAATTAATTAGGAGCAAACACTCATACCGTGCGTAATCAATCAACGTAGAGGAATTTGCATTATAGAAGTCAATTAATGAAGTTCCCATTTTAAAGGAGTCGGCCTTTGTATCCACCATCTATAAGAGAGTCATGTTAAAAAAGTAATGTACGTTTTCAGGTGACTAACTATCAGCTGATTCAGCAGTTGTCATAAAAAAATTGCCTACTGATCGTTTTCATTTAGTAACGTTAATTTTTAAGCAAAAAGCTTATACAAAAGAGAATTACAACTTTCATTTCGTAATATAGAATTATATTATTCGCTTCGATTTATACGTGCCCAATAAAGATTAAGATATCAGTCACTATAGTTGTCATATACACACATACATCTATAAAAAATCTAAGTTTTGTCATGTAGAATTACTGATGAAAGTAGATCTATAAAGAAACATATTTCAAGAAACTTACGTAAATGATACAGTACGCTGATTCTAAAAATCACTATTGAAATATTTGACATAGTATCAGAAACGCTCACAAAATATCCATCCTTAATTTTCTTTCGATGTACCATTAAAACTCTATTATTACTATAGGTATAGATTCAGTTTACAAGGGTAGTTTTGAATCAAAGCCTAACGTTTCCCCAGCTTGGCTTCTATACTGTTATTTTCATGCTTCATTTGTTTATAATCTTGCGTTATTTGTTCCAAACTTGCTACCGTATTATCCTGAGATATGGCTTCAATCTAATCGTAATAAGATAAGATAAAGTCCATAACTACAGATTCTAAGATCTGATCTACATGTATATTGAATATTTTATACCGTATAAGATCTTTTCAATACCAATAAATCAACATACCTGGTCTTCTAAATCCCTTATTTCTCTTGAAATAACTCCAGTCTCTTCAATTATAGTAGTTAATGTGCTAAAATTCTACGGCGATGAAATTTAAGTAACATGGTTACAACTACAGTACCGCTGGGAGATGTGCTAATCTAGATATCAAACCTCATGAATTGTTGCTAGTTGTTTGTATGCCATTTTTCCTGCTCCATCTTTTTTGGCATTCTTTGAGATTAAAAATTACTCATTAAACAATTTTAATTCATCGATCTTACTTTCGATTACATAAGTTAATTCATAAATTAAAATCTAACTTTAAATATCAGCTCATCTGTAACGGCAAAAGTTCTTTCCAATTTCCCATTTAATAAATTGATTTCTCTTTGAATAGATTTTGTATCTTCAATAATCTTAAAATATTTAAACAAGTCAATGACTGGCCTGTGCTAGCATGTTTGGTAAATAAATTAGTATTAGCAATTCTTGATTCATCTCTATCACTTCCTACTTTTGAGATGTCGTCCTTCTGCTTTTTGATATTACCGACAATTTCCATGATACGGCGTGTATAAGAAGACCGATTGACATCTTTATTCAGTCGCTTGTATTCGCTCATCTAAAGGTGTATAAGCATGTTACTGAAGATGCTACTTTGTATTCCAAACGTAAGTACAATAAACGTTTGCTTTTATTGCAATGGAAGACATACCAGCTGTTTGTAAACTTCGTCTTTAACTTTAGCTTCTTCAGCCATTTCTTTCATTTTTTTGCGATATATTTTCAGGTCTTCTAATTTTTGCTGTGTTTCAGACTGAACAGTAATAAAAGATAAGGTTACCCTCATATTAAACAAGCGACATTTGGAAAGTATACTAATACCATTTCTTTGTTCATGAGTGCGCTCTTTAATGTCCTGTACTCTTCAATAAGTGGTACTCTATGCTGTTCCCACTGCTCCGTTAGTTTTATTAATCGCTGGGAGCTGTTGGCTATCATTTTCTAAATTTTATTAGGAAATGGATAAATGCCGTTTCATTAGAGGTCAGCTTAGGTACAGCCAAGGTTGACATGTAATTTCAAGAATACTGTAGCGATCAGTACCTTTAAAATGGCCATATTTTTATCTGCTTCTGGCAATAAATCGATTGTTTTCTTTTTAATGTTATAAATTTCTTGGTGCGTTGTAATTTCCCCACTTATATTTTCAATAGTCTCATCGGTCTATCGATTTGTAGCAATAAGATATCATAAAATTGGAAATTAATTATCAGTACCTTGGTGATAATTTAGTGAGGCAATTTGTGAAGAAATCTACTTTAACAAAATACGAGCCAAGCAGACCTTTAAAATATTGTTTGCAATATTCTTTGATCCTTCCTCCAAAGATTTTATCTTAAATCTTAATTCTTCCAGCTGAGTTTTCAAAGAGTTTACCTCTTCTTCACGTTGTTGTTGTTGCTATATAATAAATAGTGCTATTTAAAATTGTTTTCATTAATGCAAGATTTTAAAGTACAAGGTGTTTAAGCTTACAGTTTCGATGGATGTTGTGCCAATGTCAGTTCTTGTAGCACCAACTTGTGATGCTGCATTTTCTGTGTCCTGCAGTGGAAATAACAAGATAGTATCTTAAAAAAGTTTTTGTCTTACGTAAGATTATTACTGATTGCCTAATTGCGGCGAAATTTGAAAATAGTTTGAAGTCTCCATCTCACTAACCTTCGCAAATAGAAGCTTTTCAGAACGAGTGAATCGGGATCCCTTTGCAGTAGACTCGGCTATCTTATCTGAAGCAAATGAACAATATTTCAACTCATGTTCAAACATCAAGTCATGATTTCAATGGTTATTCACAATACTTTGATATGATATCTATCCGCCAATGGCGAACGTTGGCTGACTTACCGCTAAATACTTCAATAACTTTTGATAGATCATTACCAGATACGCGATTGCCGGTCGATATGTTGGTCTTGTCCATACCTGTACGCAACCGATCTGCTATTAATTTCTTTATTTTTTCATGAAGAATTTCAGTTGACTGTAATGAACGATATTTTAAGAAGCGGTGAATGGGCTTGATAACAAAACTGTATTATGATAGTATTGCAACATTGAATTAATACATTGTCAGGATCGTTTTTAAAATTCTTTTCGGCTAAAATATCCATTTCTGACTCTGCAGCTAAATCAGCTGCATTTGTTGCTAGCAAAGAAGCCGGAATATCTCGACGACGTAGAGGTTGTTCAGTAACGTAGGGTAGAACCTCTTGGTAAAATTTTTTGGTTTCTGTTGAGAGATTAATGAATGTTTATCAATTCTACTTTACGAAAGACAAGATTTTGATTTTGATTTTATGTGAACAAGGTCAATTAAATATTTGAAATATTTCTAATTAAGAATCCTGAATGTATCTATTCTCTTTGTGTGGTACTAACTAGCACAAAGCATATCAATGAAACGTTCATTTACCAGATGGAATATCCACCGTTACATCTCCAACGCCTTCCGGAGCAATAACAGGCCAATTATGGAATACGCAACTATCTTGATTGCCCTACAAATAACATTGATCAGACATCAAGGCATTACCACAGTATTAGCCGTTGACTATAACTAGGGCAAGTAAGATTGATCTATTGCTTGTGATTACTCACTTCTCGCATCCAATGATTTTGCGATTGGCTATACCATCGAGCGCCATGAGTTTTGCAGTGTGATGCCAACCAAGGCAAAGATAAACTAGCTTCAATCTTGGAAGCAATTTCATGCGTTATAAATGACGTTCCTCCTTGATTGCCATCATCCGCTGCACTAGTCACTTTAGGTAATTTCTCAACGAGGAACATGAATAATCTTCTGACGTCGGCATCATTAGGATACAATAAGGTTTGGTATCCGATATCACTTCGATAGCCAAGTTCCTAAACAATAATATTACGCTTGAGATCACTGTTTGGTCTTTCGCGAAGAGATACGACTAGTAGAGTAGTGTACGATAAAATGAGCAATTCAACACCATACCTGACAAGTTTGAGCTATACTGGATGCCAAGCGAAATCTTGCTGACATGTTTGACGGCAATTTTAACTGTAAGTAGTCATCACTATTACGGATAACCCTTAGACAACGAACAACGGCATGCACGATCATATCCGTATTGAATTGTTTCAATGATTGGACATCGTCTTCCAGATCACTACAGAATATCAACAGAAGAAGAGATCCATTGAAGCCTGATGACAAACCGTGGCTGATCAATTTAGATCAATCTCTTTATCATCATCCTCTACGATTCTTTATCGCTGCAATCATTCATGATCAACATGATCTTGTTGATCAGTCATCGACTGTTCATAACAACAAACACATTGAGATTGTTGGCAAACTCTTGTTGATCAAGTACATGATGATTGATTATCACCAACGATTCATTGTCGATGAAATAGTGATCAACATGAGCTTGGCATAACTCCTCTTCTACTGTCAATAACGCTTTATCCTTATCATCTATACTTACCATCCAATTTGACTGAGGGTATGGAGGATGATATTGTCGACTTCTTCCATTTTTGGCTAATTTTCAAGGTAAAAAACAAGAGCAGAAGGCAATAATGTTGCAATTACTACCATGGGATTGCAGCAGTTGGACGAGAAGGCGTTGATGTCGAGGTGGTTGCAATGGTAGCAAAGGCTTCAGCTTTGACGACGACTCGACAGAAGTCGTTGGGTACTGTACCGTGTAGCACTGTCCAGTAGGGCTATAGTGTCCCATACCATACCATTGTCGTAAGGTGATTGACTAGATTGGCTTTCATAAGAGATTTTGTGGCTAAGATACCAAGGACTAGGAAAGAAAAGATCGTACAGTACATTTTAGACGAACTTCTCTTTTGCTGTACTGTACACTGTAGACTGTAGACTGTACAAGTCTCTGGTGTTTAAGCATGCGCGGTAGCGTCCTGTATCCGGACAGCACGGACAATCTGCGATGATCCATTTGTTCATACTGTACTCTACTTTGCAATGATACTGACTAGTGTTTGTATAGGTGGTAGAGCAGTGTTCTGCACAGTACACTCTTCGATCGTTAGAACTGTAGCCGAACGACATTTTGAATCAAATTGGCTGATGCAGTACTGAACCACCGCGGACTGGACTGGACCGTTGCGGACCGGACTGGACTGGACCACCAATGATTAGGCTAGCGGACTTCTTTGGTCACCCTAGTATATAGGTGACACTTCACTACGCTTCAATCTCAAGCTTCAACCTTGCCAAGATGACTTTTCAATTTTCGGCCGCCACTACAGGTAAGAAAATCAAGATGGAAGAGAGGAAAGGGATGAAAAATTGTCAGTTAAAATGCAATATAGAGAGTAAGAACTTTACAAAAATAGTCAGTGAAAATGCAATATAGAGCGTAATAACTTTACAAAAATTGTCAGTGAAAATGCAATATAGAGAGTAAGAACTTTACAAAAATTGTCAGTTAAATGCAATATAGAGAGTAAGAACTTTACAAAAATTGTCAGTGAAAATGCAAAATACAATGCAACAAATGCAATTTAGAGAGTAAGAACTTTACAAAAATTGTCAGTGAAAATGCAAAATACAATGCAATAAATGCAATTTAGAGAGTAAGAACTTTACAAAAATTGTCAGTGAAAATGCAAAATACAATGCAATAAATGCAATTTAGAGAGTAAGAACTTTACAAAAATTGTCAGTGAAAATGCAAAATACAATGCAATAAATGCAATATAGAGAGTAAGAACTTTACAAAAATTGTCAGTTAAATGCAATATACAGAGTAATAACTTTACAAAAATAGTCAGTGAAAATGCAATATAGAGAGTAATAACTTTACAAAAATTGTCAGTAAAAATGCAATATACAGAGTAAGAACTTTACAAAAATTGTCAGTTAAATGCAATATACAGAGTAAGAACTTTACAAAAATTGTCAGTGAAAATGCAAAATACAATGCAATAAATGCAATATACAGAGTAAGAACTTTACAAAAATTGTCAGTTAAATGCAATATACAGAGTAACAACTTTACAAAAATAGTCAGTGAAAATGCAATATACAGAGTAATAACTTTACAAAAATTGTCAGTAAAAATGCAATATACAGAGTAAGAACTTTACAAAAATTGTCAGTTAAATGCAATATACAGAGTAAGAACTTTAGACTAGGTTATGCTTAATCCTAACCAAGGATAGAGAAGGATTTGTACAAATCAATTAGCGGAGATGGAATGACTATTGACCAGTCATACTCCAGTAGTGTAGCATACGTACTTGATTTGCAACCAAAATGGTCAAGCATGAATGTACCTACAAGACATGGCTAGTCTCTATTTTGCTCTGCTCGTTGTTTGAAATATTGGATTGATTTTTAATGCTTATTTTACAATAGCAGCAAGTGCACCAACCACCAGCTTTACATTTGGAAGCCAACAGAATCAACCTACAACATCGGCGACGGGTTTTACATTTGCAAATCAAGCAGCACCATCGACAAGCGGTTTATCCTTTGGAAACCAAGCTAATCAACCAGCAAGTGCCGCAACTGGCTTTGCATTTGGAAGTCAGCCTAATCAGCCTGCAACATCAACGACTGGCTTTTCATTGGGAGGGCTAACAACTCAACCAGTCAGCAATGCCACAAACTCAGGCTTTACTTTGACTAATGCACAAAATCAACCGACAACAAGTATACCTGCAAGCGGTTTCACTTTTGGATCCAATCAACCGCCATCGACATCGACCAACTTACTACAACAGGGCATGAATCCCTTAAACGCGGCCAAACCAACCTCTACCTTGTCCATTGGTGGTAGTCTAACAACGCTTTCCTTGCCTACAACAGCATCAACTTTATCCGCTACTGGCGGGACTGCTGTAAGTTCAACATGACAATTGATAGACAATATTTTCCAATTTGTGCATATCTCATAGTAGCTAAGCCAACTAGAATACGTGCGTTCACTTGGACAGTGTACATGGTTATGGTGTTGGTATAACTTTTCAAGGCACCATGATAGTATTGTACCGATGGCAGTCGATGTTTAGTTTATGGGACATCATTTTCGATAGTCCACTTTCCAGCTTGATGGGTGCTTTCATTGAGTTGAGAGAGAGAGTAGAAATGAGCAAGTTGCTTTGCTAATACAGTACCTTTATACAGTATGTACAGGCTTATTGACTTGCACTTGCAGAATTAGGTCCCAGTCACAAACCTTTCAATTCTTGGTGATACATGCATTGTGGTGGCTACAAGTGCCTAATGATACAATCATAGTAGACAAAATGCTTGAGTAATAACCATGTTATACACACTGCCAAAGCCAGTAGCGAAATACGAGTTGGTAGATGTTTCTCTTAGTAAAATTTTTACCGCTCATGCGATGCCATGACAACAATCCCTAGCCCTTCATTTAACTGTATATTTATACATCTTGTATGATGAGATTATGAGTATTTACAATCATCTGAAGAGACTGGATTTGCCCTTGCTGTAATGATACTACGTATACATGATTACAACCTGAATAGCCTTTTACTGTAGTGTGACTTCTGTCTACCAAGCTTATAGTCGTAGCACTGTACCTGCGAATTTACCACTTAAAGTATCGAAATCATTTTTCTGTTCTAGTTAAATGCACCAACAACAATCACTACCAGTTCTCTCCCTGGTCTCGGCACGACAGCTTCAACGGGTTTTGGCCTCGGAACGTCAAACAGTCTTGCTGGCCTTGGTAACCAGATAGCTGGCACCACTGGAGCCAATTTAAACTTGACTACTAATAACACGAATGTAGCAGTTTCGAAACCTGCAACGAGTGATCCATCCTTCTTGGTAATGGGAGGTACTGGCTTGCATAAGCAGAACTCTTCAGGTAGTGTTTACAGTTCAAATTTTTAGTCATGTTTTATGCATTTCATTAGCTCCAAATTGCATGTCATATCAGCTACTGTGAAAGAAATGTCTACATTACATGGAATGATGCATGGCTATTGAAGAGTTAATATCTAGATTCTATATCTAAAAATTTAAATTATATTTTATTGTTTTAGGGACAAGCTCTGGCAGGTAAATTTTTCAACTCTATTTCTGTAATAATTCATTACGTTAAGACTAGTAGGAGCTGCAGATGCTCTTTCACTATTTAAATACGCTGATTACTTATCCCTGTAATCAAATTATGCATTGCGTATGATGCTCAACTAGTTCTGTAAAAGATGTGAAAGACTCCTACTTGTTAGACGAAGTTAGTCCGATCGTGAATGCATACACGTAAGTTCGACTAGCCTTCAGACCGTATAATCAGGATGTAGTATGAATGCAAACTATTATGCTCAAACAATCATCAAAAATTAATGACAAGCCCTATTAAACTGCGATTGACAGGCAAGAAGTAAAGAAACAGAAAAAGTTTAGAGATGAAATCAATCAGATGTCACTAGAAGCAATTGAGAAGACAAGAGAGGAAATATCACGGTTAAACCAGGTAATCCTTTAAGAATAAGTGATGGCTTAGATTATTATTACATCAGCAGTATGTATAGTATTTTAATCTTTTCTCTTACGATAACTCAGTGAAACAGGTAGACTTGATTTTGATGACTCCAATATTCGTTAAGCTGTGACATTTATTGTTCTAGATTGCTGGTCGTTTAAGTAATGCTACGCAAAGAGATTCAACAGTGATTGGTAAATTGAGCGCGGCTACGCAGCAGGTTTGTAATGATTTATTAATGAATAAAGGAGCGGCTTTTAAATAGAACTCCTTGATACTTTTCCATGTTGACTACGTATGAATATAACAGCTTCGCTATAATTGAATGAAGGAATTAAGAAATACGGAAATTATCCAAAAATGCATAGACGGTCCTTCCAATTACCAAAATCAAGAAACTAATGCGTAAGAGCAATGACTGTAATATCATTATTGTATGATACTGTAGATTTATATCACTATGAAAAGAAATTTTATTTTTAAGCAGTGTCTACTGTCGTGAATGACAAATTGATGGTCTTGCCTTATAATTTTGTAAAATTATTTTCAACAGGTACTTTATGCGTATGTTGCAGCACTTTGAAGAGAGTATGAATTTATTTCAAGGGCAAATTGAAGAGATCGAAAGTCTATTGGCATCGACAAATCAAAATTCCGATTCTACCTATGGTAATTAAGCTTTTTTATATAATATGGATGCTATTTGACTCTAATATTGTGATGTCGCTTTGAAAATATTTCTTTATCGGTGATGGCGAATTAATGTCTAGATCAAATTTTTGTTTTAAAATAGCTCCTGATTACTTTAAGGACATGCACGACGTAATGATTTCCCTAGCCGTCCAGTTGCAGGACATTCACTCAGTTGTTAAGGTATTTCGTGCAGGATAATTTGTCGGTAACTGCAGTGATTATTAGTTATATTATATGATGTATGTAACGACAACGAGTTGTTAACTATCATTAGAGCCAACGCGAGCAGTATATTAAGTATCGTCGAATCTATTTTAAAGAAAAACATCCGGAACGAATTTTTGAAGATAAAAAGAAAAAGCGTAAATATTCAATTTGAGACTTCTTGCCAATTGTAACGTGATTTCTTTAAGGTTGCACTGTTTTTATAACTAGAGAGATATCTTGATAAGCCAAAGATTGGATCTAATCATAATCATACTGAGATTTTGAGAAGCGCCGGCGAGAATCCGTATTTAGGTATTACTCGATTTTCTTGGAGTTCATATACTTTATTACGCATATTGTTACCTCGTCCGAATTAATTTGGAGATTATAAAATGATCTTTAATCCGGTACTATAGCCTCACGTATAGCAAATGGAAAGGCGGCAACCAACGTTGGGTACCTAAACAACGTAGTCTTTAACATGGCAAACAGTCAATTAGCCGCTTTAGCAGGATTAGGCAATGTGAATAATCTTGGTACTACAGCAAACCAGGCAAATCTATTTACCAATTTTGGAAATAATTTCAACGCTGCGGGCATTCAGCCTGCGGGTAGCACGTCAGCGAATAATGCATTGAGCTTTGGAAACCAGCAACCGCTAGGCAATACTCTATCTTTGGGGTCTAATCCCGTTCCTCAGCAGAACGTTACTGTAAATTCGAGCGGTTTGTTGTTCGGTGGAAATGTAGCAGGTACAGGTATAGCTTCAGCACCTTTTCAGTTGCAAAATCCTCCGCTTGGCCGAAAATCTAGAAAGAAATAAGGCTGCTTCATAGATTGCTATAAAATTGTTGATAATTATTACTTAACTCATGCGATTAGCGACAGCCGTTGCTAATACAAAGTTATCCAGCCTAATTTATAGTAAATAATTAGTCTTAATTGCATCCTACTGTAATATTAGCCAAAATACAGCCATATCTACAAGTACGGTAATATGGTAGTGCTTTTTCATAAAAAATACTATTCGACAATTTATAACTGCAAATGAAATCTGCATACATTGTGCAGTAATCATAACTTTCCAGATTTTATATTGTGTATAAACTTATCTAAGGTATACATACGTATGGCATAGACTACTATAATAAGTCAGCATGGATGTTTATCCATCCTTAATTTCGAATGGTATACGTATGTACTGTATGTTTATATTTTATAACTGAGCGCTTGCTATTGACAATTCGGTCCGGACGTATGGGCAATCATAGACTTGTTTAAGATGCTAGCTAATTGTGCTATATGCATAACATGCTGATGGCAATTATCTCATTGTACAATATTCAATTAATGAAAGATAAAATGAAACTACTCTGCTTTATAAAATGTTGCATTTATCAATTGGCTTTAGCTTAAGCGAGAAATTACAGACTCATACTATGCTACGCTAGTACCGCAACTGGCTTTCTTATTGGCTGATTTATTGTGCACTTTTATTCTTGACACTAACATTGGTCTATTTTCGTTACATTATTTATAGGATTTACTGAGTAATATAATGCAAGATCTTACTCATACAAGATTATAATTGTAGTTTTGGGCGGTTGCTATTGCTGGGCTACAGCTAGTGATGCATAATACCCCTGATCGATTAACGAGAAATCAAAGGATGCCTGTATTATAATTTCATTACTGCAATTCTATAAATTTCTGCTTTTGAAAACATTTCAGGGATATGTTATTTATAGACCTTATAGCATTACAGTTGTACTGCCAGTTTACTGTTTATGGTATCTGCGAATTACTATATGAGTATACCGAACAGTACCGGATAATATAATCATCAGTAAATCTATGCACATTGGATGTACATGATTTATTGGCATAGCATTTAAATTTGTATTCCCATTAATGAATCAATATAAAAGAGTAGAAACATCTTACGTTTGTTCAGTTGAGATAGACAACCAACGCATACTTGTAAATTTGTTCAGTTGATTATCAAGAACTGTTGAATTGCGATATAAACGATGATTTACTATTTATTCAAATTTAATTATTGATAGACAATCACATAAATTGTAATTGTAATCTTATAATATGCTGAATTTTTGATAGAATTATATTTCTGTCATTGTTGCTGTAATCTTCCGTAACGACATTACAGGATCAAATCACTATTCTTTGAGCAGCTCAATTCTTCGATTCGATAGATAAATCAAATAAGAGCTGTAGTTGATATATTCAAAATTTTAAATTTATATTGTACTCGTATATGTACTGTATTATGAGATGACCAATACAATATTTACTAGTTCTAGTACATCGAATCTGTTATGCAACCATAATAGATCCTGCATTTAAATCAGGGATTGCAATACCACAAACTGAACAACTGATACCATAGAATTTAATGCATCGCTAACGTAGGAGCAACTATTTCCCGCCTATAATTATAAGAAAGAATAAAAGACAATCAAGAATATTACTTATATACCATTTTTTTAAAGAAAATGGACGAGTGTGTCTGACCTCCAAGTATATATTCGTTATTTGACGTTGGTCACCATCGGAGTCACCTTCAGTCTATAACATGAATATCATATTTTTACTATGTTATTGCAGAGACTATACTGTAGCGTACACAACTAAATTTAATTTTCATAGTGTGGCTGTTATTATCACGTTGCTACTTACTTTGTTATTTATACAATGTGCATAAAGATTTGCTATATTTGATAGCTCCTCATTCATAATGGCTGCCATTCTGTAATATATGCACAATCAGAGTAACTAAGTTTAATCTGCTGTTGATGATAAACCTGTCACATGTCTACATTATAGCAATAGCTTACTTCGATAAACTAATTCCGGTTCTGGAGGCGTCTCTCTTGACTTCCTTATTGGTAAGAAGCAGACATTCTGCGCCTTTATGAAATAAGTTTATACACTCGGCAGTCATATGAGCCAAAGTTTTTATTGCTACCGTATGCACTTCCTACGCCAAACAAATATTTCAGTATTTGATTTGCGCAGTTAATGCTACTTTAATATCCATACTTACTAGAGAACTACAATTACTTTCATCATTGCTACTTTGTTCACAATTTTTTATCCATGAATGTGCATCATTATACACCTAGTAAATAAACAACGATCTTCATTAAGATTTAATCTAATAACAGCCACTAAAGGTACGGTAATACGAGAGGTAGCCAAAGTCAAACCTCTTCAATTCTTTGTTCCATCCCTTCTAAATTAAGTTCCTTCAGGAGCTCTGCTAGAACTTTCATAAAATCTTGATCATTCCCTATGTTTTTGATAAATACTTAATTTTAAAACGATGCACAGGTATTTCATGTCGGACAGAATTGCAAGCTGATGTGGTTATCCAAACGCATACGAACCTGGTGGCATTTCGGAAGAAAAAGATTCTTTTACTTTTTCCATGCTATCATAGAGCAATTCCTCTGAACGGGTCTTTAATAGTGATTGAGTCTAATGTTTAGAAAAGTAATAAGTTTAAATGGATTGTTTTTGTTATTATTCAAGAATAACTGTAGAAACGTAATACTGTGCTGTAAGATATTTACTTTAAATTCGCTCTCATTTGAAAGGATTTCAAGTGCTTCTAGATGGGCATGACCTGCAACATAATAATTATAATTAAAAATGTAAATAAATTTATGTAGTTACATATTTTAGGCTAATTTGTTATAGTTATGTAAAGATTATTTCTTTGCAGAAGTATTATAATCATTAGTCAACATAGTTTACTCTATTCACCCTGAAATTCTTCCAGCAAATTGTTGTAATTGAAATGCTCCGGTTCAGGTTTCGATGTAATTAATTCCGTTTGAGTCTAATTGATATTATTTCATATCATTCATAAGTGTATAATATAGTGTAACATGATGATACGAATAAACATTTCATAACATAGAGGTCAGACTGATAACAGACCGCATAAAGACCATACTCAAAGATTACAACATGATTACAAATATTAAGTTACTTAAGTATAGAAAACGTATCTGTAATAAACTTCAAATTTAATCTATTTATAGCACAAAGTATTCCACATTTAGCGAAATATTAATACTGTTGTATCTACAAAAATTAATGAAACTACAATACAGTATAAGTATGAACAGAGTCGATACGTTCATCAATTTAGTAAAAAGTATAGAGTGTACCAGAATGTAAGTTTGATAGAGTTGAGGCTACGAAATGATATCTATAATGTTGCATAATTAAAGTCAACATTAACCTCTTTCGGTTGAACTTCAGGATTCTTTTCCCGCGCTTCTCTTAATAACTACAGTATGTATGAAAGTTTAATTTATCAAATTAAAACGGTTATCACGCAGAAATAGGATAAAAATTAAAGTACTAATAATGAAGGTAAACGAATGTATTGATACGTACATCAGATAATTTTGGTTGGGTATTGTTGATAGTTATACCTAACAAACAGATATAATTGAGCTAATTTTGAGCAATGCAGAATATTGTGTCTATAGTAAATAAACCATAAGCTATGTAATGGTATTATACTATAGGGCTCGATTTAGTTGGATGGAAGTATTGAATTTGTTATTAACTTTCTCAGATTACCTGCTTCTTGTTCTGTTATCACGCTGGCGGTTTTTTTACCGATTTTTTCGAATGTTTCCATTCCGGTTGCAACTAGTTGCTTACCCTACATGACAAACAGCTACATTAATATAACCATTTAATAATGAAGTCAATGTTTTGCTATTAGGATTTACCATGGTTGATAATGCTGTAGCTCCGGAAAAAAGAAAATCTTTTGATTCATCTGTATCTTTAGATTGGTCCGGGTTATCTGGTACTTCTATATATATTTTGATAGCCTTCGATTAAGTGATGGATTTTGCTAGATAATCGAGTACTATTGCATTGTGGCCTACTACATTAGGCCGATTTAATTTCTATAAGCAACCTTCATCCTTTTTGTTCAATTGATTCTGCTCTGCAAGGTTCTCAGGATCTGGTACACCTAACGATGATTCCACTGTGTCTAAAACTGTGTGACCTAATTTTGAAGTACGATAACTATCAGTTAGAAATTAAGGTTACGATTTTAATGTCAAGAATTTTTTAAAATTATATTATGCGTGTTTGAACAAAGCAATCTTCAAGTAGACTTAAAAGTCGAAGTAATTAAGTCAATGTCATGGCTTTACATAGGTAGTGCAATTTATAGTGCTTTAAAGAATTGATTAAAGCTACTTTACTGTAAGAGGAATACGTGGAAACACCAGAAGCTAATGGCACAAATGTTGTGCAGTCAAGCTTGTCTATTTTTATACTATGTTACAGCTGAAACCAGTTGGTTGCATTAGTAAGTATTGGATACTGCCTTCACCAAGATGGTACAATTTATAGCGCTTTTAAGCACTGACTAAAACTCCTTTCACTATAATGGCCAAGCATGGGTAAAGCAGAATTCAATGGCACAAACATTGTATAATTAAGCTTGTATATTTTTGTTATAAGTTACAGTTAAAAACAAGTGGTAGCATTAGTAAGTTTTAACGTGCATAAAGTAATCCGCTATATTAGATACAATTGTCATGTACCCTATTTATATCAAGCTACTACCAAACTGATGCCTGATGCTATGGGAACAGTACTTATAATAGATCAATTTTTGTATATATCGGAAGATTTTGAACCAACTTTGCATACAGATTTAAAGTGAACTATCAGTTAATGAAAGACGGTATACAGACAGCATTGTAACTTATCATCTGTTTGTTGAGTCTTATCCGAACTTTAAAAAAGAGCAATTAATAAAATTGGTTACCTATAGTGTGTGCTTGTTGTGATATCTTGGCGACGGTATCAGAAGCAGAAGAAATCCAGGAAGAAAATCCCCAACCCCATCCACTCTTCTGCGATTGCTGAGGCTAAAATGGAATAGCGTATTATCAATAATTTTATAGGTGAAGAACAGTCAAGTCAATTTGAGTATAATAACGTGGATATATGATATGCCATTCTGCAATCTAAGAACTGCATGCTTATTCGTCTAAGATCGTAACCTAGTACAACACACTAACAATATCTACTGTATATATATATATATATACTTGTGCATATATTATAATATACTGCATAATTAATTCATTCATCCACAATAATAGGTATAGGTATAGTAATGATATCTAATTGAAACTAAATCTGTTCTGATATTTGTTTCGTTAAAGTCGCATAGTTGGTAGTAATCCAGTGCGGAAAACCCTAATAATTCATAGGTATCTCATTATCGCCTTCACAATCGACTTGGATGATACAATAGCAAATTAAGATCATTAGTATTGATACCAAAGGCAACATGTCGATCTTTGAGCCGATTGTTAAAGTGGTTCAAATCCAAGGGGAAACTACTCGTATAATTAAATATGATGAGACTTTAATTTTCCATGTCATATCGAGTACGGTATACAGTAATTGTTTGCACATTATGCTTCATTAAGCATCAGCGTTGAAGAGTTCATTGTAATTGATTAACTAAACTACTGTACAATAAAGATGTATTTCATTTAAGAAAGCAAACCTCGTTGGCTTGAGGACTTTTCTGCTTGTCTTGCATTTCATCATTAGTCCTATTTTGCTTGGTATCGTGTATATCCGATCTATCTATAGGATCCTTCTTCTCGATAGGCTCGTTAACCACCTCTAGCTCATCATTTTGTGCCTTCTCTTGGCTATTTTGATCCTGGATGATTTTTTCAGGCGTCGACGGTGTTTCTACTTGCTTGGCTGGTTCTGTTGAACTTTTTGTATCACAAGTTGTTTCATGCAATTCTTGTTGTGTTTCTGTTTCCTCAGTTGTTTCACTTGTTTCATGTGATTGTTGCTGTGCTTGTGATCCTTGTATAATTTCAGTGATTGGTTGGCATTTTTGATCAGTTTCCGTCTCTTCTTTGCTATTGTTATTGTCCTCCTTTCCTTGGTCAGAAAGAAGTTCAGATGGATTCTCTTCTTCGCTCGTCTTTCCATCAGTATCTTGTGGCATTGAAGTAATATCGACCAGACTTGTTTTTGATGTCTCTTCTGCTTTATTTGGGCCATCCTCATGGCATTGTTGGCGGTGGGTTTCTTCACCTTCGTCAGCACTTTCAAAATCTTGGTCTTCGCTATCGCTTGCCGAAGACATTTTGGATTTGCTTTTTGATTGCGTCGACTGATTCCTGCGGTCTTTGATTGCTTCGAGTCTGCGCGTGGAAATCGGTCCGATAGGTCGTTCTGTCCGCTATGTCTGTATGGGAAAGGGGCTGTCTACTACAGTGTACAGTGTACAGTGTACACTCACAGTACAGTCAGTACTGTACTGTGTCTGGGAACAAGAGACACCCGAAAACGGTTGTTCTCTATACTAATAACGTGGAGACTGATTATTTAACTGGTCATTTCAAGTATATTGCATATCTGTAACGGTACACTATACTGTCTGCGAAAGGCGTCCAAATGAACTACCAGCTCAGTTTCATCGGTAGTATAGAGCAGAATGAGCGAATAAATGGTCCGCTTCCACCTTATTTTACACTGTGGTCGTTTCCTGTCCCGTCTCTTTCCTTTAGCAGTCGCTGATTGTACGCTACCAATCGTGTATAAAAACTTAAAAACTTTGAGTATGCCCACCATATAAAATTCTCGCTATGTCTGCAACATGCGTAGTCCAGTACTCCATTTGATTCCGACAGACAGAGTGGACGGAAATAGTCGTTCTATACAGTAGATACGCACCCACTGTTTCGTTAGTCATTTCAACTATACTACGCGTCTCTAACGGTACACTATACTGCGAGTAGGACGATCGACGTTTGTCGATATGAGTTGTTACTTTTCACATGGCCAAAATCGTTTCCAGGAAGCTCTAAATAATAAAAAGATCTATCCATCTTTTACCAGTGTGTCGTAGATGAACTAATTATTCGATTTATTCAAGTAAAATTTCATTTTATGCCATAACTACCTTAGAATCATCCATTTTGCTACAGTAGAAAGTAAGTGCTAGCGCATTAGCACAGTGAAAAGTACCGTCAATCTGAAGGCTGTACTGTGTGATTGTACTGTAGTTGAACGGTTGCCTTGGAAAATCTTCCAATTGCAATTTACCTTTTGCTAAAGCTGTGAGAGATATAACCAATTGAATAGTCAATCCTTGGCCATTAGCAGTAAAATGTCGTCCAGTAATAAGGGTGTAAGTTTATTGATACAATCTAGAAGTGAATGGCAGTATTATGATCATGGATAGTGCTACTTAGTTGGATATTGACGGTATGTTAGCAAGGAACTTGTTCATGGTAGAAGAAGCATGACGGTTCTAGCACAGAGAGCAAATTGCCTTTATGGACGATTTGATAGGGTTACTGTAGCATGATTTATAATCCATCATAGAGTAATGATAGACTACTCATTCTTATTGCTGTATAAGTAACCATTTTCTTGACAATTTGGATATGTATCATGTAGAAGATAGACGATCATAGACGAAAATGGGATGTTGATAAGTTTGAAAAGCTTGCAAAAGAAAGAGCTGATGGCTACGACAAGGATGATAAACGTAAGCATCATTGGTTCGTCTGGGTATACTATTGACAAATTGTCAACAGTATTGATACACATAGTTTATAACCTAAAGATAGGAAAGGATTGATAGAAAGTAATATAGTGCTAGCTTGCCAAGAACAAATAGTCATTAGAACAGAGTTGAAAATTGAACTGTTGATGACTACTAGGTCTACTCCACTCGACAACTACAAATCTATAGGCTTATTTGCAGCGTTATCTTTTGTAGCACCCTGCTTATAAAGTTGAAAGGACCTAAGATATACGTACATCAATTCTGGGTCTACTTTACTTGCTATGATGGCTCTTGTATCGAGAAATTGAGCTGCAATGCCAGCAGTAGTCCCTGAGTTACTTTTAGTTTCAAGCATGTTATGTCAGTTTATCGTAGTAAGAGCTCGTCAATTTGTTTAAATTAATGCCTTCGATAGATCATTGTTGCTAAAGTATCAGATTTTGGGAGGAACAATAGGTTAAAAGTTGAACCTAATCGACGTAAAAATTGATTGGCTTTTAGATGATAAATCATCTATTCCTGTCAAGCGAGAATTATTAAAGGAACGCGATTATGAAGTTAGTAACATGGATTCAATGTACTGATTGCTAAGCATAGATCTTACTACGGTAGTGGAGTCATTACAATCAGCAAGTGATCAACGTAGTATTTATAATGCAATACAATGCTTACATAGGTTGATTTAGATTCTAAGGTCGGCAAGTCGATAGTGATAACAAAGACAACACCGTCATCTCTATCTGGAGGGTAAGGTCTTTTTCACAGCTTTTTATTGATATCTAATGCAGATCGTCGTTTATTAATTTTGAAGTGATAACTGCTTGGCATGTGTCTTTTCACTTTTAGGTATTACTGTAATGTTTGCGACTGTGTTATTAAAGATTCTATGAATTTTCTCGATCATATCAATGGCAAAAAACGTGAGTTTGGCTTGCTGTTCATGATTACGGATTGTACATCGCTAATGATGTTGTTGTAATGTTGTATCAGCTCCATCTTCATAGAAAAATCGATCGATTTGAATGAGCTTTAAAGTTGCATGGGATATTTTTCAGATCAAAGAAATTTGGGTATGTCAATGCGCATTGAAAGATCATCCCTTGAAGATGTCAAGAATAGATTTGCATCAAACAAGAGAAAGAAACTTGAAGTAAAAAAAACTTATGGTATCCTTGCTTGATCAATTTGAAAGTGCTATATGATACTCTCCTATTTCGCATAGGTGATACCATACGAGCAAATTAGAGTAATTGCTTTTATGAGTGATCGTAATTTAGTGTACGTTATTAAAAGCTTGGATATACAGTTGACTACATACAAATGTGTAAACCTTGATGGAATTATTAGATTTTGAAGCTCGAATACAGGAATTAAAGGAAGAGGTATGGTTGTTGATGACGATCGATTCTCTCTAATAATGAAGTAAATAGTAGGTTTTATTAACATCGTGCACGTCATTACCTTCCTCTCTAGGAGGAAAAAATGAAAGCTACTAAAAAAGAGAGAAGGAAAGAAAAGAAGATGCGTCCAAGTAATAATAGTGATGATGAAGGTGGCGATATAGATCCTGAAATGGCAGCAATGATGGGATTTAGTGGTTTTGGATCTACGAAAAAGTGATGTTTAGTTGTTCCTGTTATGCCATTTTATGCGTCAAACTTGGCATTTGACATGTCGTACTACAGTATTGTACTAGCTGATTTATTTATGTTGCTAGGTCTTGTATTATAACGATTTGTATCAATATTATACTTTGTTAATTGAATAGCTCTAGTTCAAGAATCTATTCCATATCCAATCTACTCATGTAAAATTGTAGCTAGTATTGAGTGGGTTGGATGTCTGTGCTACGGATGAGTTGATGATGCATTTTCTCCACGATAACACTGTAATAGTGTTGTAACTCTGTGATACTTTTTCATATCACTGCTACCCATGGCACATTGCTTGCGCGATTGCTACACCTGTATTTGATGACTGTAAAGTTGAGAATTGCAATGTAAAGTGTTCCTTCGGTACACCCACAGAAACGTAGTCCATTTTGTAAATTTAACATCATATTCAGGAAATGATAAGGACTTTTCCATTGCCTACTGAATTTTCATTTTTAAACTCAATACATTGTGTTCCAGGCTTGTGCATTACTTACAAAATGGAAGATTGTAGTCATGCAACGATGGCAATCATAACGCCATTACTACACCTTGTTCAATAAAATTTGTACTTCAGAAATTGACTACATTAGAAATCTGTCTAGTATTGTATGATTTGAATGAAAAGATCAGTCAAAGGATCTCAGCCTCTGTATTTTTATGCAAAGAGATGAGCAGTCGTTATTTCTCTCTCTTTAGTAGCGCATGTATATACATGTAAGGTCTAGTTCATGTTGATATTTGATGATCCGATCCAGGCGATTTGAACACTGACTCACGACAGTTCTGCAAAATCTGGTATAGTAATATAAACGATAGTCGTTGGTGTACGTTTATTAATTCTATATTATTCATGTACAGTGCATGATAATATCATTGCTAACTCCACTTTTTGCATGTAGCAACATCAACAAGGGCTTATAGTCAACAGAGTATTTTGTACTATTGTATATTGTACATGTATAATGCATGCATGAAACTTTGACATACTCGTCCATTGCTTTTACTATTTGGCGATATTCAAAATCAAATTATTGAAGCGTACAGAAACTTGGAATAATCTGTTTCATGCTCAACGACTGGAAATAGACACTGTATGATAGCATGATGAGTCTTTTTGGAGTATCATCATGACTATGATTGCCATCATGGTGGTTAACGGAATGGCATCTTTACGCAAAGATTGTCAAATTGGACCCATAACTCTGCAGATTGATTGATATTGCAGTTCTTTATTTTGATCTTCTATTTTACTAGAAGCAGCATTTTTACACTTTTTCCTTTTTTGGGAGCAGAAATGGAGCAATATCGATCCATGTTTAGCCATCACTTTACCCAATCTCAATCTATGGCTCTCTTGTCAGTGTGGCACCACTAGACACTAGTCATGAATTACATAACTTTGGCAGTATGAACATTCAGCAATCAATCAACAAATCCGCTGGCAACCAATGGCTTCTCCTTCCTCTGGAAAGGAAGAAAGAATCTGATTTGCATAGGAATACAATAACTTTTCTTGACTACATGTATACTACTTACTTGGGCTGTCTTTATGTTCTATATTCGTCTACAATAATCCATTCTGTCGCCATTCCATGGTCATCATCGTCTTGACAAGACTACTGCTCTGAACACTAGATGATCTAAATCATGCAAACAGCGGGAAGCCTGCTGTGCATGCAAATCATTCAAGCCATCATCAATAGCGAGATCATGCCATTGTAAGCCTTTAGTCAATATTTGCACGTTAATTTCTTTCAACTATAGTTTACATCGAGGTAGGTGCCCAGTGAGAAATCGAGTAGATTATCATAATAGTATAGATACTAAGCCTATAGCATTGAAATTAGGTCACACTTCCGTACTATAAGGAGGATAAAGCCGTGGATATTCCGTCCATTTTTGTCATTCTTGTAGTTTTACCGAAAGTTGCCTTGGCATTGAATTAGTCCAGTCTTGGAGAGCAATAGCAGCCGAATTTTAGAGGTAAGGCAGCACTTTGACTTTTCCCCCTTTTTCATACTATTTCTATGCGGTAGTGGAGGGCAAGTGTACTGAGTTAGCCAACGACCTGATGATTTCTAATTCGCTTCTAAAATCGATCTTGAATCGATAGCGATGGTAATCAACAGTAAATTCTATCCATGAGCATCAATACAAAATAGTCATCATCGCTCCATCACGCCTACTTCTTCCGTTGGTTAGAAAAGGTCCAAAATCAGAAAAAAACTTCAACAAGGCACAAGATACACTCCATGCAGCTAAAGTAGTGACTACTGAATAGTTCCATCCATTTTATTTTATACGATTGATCCCCCAAATTGCCTATAAGATAAAAACGAATGGAATAACCATGATACCGATGATATCAGTCCAGAAACGAGTATAAGAAAGGCAATTCTACTTCTTGTCCAGTTACAAAATAGATTGAATCCATCAGCAAGGGAAATAATCGCCTATGTTAGATCATTACCTTGTGTGGTAACCTCAGTCATGACAAGGGATTATCCTCGATCGCTTGTTCCATTTGTATTCTCAAGTTACAAAATGGATTGAATGCATCAGCAAGGGAAATAATTGTCTATTTTAGATTATCACCTTGTGTGGTAACCTCAGCCATGACAAGGGATTATCCTCGATCGCTTGTTCCATTTGTATTCTCATGCCTATCCGTACACCGACATCATCATGGAATAGAAACAACACTGTTAGCAGTCGATTTCTTAGGCGTAGCCTCGTCATCAACTGTACATAAATCTTGAATAAATATATAATTCATATTATGATGAAGATTAAACAAAAGCCTAATGGTAAAACGATGAATGCATCAAGTTGTAATCTGGAGTGGCGATGAGTGAGAAAGGCCGATCGTAGACTAGGGCTTGGACCGTAGGAGAGGAAATAGTCATGGTTAATTAATTTAAATGGTCTTGATGGGGTGATGGTTTATTCGTATTTTCACTCGGTAATAGACAAATCCATTTGCTATATCTCTCTCGAAAGCGATCGTCGATGGAGCTATATACTCCTTTATAGCCAAAATTCACTCACTGCTATACTACTTCAAAAACAACATGCAACCAACAAGGACAAGTAGTTTCTCCATAATGATATCATCGCCCATTTTCTGGCGTCCTTAATTAAAAAAACATGGGAGACAACGTCAATTAACGTAGTGTAGGGTATTGTCTATCCATGATACAGTCTATAATGACAGATGATGATAGGAAATGGCGCAGGCAGGCGGCCAAGAAATCATGTCTACCTGATTACCATTTTCAGCACAATAGTTCTGTACCTTACTTTCAGTCATTTTCTCAATCCCTTTTGCTGTTGATAAGGGTGATTTTAATACTACTTTGGCCATGATGTCGCATGAAAACCAAATGCTCTTCTACCTATCGATTATGCTTTTAGGTATAACATAACACTCATTTTACTGCTCGGAGCTTCATTTAATTCGTCTAAGGCAAATCAAAAGTAAAGGAAAAACTTTTCGATCGAGGGATACCTAGTACCGTATAACGCATATTCAGTGAAGTGATGTTGATGCGTTGAACGCTCTTTTTGAGGATGGGACTAATTTCCCAATTTTTGAATATAGAAGTGTGTTTCGTAGTATAGTATAGCAAGTATTTAGTCAAGCAAAGTGAAGGAGTTTGATCCATCTACGGTATCAAAATCTGCATTCGTTTTACTTCTATGACTAAAATTTGCAATCACGGAGATGGCAGTCACGTAGTCTTGCTCAAAATGGCTTGACATGACGACTAATTACTCGCTAGTAAATGTTAGAGCGTATTATTTCTATCGATTCTTGAATCCTCTTACTAAAGGGATTATTCGATCTGCTCTCCTTTTACCTCTATGGCTAGGACTTTAAATCATGGAGATGGCATTCATGTCGTATTGATCAAAATGCCTTGACGGCAATACTCGTCAGTGGATGTTAATCGCAGCGACATTCGATCAATCTCGCTGGGATAATAACTTCATTTCTTCCAAATAACCCATTACAAAATGTCATGGTCGCCAAATCAGATACGGGATATATCCTAATTTAATTGAGCATGCTAGAATAGTTTACAGTTCACCATAGCATATTTAGCATAATACGCCAACGGATGCCCTAGACGTACAGTAGAATCGCATTTTACAAGTTCTTAGTGACTAATCACCTACAGCAATAAAATAGCAACTTCATGTCCTTGAATATGCGTATCTAGTGTACTCTACTAGCATATGTTGCCTCTTTCCTGTTGTCTGCAATCAGGTTCATTTATTTTCATCATTCAATGCTCCTATACGTATGGTAGATTATTTTAACATTCATTGGCGCTGATAGACAACTTCGAATTGACTAAAGTATTGGCTACAACGATATTGAAAATGAGTTTAAAATGGACAGAAATGATCATCGCATCGCAAAGTGCAATAATAGGCCAACAATGGTCGGAAATACATTACTAAATGTTTGTTCAAGCGATACCATTCTCATTGCGTCTAAATAAATTGATTATTAATCCATCTGTCAAATCCCCTTATTCATGCATCTTTAGCTTAACGTTCATCTTTTCTGATTCTAGCCTAGTTACTTCTTGACTATCATATTACTGGTGTCCACGAAAGAGGCAAACTTTCCACTTATTCATTCTACCAGTGTGATAAGTTACTTGATGACTTCTAAGATCGCTCGTTTAGTGGATGGCCAGTAATCCAATTAACGCCATTTAGTCAATCAAATCCAAGTTTTTTGCCCACGAATCCTGCCTGAACTTTATTGCTGGGACAGTAAATGTTACCATCCTGTTCTGATCGCATTTAGCTCACAAACGAAGTGTGAGAAGGAGTTGCAAAGTGCATTTTATGCTATGGCACTATGCACTACTTACTCACTTTTCTTATCCTATCAATGCTAGTAGGACACTAAATACGTAGTTGTAAAAGTTTTTGAGCAATGCTATCTAACTTTGACACGCTATTACTGCTCCTACAACATCAAATAGTTACAAAGTGAGTTATACACTTGGACACTTGCTGGCTGCTTTCTCTAACTTTCACATCCTATTTTGTAGTGAAATAGTACATCAAATCATTGCAATCATTTTGGAGTAATACTTTCAAACTTTTGACATGCTATTACTGCTCATACTACATTAGATAGTTACAAAATAAGTTATGCCCTTTGGGCGCTACTTTCTAGCTTTCACATCATCTTCAATGTACGTCAAATAATTGCAATCATTTTTGAGCAATGTTTTCTATCTTTGATATGCTATTACTGCTAATACTACATCAAATAGTAACAAAGTAAGTTATGCTATCGTAGTTGGGCGCCTGCTTTCTAACTTTCTCATCGTATTGGTGTTCATAGGACATCATGACCGATATTAAACCAAAAGTTAGACCGGCTCGTCGACCACCAGAGCCTCAACCTGCCGTTGCTAATTCTTCCAGCCCATATAGTAATATTCGTCCACCGAATAGGAAGCCACCACCACCCGTTCCTCCACCTAGACCTGATCTCTTACATCGGACATCATCCGAACATGGCGCCGATGCCACAAGCTCAACACCCAAGGAGAAAGTGGGCCATATGAATAGACAATCAAGTTTTCCAGAAGTTTACCGACCCAAACCACCCACTCCAACGCGAAATCGCGATTCTCTCTCGGAAGAATCTGCCTATCAATCCATCCGCGATAGCTCAATACATCAAAGTTTCTATCAATTGGATGATTCAAGCACTGATTCTGACTATCATATTTATGCTCATGGGCCTATACCTGAACAAAATCCAACGCCAGCTAAACAACGACCCGGACGGCTACCGCCAGAATTGCCGAAATCTGTTGAAAACCGCTCGCCAAGGACACCTACATCGCCAGCAAGCTACGTTCAATCCTCTCCTCGGGCTCCTCCTAACAGTCTAATAGAACCACCTCGTAAGTACTGCATCATTTAATAGAGAGGATAAATATTTGAATAATCTAGATGATGGTATAGAACACCTTCTCAATACGACAGTCTTGCTTGAAGATCAATTCAAACATGGAACTTACTGTACATCGACATTATTTAAACATGAAAAACAACCAAGAAATAGTTGGCATATAATTTCCATTTTACCTCACCATTTTAGACAGTACTCATGTCATACTAAACTGCAACACAGTTATATGTACCTTTTCCATTATTGATACCCATCCATGCGATGATTAGAATACTTTGTTACCTAGATGACATTTGATATCAATGATTAATCATTTATTCCATTTCTTCCATGCTTTCAAGCTATAGCAGTGGAAGAAGACGACGAAACGGCAGACTGGATTACGGTATAGATCACTACAGTTCATGAATATTGATACGTATGGGCTATTTTATTGGCCAACTAATCGAAAAAAATATTCAAAGTGGCAGCAGTTACTGTCCTTGTGCTATACTACCTTAGAATTAATGGAGTTATTTGCTTTTGTAATTTATTGACATAATAACAGCTAATCTTGGCAATTCTACTTCTGGCAAAATTGCAACACCATCAGCAATATTTCACTTTAGTGTTGCAAGATTGTAGTATAGTCTTTCAATCCAGGACCAGTCGATAATTATACGAATAATGCTGAATTTATAAACTTACAGTAGCTCTATCTGTTAAATCGCCTTCATAACTACTGTACCATGCGTTGGAATGAAATACAGCAATGTCCTTTTTAAAAGTTTCTCAATATGTTCAATTGCCACGCGTAGTGTATTTCATTTCTAATCATTTGATTTCGTATTTCATTAAGGAAATATTATCATTAATTATCAACTAGGTGCAGCACTCATTCCAGCCTTTCATTTCGAAACCGGAAGATGCTAAGGTATTAGTTTGAAGTTGATTGCTATGAATTAACTGACAATTTATTGGTCTACCATGGATGTGATGAATATTGTAAGAGTGGTAACATCATAGTATTACAAGATACGTGATGATGTCTATTGCTTTATATCATCAATATTTACTCTAGCTTGGATGTTTTTTTTTTTACCAATTTAGAAAGCTGCCAGTAGTATGGCACGTGAAGGATACCTAACTGTTTCTAAATCTCGAATTCCATCGGAAAAGATATGGGTGAAATATGATTCAAAGACCTTGAAGTTTTATGACAACGAAGAAAAGAATAAATTGTTAGATATCGTTCCAGTGTCGGAAATGAAAAGTGCTGAAATAAAATCCGATAACGCCAAAAGCGGCTTTAAATTCGTTTTAGACACATTTCCTGAACAATATAATTTTAAGACTGGAACGTTTGAAGATGTACAGCTGTGGGTTATGGCGTTAACTAGTGGAATTATAAAGGAAACTCGACGAGTGGAGGAGTTAACCGGAGGAAACATGGAAAATCCTACCAAAGCTGGTTATCTCAAAAGATCGGGTGGGAAAAAATTATTTATGGTTATTAAAGATCAATACATATGCTGTTATCACAATCAACAAGATTACTTAGACAATAAAGTGCTGCGAAGAATTGATAGTAAGACGTCTAGTGTTCGAATTCAAGACAGAGCCAAATATAAATTTATTTTGAGTTTATGCGATAAAGAATTGAAGTTGCAAGCAGAGAACGAAGAAGACATGCTAGCATGGATCTCTACCATACAAGGAGCTATCAAGATTGCATTACAAAATCTTGATGATGGTGGCTCACTCCCTGCAATGGAAGTTAAGAAATATATCTACCATAACAGCAGTAATAGAATTTGTGCGGACTGTCTATCTAGAGATCCCGAATGGGCCGTTATTAACTTAGGCATAACTATATGTGAGAAATGCGCTGGCTTCCATCGTAAAATCAGTACCGATTTTTCTAAAGTTAAATCAATTACCTTAGATTCCAAATGGACTCCTGCTCGTATCAAGGTAATAAAAGCAGATGAAAGATCAACAAATAAATTATTGGCTGGCTGCTGTGACCGTTATTAACTAATAAATAGTCCTTCCAATAATTTCAGTCTTTATCTTGAAAGAATATTTTACTCTTCAATCCATTAGCTTTTCCAAGAAATAGGCAATAAGAATTCAAACAAATTTTTCCAATATGCCATTACACAATACGATAAGATTAATCCGAATGTGAATGAGTACGCAAAAAATTTCACTATTTAAAAATTTTGTAATTTCATGATCAAATTTTCAACTTTGACGTTTACCTTTTAGTGTTCAAAGGCTGGAATTTATTAAAAGTAAATACGTAAAGAAAGAATTTTATCAATTTTCTAAATTCAAAGGCGATGCAAAAGGATTGGGAGAGGTAAACTTTACGAAATAGTTATCATATCTATATCCATGCAGGAAAGGATAATCTTCATAAAAAATAAATATCGAGTATGCATGGTGCTAGCAGATATACTAATTTTTATTCTAATTTATTTGTAAGGCTTTATGCGAGGTTGTAAAAACCGATAATATCCTTGAAACTCTTAATTTATTACTCTCTGGTGCCGATGTAAGTATCCGATGTAGTGTAGTCGACTTATAGACGCCTAAATGTCTTTGTAGTCTAGTGTTTCACTTTTCTATTATGTCGTTGTATTGTAACATGATGTGCAAAAATTAATGTCGATAGCTTAAAAATTTTAGTGACGCTGATCCCTTTTCTCTACACTGATTTTGATAGTCTTATAATTTGATACTATGAAATCATTTTGTTACATCATATCACTAATTTTTACATCAAGGTGAAATATGTGAGCACGGAAGGCTTTTCTCGTAAGATAATACTGAAATTATATTACGTGAATTTAATTTAAATCATCGATAGTTGTATTTTAATTCTAAAAATATATACCTGCATCTTTTACTCATGAATCTATGACAGCCATTCAGTCGGCTATTCTTCACGATCAACCGCTACAAGTGGTACGATATTGCTCAAGCAGCTCGAATGAAATTTTTTGCTACAGAGTCTATCGCTACTCGCATTTAATTACTGTATTTTATTTACTTTAGGAATTATTGCAAGCCCATTATGATGGTACAAATTCATACTATTATTTCATGACAGCCTAACTGTACTAGTATCTTACGGTTTTAAATTAAATTAATAATATTAGATTTGGGTGGTGAAATGTTAAATCCTGGAAAGTTATCCTCGGTTAAGGTATTCTCAAGCTAAAATTGGTTCTGACATTAATAAAAGTTATTCCTATTTAGATTCTATAGTTAATGTTTAATTTGTATTTGATTCCAAATATTGATGCTACTTTTGACCCATTTTTGTGACCTACTAACAGTTCATGACGCTCATAGAGAATATTGCTCTGCATCAGAAAAAAATTGCAAAATTATTAAAAGTTGCCCCTTCCTCTACTTTTGAAATTGACTATTGATTTTCATGGTATGTTTACAGTTACCACCTAGTTCTGAAATCATCAAGCAAGGATACCTAGACAAGAAAGGACCCCAAACTTATGATGTAAATATTGATGAAAAAGATATTTTGATTACTTACCTATATTGAATTCATCGCATACTCACTGTCTTTGTAATGGAAACACATTGATCGATATGTTTTACAGAGATTCCTCAAACGTTACTTTGTTTTAACACCAAAGGAACTCATTTATCATAAGGATGCATCCGTAAGTAAAATATACGCGTACATGTCCACATTTATAACGAAGTCATCTAATAAAAATAGTACATTCTTATTCAATAGGTGGCTGGTAGAATCAGCGTAAGCTCAATAACTGATGTATCTGTACAAGGTATGAGATTCTTTCATGGAAAACTTTACGGAAAACATTCCTATATTTGGCATTGACGTAAAGTAATTTGTAAATTCTCTTTTTACTTTTATCCTCTTCAATTTTAGGAAATTGCGAGATTGTAATATCTACACAACAACGGTATAGTCATATGCTTTGTAATTATAGTCAAAGTGTTGTAAAATATCGCTTCAAACAGCTTTATGTTACAGTTCAATATATATCAAGCACGAGGTTGTTTATTCAATGTTTCGAGCTAATGATTTACTGACCTTGAATTGATACAGAAGTTACACCTGTCGTGCAAGTAATGCGGAAGAAGCAAGAGAATGGGTTGAAGCGATTACATGGAAAATTAAGGTTATTGCGTTTTAATTTAACAGTAATGCCATTCACGCTATATTGTAAAGTAAGGAGAGCAATCCTTTTTTGATGTTAGTACGCATCGATCTTGCTTTTTTTATCATAACACTGACGACTGCTAAATTCTAAATTTCGCTGATATCGGCCAGGTTTTCGAGGTTCCAATTGAACACCAAGATACTGCTGACGGTATTCCATACGTTGTCGATACTTGTATACGCTTCATTGCCGAATATGGTTAGTGAGCTCAAAATACTAAGTAGAATTTAGTGAATAAGCCATACAATGAAGTTGAAGAAATTCTTTGTGCTAAAAGATTACATTAATTGACGTACATCAATTGCTTTGATAGGCCTTCAAGAAGAAGGCATTTACAGAAAGAGTGGTAGAAATAATATGGTTGAGCAGCTGCGTAAGGCGTTTAACGCAGGTAAAAAGTATAGTTAGCTTTAACGAATTAGTGCCATGTAGTACCGAATTGCCGTCAAATTTTATGTATTCGATAGACACATATGTATTGATAAATTTGTATTATTGTATTTACTGTGACAATAATGATCAAAACTTGAACCGTTTGCTCTATTTCAGATGCTGCTAATGTAGTCATAGATCCAGAAGTCTATTCGGTACATGATGTTGCATCAACACTTAAGAAATATTTTCGTACATTACCGGAATCGATCTTTACGCAAAGGCGGTCAGATAGTATCATTTGTACTTACAGTAAGTTAAATAATAGTTAAAATTTCGTAGGCTATAATTTGGTGTTTACTTATTTTTACTCATCACTCCTTCCATGTAGGTATCAATAGTAAATCTGAAAAGATTGAAGCTCTGAAAGGATTTTTAGATGACTTGCCCGAAGTTAATTATCGAACTTGCCGATACTTGATAAAACATCTTGTTAGGTATGAAGGAGAGTTAGTTGCATGTATTACTGCTAGAAATATAAATACATACTCTTTGCTATATTGAACTCAGCTAACTTTGATCATGCCCTTACAGAAACCAGTATTATACGTACTATAATATTATTCCGTATTATCATAAATTTTAGCCCTGTAGAATTTTTTATTATAATTTAAAGAATAAATTCTATTTACAAAATAGGCAATATGCATATTAAAAATAATTTTTTTATCATTTTACGTTTTAGTGTGTCAGAACATTATCGAATAAATCTGATGTCGGTAGACAACCTTGCGTTGGTTTTTACGCCTACTCTTTTTCAGTTGCAGGTAGTAGGATACTTGAAGTAAAAATTAGGCAATTGTAATACGTATCATTATAGCTAGATAAGTTAGATTTGAATAACATTTTCGCTTTATCGGTCTAATGATAATATCATATCGCAGCATTCCAATGAAGAAATGGCAATAGGTGAAGTGGATATTGCTCTCGGCTCGTTGCATGATATCATAGCTGAACATGAAGTACTTTTTAGGAAGTAAGTTTTACAGGCTATAAATAGCTAGACTTAATAGGATGTACATTGTAAGAATCGCTTTTTTATATTTAGATTTGATGACACACTCTCAAGCAAGGAAATGCTGCCGAGAAAGGTAAGAAATTAACTTTGATTACTTTAGTATATTTTACTAGCTAGTTGCCTCCTGAGATGTTTACTTGTCGCGCAAAGTCTAATCACAGTTAATAATCAATTAGTTCTTTAGCGAGCTGTCATTGAAAGTTAAACAGCGAACATTATAGAGGTTATGTACAATACAATAGAAGATTGGGACACTATGGTGGCCAAAATAGACATATTATCGTTGTAGAAAATGCCCACAGGGCTGCTCTGAAATGTACCATTCATCGTTTAAGTTGGAAAGCTTTTTACCTATTTTTTTAATTGAAAATTATTTGAAATTTCTTAATTATAAGTTATTAATTATAGCATGCATATTTGTAAGATGGAGGTTGAGGATATTTTCGCAACACGCTGTTAACACTCAGTGCAGATAATAATTTGTTTATGTTGTTTGCAGCATTGCCAATTGATACTACTGTAGAAATTACTAATTTTTAGCGACATGGAAGTTTTATTGGCCGTACATTCCTTTTTTGAATGTTGTAATATCAAATTATTATATTCTGGATGTAGATTTATTTTTAACACGTAGTCATGTGGTTATCAGGCGTTCATAGCATTCTAATTCAAGTCCCAATGCAGTCTTACTGTATGTTCACGATCACCAACGTAGTCTAATAATGGACTGTTATTAATGCATTGACGGTGGTAGATTTGCGGTAGTATTTAAACTCGCATGACTTACTTTGTTCCAAGATAGTAGTAGGCTGAACTTTGTCTGTCAGGAGAAATACAGCAAGAATTGCTGTATTGCAATATTTTGATACATTGTTTTATACTTACTTTATTTTTTAATTGTTTTTGCTTTGATGTCGAATCGTTATAATTAATCATTTGACATAATAAATGCTAATTTGATTGATTAAACTCATTCATCAGTGTTGTTACTCGTATTTTACAGTCAGTGTAAATGAACAGAATTGATACAGTTTTATTCTTCCTGTATTGAAATATTACTGACAACGACTACATGAAATAACTTTTATCATGTTTATGTGCATCATAATTAATTCTTGTCGACATAGTTTTTAGAGTAAAAGATATCGTGAGTAAAAAGAAATTGGAGATCCATTTGATGTCATAGCGATTACTCGAATAAGGAATTTATAGGCAAGGAAATGTAGTTTGTAGCTACTTCCGCACTTCTCTAGAAGCCTCAAAGTCCGTGTCTCTATGGAATAGACGAGGTCTACAAAAAAATACAGTATCACACTTAGAGTTTAGCGCGGAAGAAATTACAGTATTAAAACAGCAAATTGATATAGGGAGGACTGCTGAAAAATAGATTAGAATTAGTGTAATTTGTAGTACTCTCTTTTGCACTTGCTCACTTATTATTGGAGGCATTAATCTCTGCTGTACTCCTTCGAATTATTCTGTATTAAGCTATTCACTAATGTAACAAGATTGATAGGTATACGATAGCTTACGACTACTTATGACTGTTTCAATCAATCTAAACTTTATAATGCGGAAATGATGATAAAGAGGCTTGACATTAATAAAATTTAGAACTATTATTTAAAGGAAATTACTCTATTGGTGATACTTTGCATACTTATCCACTGGCTTCGTAGAATATTTGCATGCTGCAATACTGCCATTGTAGAATAGTTATCGCATCTATCAAGAATGAATTAAAAGTATAGTAGACTAATAAAACAGTCCATTAGCTACCTAGTACCTGCAATTTTTATACCCTCGTCGGCGTGAATACCGTAGGGTGTCTGCACAAGCTACGGTAACTCTTCCTAACCCTTAGAAGTCCTAACCATACACGTAGAGAGGTTCTCCCTCTGGTCGTAACATGGCTATTGCTACTCAGTAACATAATTCTACGTTGTAACATAGAATAATTTAGGCATAATTAGAGATGAGCAAGCTAACAACTAGGATTCGTAATAGCTCTGTTTTGTTCTCAATACTGCACTAATATTATTCTACGTTGTAACATGGAATAATTTAGGCATAATTAGAGATGAGTAAGCTAACGACTAGGATTCGTAATAGCTCTGTTTTGTTCTCAATACTGCACTAATATTATTCTACGTTGTAACATGGAATAATTTAGGCATAATTAGAGATGAGTAAGCTAACAACTAGGATTCGTAATAGCTCTGTTTTGTTCTCAATACTGCACTAATATTATTCTACGTTGTAACATGGAATAATTTAGGCATAATTAGAGATAAGCAAGCTAATAACTAGGATTCGTAAAAGCTCTGTTTTGTTCTCAATACTGCACTAATATTATTCTACGTTGTAACAGAATAATTTAGGCATAATTAGAGATGAGCAAGCTAACAACTAGGATTCGTAATAGCTATTTTTGTTCTCAATACTGCACTAATATTATTCTACGTTGTAACATAGAATAATTTAGGCATAATTAGAGATGAGCAAGCTAATAACTAGGATTCGTAAAAGCTATTTTTTGTTCTCAATACTACACTAATATTTTAGAGGTTTCTAAATGTCAGGACAACCATCAGTACAAGCAGTCAAGTCTGTTTGTGCAGACTGGATGCACTAGTCCGCAGACCCCCTCCCAACTTTTGTAGCCTCAATGGTAGATTATTTACCATTCTACAGTCGGGTGTCTGTAGAATCTTCAATAAGCCTTTCTAACACTTGGGAAGTCCTAATCTGCCTGACATTAGTGAAGTATTGAGGAGGAACCTCTATTAGTCCACAGACCTCTCCCGGTTTTTCTATCTTCGACGGTGGATTACACGCTTATACCGTAGGATGCCTACACAATCTTGAGCAAGCCTTCCTAACATTTGCAAGTCCTAATTATAGAGGTTGCTCCTTCTGGTCGCAACATAGCTATTCTGTGCCATCGATACTGTACTAATATCAGGTAGACAAGATGTTGCAGACCTCCGCCGTAGGGTGTCTGTAAAATCTTGAGTAAGCCTTCCTATCACTTGCAAGTCCTAACTGCAGAAGTTGCTCCTTCTGGTTGCAGCATAGCTATTCAGTGTCATTAATACTGCACTAATATCAGGTAGACAAGATGTTGCAGACCTCCGCCGTAGGGTGTCTGTAAAATCTTGAGTAAGCCTTCCTATCATTTGCAAGTCCTAACTGCAGAAGTTGCTCCTTCTGGTTGCAGCATAGCTATTCAGTGTCATTAATACTGCACTAATATCAGGTAGACAAGATGTTGCAGATCTCTGCCGTAGAGTATTTGTAGAATCTTGCGTAAGTCTTCCTAACACTTGCAAGTCCTAAAGCCTTTTAGAAAATACCACTTGCCTAAGATAGTTATTGTGAGACACTTTTATTACAAGTGGATTATACCATTATACCGTAGGATGTCTGCACAATCTTGAGTAAGCCTTCTCAACACTTGCAAGTCTTCATTAGAGTGTAGAGGTTGCTCTCTCTGGTCGTAACTATGCACTAACATCAGCTAGTAATTGATGTAGGTAGAAACACTATCGTTGTTAAGATGCCCTTTGGAGAAAGGGGCTAGACGTTATTAGAAGCGTAGTGACATCTTAAGTAGATTGATTTAGATTGTAAAAGGCAATGATGTACTATTCGAGAAAAGTATTTTGTTTGATGACTGCTGTCTGATTGTCGATGAATCAAGTTGTCATCAATGGATTGAACGAAATGTTTATAAGAACTGCCGAGATGAGCTCACGGAGGAGAGGAAACTTTACTTCGCTTTGAGCTAGGAATACTTTGGATTTTAGACCAGATTCTTGTAGTAATTCATTATTGCTCTACTATTCCTAAAACCTTGTAATAAATGCCTTTTAAAAAATAAAGACCACTTGACCTTAGATCGTTATTGAGAGACGCATTTACTACATAAGGTCTCCCATGTGGATTTGGTAATGTCCAAAAGCAGTGCCCAGCTCTACCGTGAACAGTCGAGTAGGCTAGTATGGCACGGCTTTGTCGACAGCGCAGTACTTGTAGTAGTTTATTAGGATGGCCTTCCGTCCCATTTCTCACACCCACTTTGGCTAACAGAAAGAGGACACAGTCCGTAGTCAGGAAAGAGGTAAAGCTTGTTCCTGCATCGATTTTAGTCAGCAAGACCTTGAAGACGAATTGCCTTTCTCCAATTGATTGTACGATCACTTTATGTAGCCAATCGCTAGCCAATACATCATCATGTCCAAGACTATTAAAGGAATGTATTTATTCTCAGGACAATCGCATCCAACTCTATCCAGGAGTGTTAGCGAGTTGTTAGGAGAGCCTATTGCTGCTGCCAACGTGGCATCCCAATCCAATGGCGAGAGTAAAGTGAATATTTTAGTTTCTGTACGCGAAAAGGATGTTTTCATTATTCAAACTGGTGCCGATGGTGTCAATAATTTCATCTTTGAATTTTTAATTATGGTTTACGCTTGTAAGACATCAGCTGCCAAGAGAATTGTTGCCGTTATGCCTTATTTACCCTATTCGAAGCATAGTAAAATGAGAAATCGTAGCGCTATACCAGCCAAGTTAGTGGCCTCCATGATGTGTAAAGCTGGTGTCAGCCATGTTATTACTGTCGATTTACATCATAAGGAAGTACAAGGATTTTTCAATTGCCCGGTTGATAATTTACGAGCTTCTCCTTTTATCATTCGCTATATACAACAAGATATTCCCGATTATAAAAATGCAGTGGTCGTTGCTCGAGAACCTGGCAGTACTAAACGTGCTACTTCCTTCGCTGAACGACTCCATTTAACTTTAGCTGTCATCCATGGCGAAAGTAAAAGCGATTATTACGATGAAGATGGCAGTGGATCGCCACCGCCAGAATATGATGATAGTAGTGTATCGCGTGTCTTGCCGTCGGTGTTGCCTGAGATTGCACCAAAAGAGAAGCCACCCATGACCCTGGTCGGCGATGTCACTGGCAAGATAGCCATCATTATTGATGATATGATTGATAATTTAGATCTCTTACTCAAAGCTGCTGAATTGCTTGAAGAACGAGGAGCTTATAAAATCTATGCCTTAGCTACTCATGGCCAATTTACACAATCTGATGCAGCTAAATTAGATGCTTCCTGTCTTGAAGAGATTGTTGTCACCAATACCATCCCTCAAAAGATCAATAGTAGCAAACTCAAGACCATCGATATCAGCCAGTTGATTGCTGAGTCAATTCGACGAATCCATAATGGCGAATCGATGTCTTACTTATTTAGGAATATTCCTGCTGATGAAAATTAAAATCACTGCTATACTGTAGTGGATTAAATTGAAACGATCGCCTGATGATCAACTTACTACTTTCTGCTTGCTCCTTGTACAGAGTAGTACCCAACATCAACATGTACCTTGGATAGTACTCTCACCAGCAGAACCTTCGATGGACCTAAATGATCTTTGTAAAGATGAACATAACGTTATGATCTAATAATTGCCATTCAAGGTTTAATACCCTATCTACTGTAATAATGCTGATTTATAAATTGTTCGATGACTACAATGTACTGAGTTCAATAGTCCTATTGCCTTTTTTCAATGCCAATCTAGTCTGAAACTAATTCTGTAATTAATACTATTGAATTGTCTTCCAAAAATTTCTCTAAACTTGATAAAATAACGAATATGTATTACGTTGTCACTAGCATGAATTCTCATGACCAGAACTATTTTTTCTCATGTCGATCAAGGACCAAAATGGTTCAATTCTCTTTTATTAGTGCAAACTGTTTGTACAGGATGCTTCGTCCAGATAGCTTTTTAACGTTATTTCCTATTCAAGGAAACCCCGATCCGACACTAGAGTATGCGTCGGTAATTTTACATACTGTCATGATCAGTCTTGTTCACGATTAAATGTTGAATCTTCTACTACATTGCTGGACAAACATACAACTAAAGTGAATGTAACCAATACTTTGTATATTGGAACTCGATGATATTTTCTTGCTTCTGGTCGAATGTCTTTACTCTGGACGATATGCTAAATTCTTGCTTGTGCCTTATGCAAACACATTAATTTAATACCGTAGTGAAGACAAGGTTGCCGCAAGTGTCTGAATATAACTTAATACTTCAAATTGTAATCAATTAAACCAAATGCTGTACTTTAACAAGGCTGAATAATGCAATGAAGTGTGATTGAAATCATAGTACTCTAATACTTTCTATAGAATAAATAAATTTGCTATTTCTAGTCTCAATAAAAATGAGCTCAACGAGTACTATACTAACATGGCTAAAGGTAATCGTTACTTGCTATTCATACTTATGTTATCCTATCAAGATGGATAGCGGCTTTCCTTCGAATTTTATACAATTTTGCAAGTAGTCTTTAGGTAACAGAAATAATGTTTTGATAGACATTCTACCCACCGATGCTAGATACAGACTCGCTCTCTCTGGTACTCATAATAATTATTGCATAGTTGCAGTAATGTCCTCAGTTGATATACCGATATTAATCTGTAGGTTCTATCATAGCATTTACCACATCATGATGAATAAAATATCACCATGTTAATTGAGCATGATTGCTGGCCTTGAAGATAAGTTATTACACCGATCTTTTGCTTTCGCACTACCGCCAAGTTTGCGGGTTCCATAACTTGTTCCATCATAAAACTAATTAGAACAACTTTACATTTATTATTACCATAAATAAAATTTGCAGCTCCGGTAGGCAATCATCAAATAGTAATGTCATCGACTGATGCTAAGATATTGATAGGTGACATCAATATAAAATAATCATTTTATTCATGGACGATTTGCCACTCATGGAGTAAGTTATTACATAATTATTTTCCTTTCTTGGCCTACTGCTATTAAATCTGCAGACTCGGTCTATTAGGGTATTATTGGGTTAAATTCGCTAGTGTACTTGTAAATTCCATTTGCTACTCTAGAGACTATTCTTAGTCATTTCTTGGTAGGTATTTTACTTCTATAGTATGTATTGGTCTACATTTATCCGCAAAATAAATTTCTAGAAGTGTGATTATAATACAAGTTTGGAATAATTCGACTTTCATCCATCCTATAGCACAAGCGAGATATTTGTAACACTAAAAATGAAGAAGTTTCACACCTGGCTACGGTAATTCGCTATCAAAATTTTATTTTTTCCCTCATCCTTTTAAAAGGATTGAAAGTAATTATTATATCAATTTCTTAGGCACAGACAGGCATATATGAGAAATTACTGATAAATTACGCCTAACTATAGGCGTCTTGAATCGCATTTACTAGTGATGATTCAACATTACCAGTTATATGCAATTACCAATTCAGTAAGTATACTAACATTAAATTAATTTTAGCTAATTGATATACCCTCTTAAGAGGAATTAAGAAAGAATCATGGTCAAAAAAAGATAATTACTACGATTGCTTTTCAAAGTTCCCTTGGCTACGATCAAGAGAAGAATCTACAATTTCGGTACAGCTACTCTATTATGGAGATAGACATGTTCAAAAGCCCACTAATTGTGGGTAAGGTATTGCTATATAGCGTATGATTTAGTGCAATAATATATTGATAGAATTGACCGGAATCCAAATTAGTCATGACATTCTGTTAAAATGATATTTCTTTCCATATAGATAACTATACGTTGGATTATCATCTTGCGAATTAACTTCTTTCTCCAACGAAAGAACAAGCTTTTCCAGTCTTTATTATTTTGGCCAAAATATTTTCTGAAGGTAAGGTAGTTGTTACGTAAACTTTTTGCTTTTCCATGTCAATATCGATAGAAGAGACCTCTGTGATAATAACTGAGTATTAAATCACTGTATCCAGTTTGTTTCAAAGTTTAAGATTATTGGCTATACTACTCAATTTGTTATCCAGCACAAGTAAGCATTGAAATAATGATCAAGCAAGTTGAACAGTATTTCAAATAACACATTTTAGCCACTTGCATCAAACGAGTACCTGATAATCTTCCCAAGACACGTTTAACTGCACCCGAACAACCATCACAAGCCATTTCTACGTTGAATTCATAAACCTTAGAAAAATTAAAAGATTTGTCTATTATTTTCATAATTGTACACATACTGTATATCATGGCACATTTCTCTCCCTCTTTGATAGTAATAAATACTGTAGTATCTAGATATAAAACTACCATGTAGGATAAGCTCTCAAACAGATAAGCATTGAATAGTTTAAATCAGTTAATATTGCTGCACAAGGCTGTGTTTTCTCCATTTGAACATCACTGCTGTTAGTATTATGATATTCATCGCAAATCGTCAGCGACCATTGAAGTTCAAGAGGCCTAAAAGAAAGCTTGTACCAGAAAAAATTCCAAGTAGATCGCAGAATAACGGCAATGGATCCAATCACAAAAGTGCGTAGAGTATAGAAATGCAAGCACATTTATGCTCATGTACTATGTAGCTAACTCTTGCCAAAACAACAGAAATAGATCCAATTGCACAATTTAGATGTGTCTATCGTTAACTATTATCAATAACGTGCAATGGACCGTACAAGATATCCCATAAACACCGCTTAAACAAAATGGCAATTTTGATCTGCTTTACACCAATTTTACGTTTGTAGGAGCCGTTAGCATGCGGCTAAAAAGATGTTACAGTTCCCGACATAGCACTATGGTGGCGTCATATTAATTAATACACAGCGTAAGTTTATAGCTGATGTTATGCAAGCCGGAAATAGATTCAGTTTGTAAGTTAGGTAAGTTAGATTGTGAAGTAGTACGAACATCTATTGGTAAAAGACTTATTTGTGCAATAAAGTAAAGTTTTAATAATAAATCAATATCTAATGTTAGTATTATTGTTGACTCATCATCACACTCGAAAATTTTACGTGTAAAGCAATTTCCTTATAGGTCGACAGTCTTGGTCATAAAGTGAACTTTTAATCACAAATCCAAGTCTAACTGTATTATTCGTGAGCCACTATCAACATAAAATCTGCTTCTAAAGCAGTTTCATTCTAGATCTGCAGTTCTGTATAGTCTAGGTAAACGCACATAAATTAGAGTAATCTATCATCAGACACTACTAATTTTACTCGCCAAGTAATTTCATTCACAGACCTGATTGCTACACTATCCAAGCACATGGCAGTGAACTAGCATTATCTATTACAATTATCAAATTATGCAATGTTGTAGATGGAATTCAATACTCATCTTAAGATTTTATAAAGGAGTTAATAACTTCCTCATTGTACATAAGGTAGTTCATGGCAGGAATCTGTACCCTGTAGTCCCCCAAATGAAATATACTTCCTTGTCAACGAAGTGACAGGACATTAAATTTGTTTATCATTAAATGGTATTAATTCTACACCTAAAGTAATTTTCATCGCAGCTATGTAGTCCAACAGTATTCAGGTACTTGTTAATGAGCTGGAGTAATCTAGGATTTAATCATGCAATGTTACAAATGGAATTCACCACTCTTGTTTATTTTCTATAAGGAGCGAATAGCTTGCTTAATCCTACTTCTAAACTACTAGTAATCCTTCATACTATAGGTAAATAAAGCAGTACCATCGAAAGTCTGTAATCCTACACTATTTGTGTATGTGCCAATAAAAAGAATAAATCGATCATTTAAATCATGCAATGGTGCAGATAAAATTCAATACTCATCTCTAAATTGTATCAATGTGAGAATAGCTTCCTAAAATTCTACATTGTAGTTACCACTTAAAGTAAAATGTAGAACTACCTACAAACTATAAATAGTACGCGAAGTATAAAGAGCGTGAATTCTACTAGTTTTAAGTAAAGCAGCTTCATCGCCGATCTGTAATCCTACAGCATCTAGGCATGAGTTCGTGAATTAGAATAATCGATCATTAAATCATTTAATACTACTGATGGAATTCCATACACATCTTTAAATTGTAGAAAGAAGTGAATACCTTTCTAGTAGCCATGATCGCAGATTGAATTTCAAAACTTGCAGTACTTTTGAAAGCGGGGAATGTAAATGTTTGTATTAGTACAGTATAGTAGTATTTTAGTCCGTTGTTAGGTTTTAATTCGATGTCAAGGTTAGACTAATGCTGACTACCGCTACCAAGGTATAAAGATATTGTATAATAAGCAACGGCAGTTATTGCACTTGGTCTTGACCTATTGACATAGTCTGTATGTCCAATCTGTCGCAGTAGTTTGTAATTTATACTGTACAAGGCAGTACTGTAGTCTATAGGGATAGTCGGCTATTTTGGGGGCAGCTTTTATTTATTTAATTATGAGTTATTTCAATCCTTTACCTCATTTCTGATCAGTCTAATACTCCACAACTGGATCAAAAATAGGCCATTTTATCGTGTTCAAAAGTTGACTACATCCATTCTTGGTACAAGCTTAGAGTTCATTCTTGTTGTTACGTTTACGAAACTCTTCTACTTTCTAGCAAATGGACTTATATCTTACAAATTTTATTGCTAAGCGAATATGCTACAATAATCAACAGAATTGGTTAAGGTTGTAGTGAGCTTATAAGATAGAAACATAATTAACGCAAATCTTCATTTCGTAATACTTATACAGTACAAACCATTGAGATTGAGTACATTAATAGTGAAAGATCTAATCAAGTCATAAAATACATTATCGTACATATAGCGTATATAATAACTTTCTTATTTTTACTTAACGCACCAATATAAACGAGTATTTGTAAAATCAATTGTTCAATTCTACTTCTATTTGTAAGTTATATAAAGTACATGATTTTAGAAAAGGTCGGAATGCTGCAATTTAGATGTTTTGTTCTATTGCTAGAAGAAGATGATTTTTTTTAACTCAGTACAAGATCTACACTATAAACGTGCTTGCAAAACAAACCGATTATTATCTTATCAAGCTATATTTATTTGTCGACTATCACTATCTACAGTTAATACTAGCAATCATATTGAAGGTTCGTACTACTCTCAGTTTTAGCACGAGAGATACGAAATGGAAAAAGTAGTGAAAGATATTATAAAACTAACTAAATATATGTAGTATATTCCACGATTAATAAGTAGAATTAACAAGTATAAAATAATACATTTGCAAAAGATTATTGCATAACCTATAACAACAGCAAGTCTGTAACATACTAAAATTTGATTATATTGAATTTAAGCAAGTAAACAATACCAATCTTAAATGCACTATAGATATTACAAGTTGTAGCTGATATCAGTATGGTAATACATGGCATTAATGCACAATCTATCTAACAAATGCAGCGTAATACTTAGCAGTATTATATTATATGAAATAAATTACTTCATCAGGCTTATATTAGTGCGTAAGAAATTAGGGTGTGTAATATTACAGCTGTACTCGCATGAAATCTAATTGAAAAGCAAAATTTCGAGTGCAATCTATTCGAAAGACTTATATTACATGTGAGTTTTAGCTAGAAACAGTTACAATACAACTTCTACAGAAAAAATCGAATTTAATGGCTTTTAACTAATATTCTTCCAAGATAATATCATCACTAAAATTATTGTATTATCATAGTTCATAGTGAGGCTCGAAAATTTCTAGTAATATGCTAAAAAGTAACTGATAAAAAATGATAGTACTCAAATAAGTAAAAACTTGTAAATGTCTGCTTTATTTTACTTTATTCATAATTCTTAACATTTACTTCTAAAATATACGATCAACATTGGATTAATGGCAAATGTGAGATAGTTATGATAGAAATGAAAAATAATTGCTCTCTAATTGTGTACTATCGTAAAGCCAACAGTACGTTATCATTCTCCAAATTAACTAAAAGGAATCGACAATACAATAGCAGCTTCCCCAAAATCTTAAAGAATTACAGCAAATCGCTTTCAATATCAAATTACTCGCTATTCTATCTCTAAATGTCTACCATATATGCAAGTTTAATCCTAGCATTATAGTTATCTCTTGATGGCTTATTATAACACCTTTGTTCTCAAAAGTTAATGAAGTTCGTACATTCGCCAAGAGAGAATCAATTCTTGTCGATCAATTTTGTAGTTCTAGTTTTTAACTGAAAGTTATTAATTTGCTGTTTTTCCTACAAAAATGAGCAATGATAATAAATGCAATTAGCATTAGCTATATAAGCTTAATAACTCATTATTACAGCCTAATGTCGTCTTAGAATAGTGGCAAAAGTTACTATGAAATAGGGATATTCTTCAGATTTCAGAGTTATAAAGTCTTGCTACCAAGCATTGCATAGATAATGCAATATTATACCGTGTTTTACACGCTGATATAGTTGTTATGACCGAATACATTTATAGACTATTAAATGTTCTATCGAATAGGCTGTAGCTAAAGTAATACCTGATTTGCTTAAAACAAATTCTTACCTTGATTTTCACAGTATACTTTCTTTTTTTCAAAATATTGATATGACAGTATATAGATGAAAGAATGCGCAAAGATACGGATACACATAATTTAGATAGAATAGTTAGAGTACGACATCTGCTGTTATAGTGTGTAAGTTGTATAGAAGTAGACGCCTTGACAAGCAAGTCACTGATGATTTGCAATTTAATCTAATACTGCTCAAACGTAATCTAGATACGATATTCGTAAAACGCTGATATAAATTTACCATCTAGGCAGTTTGATTTTTGATTCGATGACAGAGTCCATATCGATTGCATAGATATGTAAGTTTAGGAAAATTACCTAGTAATACATAAACGCGCAAATACGACATGAGTACATAACGATGGTGATAATAAATACACATAACTCAGATAGAGCAGTTAAGAGTATGAGTATCTGCAAAAATTGTTTATTATCTTCAAAGTAACCGTAATCTGTTTGATAAGTTCTATTTTATATTAGCGATTTATGTTTACAAGCTTAGTTATTATTATCTTACATAAGTTATATGTAGAAGTATACGCATCGACAAACTAGTTATCCATTAATTACTTGCTTCTAAGACAAATGCAATATAAAAATAAAACGCTAATACAAAGTTACAGGCTAATTGATTCGATTTTGATTTTGATTCAGCAATATGTATAAATATATGCAAAGATTGTCTATTATTTTCATTATCATCTGTTGGTTCCATTGCAGTATTTCGAATTGACGTAGGGATCTTTCGGGATCTGGGGTGAACAATTCAATGGCTCTCTACCTTACAGTCACTCATTTGTGGAATAGCTTGGGATTATAGCCATGAAAGCTTCAAGTCATAAGTGTATTGAGCAAAGAATGGTAGAAGTTTTTGACAGGATGAAATGGTCATAGTACCGTATTTAGTGAGTTTCTGCTAATAGACGGTAATGCCGATCTAACCTATGGACTTTGACAATTTATTCATGACCATAACCCATCGTCTACACTATCCAATCTTTGCTATTTCGCTATATACTCATGAGCTATTACTCAAGAGTAAAGACTCAAATTGTTTGCAAGACTACTGTACCGCATCTATCATCAAAATTGAGAACTTTCCTATTCTCCGACATTTCGTAAAGTTATAAATATAATGAGCAGAGAATGATAGAAGTTCTTGACAGGATAAAATGGCCACAGTATCGTATAGTATTTAGTGAGTTTTTGCTGATAGAGAGAGGAGATATTGACCTACGTAATTAATAATTTGAATGGGTTGAAAAATAAAGAGAAAAAATGGAGAATCGTCCGATCGATTTCATATATCTTAAACCATTTCCTGTCCAAATCGGATTTTTTTTCTACCATGACGTAATTAGGTACATCCAATTTGCACATAGATTCGTATGTTTTGACGGAGTGCTTATCCTACGCATTTTGGACTACAAAAAAGTGCCATAGTACGAATAGTAGTTTATAAATAGAATTTTAATTAGGCATAAAGGCTTTAAAGAAGGTTAAAAAAAATAGAATTAATAGGAACTTCTTTGGTTGTTATTCATTTATTTAACGCGTATCAATATTTAGCATGGGATAGATACATTTATAAATTTTCAATAATGATATTTATCTTTTAACCGCAAATACAATCGGTTAGCCTATACGAATCGATGCACTGTTAAAGAATAGAATATCAAATTAATTTTATTTAACATGAATTAGAATATCTTGCCTGATCGTAATAATACAAGCGGTATTGAATGATGCTCAACAATACTATTTAGTAGCTCCATATGTTGCTTCAACGTCATTTCTATCTATCGTTTTATTGGTTATCTATTTCTTACCTTCATCATCTGTTTATTACAGTGATGCAAACTGCGGTAACAGATTTACCAAACTAGAGTTATCCTATTAATCTATTTAGTAAGGTAAGAAAACTTCTCTCCTGCTTGGTATCACCTCAAGTGCTATCATCATTAATTAAAGCAGTTCTATCAAAATACTGCTCAAGGTTAGTCTAATATCGTACTTTTTACAACGACTGAATCATTATTCATGACAATCTTTCTGTCTTATAATTATATATGGATTTGAATCTAATCAGCTTTCTAATCAGCTACTTGAAAGAAAGTATATACCGGTATAAAGTAGAATAACTTGTTGCTTTAGGTTACAACATATGTACTATTTGCCGGATCAGAGCCATGCTATCCAGCAGTATCCCGCTGTAGCGACCTATTCAACGTTATTCAAAACCATAAGCCATCGTCTATACTAGTTAATCTTATCTAGCAACAGATACTACTTAAAAAAGATTAGCAAGACTATCCAATGTTGTACTAGAATTCATCCTTTATATCAAATCCTACCCTACGAGTACATGTGGTGCTAATAAAGTCTAGACAAGATCAAAACATGAGTGATTCAAGATTATCTCCACGACCACGGGCAAATACGTTATTTAGTAATTTCAAACTGAAAAATACCAATAAGGTCGAATCCAAGAATAAAATCTCTGCATTTCTCGCCAATAATAATCATAGTATCGCATTACCTAATCGTCGTAAAGGGATTATTCTTTTCTCATTCTTGGTAATATTATTTTTTATTTACGTTTTTCCATGGAAAGCACCGCAAAGAATTCGCGATCCTGAAATTAAACCGCATGAATGTATTCGTGCTGGAAGTTTAGTATTACCTAACAAGAATCGAATTCGTATCACTTCTTGGCGATCTTTATATTACTCACAACATTCCTTCTATTTTCGTACCTTCTCAAGAAATGGCGTTATGTTATATGAAGCGGATAAAACTATGCAAACCAAGGATTTTCTAGCAATTCAATTAAGGAAGAGAAAAATAGAATTTATCTTCAATGCCGGACAAGGAACCGTTCTCTTAACTGCTGCTCCAGGTAATGGTCAATGGACTGATGGCCAATGGCATTGGATTAACGCTAGTCGCTTAGGGGCTATTGCCGAGCTAAGTGTCGATGGTATCCGCTTAGTTAAAACTCAATTAAATACCCATCATGTCCATGCAGTGGATAGCACATCTGGTCTTTACGTTGGTGGTATTCCAAAACGATTCTATTCTAAATTGCATCGATTCGTTATAGCCCACGATTTTCGAGGTTGTATTGCAAATATTACTTTAAATGGAAGGAAATGGGATCCCAGTGAATTTGTCTATAGTAAATCGTCCACGACCAATACTAACATCAACAATTTAAGTAATCATTCATCAACCAATATGGATAGCACTACCCTAACGCCGGTTGTAACAGCAATTGATGAATCACAAGTGCATCGGGTTGATAAATTAATTGCATCGGTCCAAAAATTTCTTCCCCTGACTGAAATTATCATTTATGACTTAGGACTTAAAGCAGCTACTAAAGCGAAGGTATTGATATTATATTAGGGCGCGTAATTAGGTGGCACTTTTTATAAATCGTAGATATTGAATGAACTCACTGACTGACTATCCTATCTTGATCAAGCTATAATGATATACTGATAGTTATATCAAGTTGTGAGTAGATGACGAAAGACACTGCTATTACTAGTACAATCTATTTATTAGAACTTTTATCATTTAAAATTTGTGTCATGATATGATAATTGTCGCGGATAAATATAGAGAATGATATTTTGTAGAATATGGTGCTCTACTTATATAGGATCAATAATACCATACTTCAAATTACATTGAATCTGATACTATCTTTACTTGATCGATTGACCTAGACTGACCTAAATAACGTAATATCCGATACAAGCTAGAACCTATAAGAGTTTATTAAGCTAAAATCGAAATTATGTGATATATGACAATGCCGAATGCTTTATCTATTCCCATGAATGCCAACAGTCAAGTTTTGTCTTGATTTTCATGCAATACTACCATAGTTTATCTTCAAACTAGTATCACTTAATTTGATAACCTGCAAATACTGAATTGGCAGTTGTGTTAATATAGTAACAAGTTGTAAATATTTTCTAATCAGCAACAACATAGAAATTTGACGAATTTATACAGGCTAATATTGTTTACTATCTGCTCTTTTCTGTATGATATTTAGATCAGGACTTACTGCAATGTTCAGTTAGTAGACTTTCCTATCTCAAACTATCCTAGGCATTTTAGAAATGTGAAATTAGAAGCATGGAGATCAGTTATTATTAAGGTAAGACTTTATTTCATGTTCGTAATATTGTAAAAGAAAAGTTGCTTTTCAATTCCACAGAATATGATAAATACTGGGATAAAAAGTAATTTTAAAATGAAGAATTATTTATTATCGACTCTTGCGCAAGCATTCGAATTACTTCTATTATAGCGTAGTTTTATACGTGATGTAAACATACTGATCTATTACCTGATCATTCCTCTACTATAGCCTAACTTGCAATCTTACGGCTCAGTTATTTATGTGGACCCGGAGGTCATTGTCAAGCGAACATTCAACAAATTAATTAGAGAAGCTAACAAAACAACATCAGGATTGATTTGTAGAACAATGTTTGAGCCAGTGACAGCTTTCACACACCCTGGAATGATTAAAGCCCTCGATCAAAGCGTTAAAAGTTATCAACTATTACCTATGATTGATACGCGCATTCTGATATTTTCTGGTAATAATGCTTTCAAATTAGTAACCGAATGGGTTAGATGCACAGCAGATATAGACTGCATACTTCCTACTGGAGCTTCCTTAGGATCTTGCCTTCCGCGAGATATTCGACCATCGCCCCTTTATCGTGGATGCCATCTTGCTAGTCGATCTGCATTAAGTGTTGTCTACTACAAGACTCAGATACCTCAAGATGCAAAAAATTGGAATAAAATGATAAAGTATGCTATATCTAGCTCAGATGATGAGATTTCCTTGCCAGCTCCAAAGAAGTGTCTAGCAAAAGCAACTCTAAAGCCATCTGGGAAGCAAATAACACTTGATCCATCGACGCCTCATTAAATAAATAAATATCTGTATTATATACCATTAGCAGCATTATTTATATATCTACACGTATGCGTATACCTAACACAGACTTTTTCTCTCTCTCTATTCTATTTAATTGCATAAATACGACTGCGCCAAGTATCATTGGTCAACATTTGAATATTTAATTTCAGGACGATTTTGCAGTAGAAGCGAAAACATTCAACATAAACTAATTCGCCATCAAATTTTGATAATAAATTTACAAATAATAATAACTCAATATCAAATTTGTATATGTCTATTACGCTGTTACGTATATTCTCAATCAAATAGCTTATATTCATATTTTTACATGTTTCCTTGTAGATATACTCGAAATTTAGTCTACAGTTGAATAACCTGATATTCGGAGTACAGTATAGCTGCTATTTCAAAAATAGTCTCTTTATTTGGATCGTTCAAACCGAAGGATAAATTTATATACAATAATTCATTTCAGTTTCTAGTATTGACATTAATGACATGGATAAAAATAAATTACGCCTACATGGATAGACGCTACTGAAGATTATATAAATTAAAGTAAAGCTTGTGGTACAACTGTTATACTAAAAATTAATTATTTTCTTCTATTTGAACTATTAATGTGCATCAATAAATTATGTATTTGTAAATTAAATAAGATGATCATTTATAGCTCTATTATGGGGAAAAAAATTAGAGACTCTTATTCAGATTAGATATTTTAATTTATAGTGCTTTCATAGTTTTCGAAATTGGTAAGACCATGTTCTGATTAGAATTCATTTTAACATTGCACTATACTGCTATCTAGTAGTTTGATGAGAGAAAATGATATCGCGAAAAATATTGTACTTTATAAAGATACCTTACCATTGAAAGGCAACAAATTGGAAATATGTTCCTTTAAGAATTGCGCACTGAAATTGAACAGTCCAAATCGAACTATAACGCCTTCATAGACGAGCGAATTATTTGCATACGACAACTCAATGACATTCCTTTTAATTACGTTAGACTAGGGTATGATTTCTTTTAATAATTCTAGACTATCGATTACTTTAGTATCAAATCATCGATCTTGTTGACAGCAATGATTACTTTAATAAAGTCTAATCGTTTGATAATTTAGAAAGCTCTGACGTTGTCTCTGTCTTTATAAAGAAGGCCTTTTATTGCTACACCATACATTTTAGATAGATAAATTCAAAAGTAGTACAACGGTTTTGTAACTAGTTAATTCACAGCAACACTAAACAAATCATGAAGCTTCAAGTTATTACAATATTGTCATATTTTCAACCTAATTCATTTAATGTGTTCTTATTTTTGTTATCTCAATGTATTATAATTGTTGATAGTATCAACCTAAGATTGACTTTTACAAAAAAATAGAAGTTTGTGGATGTCTCAACACCTATGTACCTCTCCTTTTTATAACATCTCTTACCTCGTCTTGCGACTTTTAGAGTTATGCTGTTAGTCGCAGATTACTTCTCTTTACATAATTACACAATTCTGCTTCATTCATCATTGCTAACATTATATTTAATATAAAATTTTGTAACATTAAAATTTTTTAATTCCAAGCGGTTGCTATGGACGCTAACAATAACTGATAGCATATGCAAGCTAAGGGTAATTAAAAAAATGATTAATGTATCTTGAGATAAGAGGTCGAAGTTAACAAGGAATACAAGGACAACAATAATAATTCGGTAAATAATGACATGTTGAGTACCTATTTAAATATACAGTAATTCTACTTAATTGCACCTAACACGAATAATTGTACACATGCATCGGATTCATAAGAACGATAATTAATTAATCGGTGTGCAATCCAGGCCCATCATTATTGAGCAGATGAGTTATTCTAAAATTTTTAATTCCGTATTTTAAATTACTTCCACTGTATTGAATTTATTTTTTTAGGAGGTTTAAGATACGATAAGAAACTAAAGTCAACTCAATTTTCATTGCAAAGTCAATACCGACAAGCGTAGCTTGTGTATAACCTTAAATCTTTGAGGGGTCTTGAAATAATGCTGTTGCTGCGAATAGCAGGAAAACGACACCACCTATCAGCGTAACTAAAGAAAGTTATTGACAGCCATTAGCTGGTGTAAGAAGTATACGGCGGATAGTTGCCATTGATATAACAATTAATTCTTAATTGATCAAATTATACAATACTTAGAGAGTATTTCCAATAAAGCTAACCCAAGCCGTCTAAAAATGTATTTACCATTTAAAAATTTTACCTGTTCTAACTGAAATTTTTTGGGCAAGCATTCGTCCTCCAACAACAGCAAGTTGTGTACAAAGCATGTGGCCTAAGATTCCACCGATTGTTACTCCAGAAATATCCTGTGGGAGAGATAAAGTAAACGAATTAGCTACTATGATAGCACAGGTCAAATTTCTGCTCTATTTAATGCAGTCTACAGTACTGACTTCTCTGGCGGCTAGGACTATCGTCATGATTTGCGATCTGTCTCCCCACTCGGCTAGGAAAGTTAATACGAAAGCCTGGATGAAGATGGGAGACACAATTAGGTGAAAGTACCTTCGTAAGCGACTTCCAGCTCCACGGATAGCACCAGATTCAACATCGACGGTAGATGCAGCACTAACTTCAATATTCATCTAAGCAAGAATTCATTTTTTGAAATGTAGTTACAATTTAGTCAATTTGTTACATCACTAATTTGTAATTAACACGTATACAAGCAATTATAACAGGGTTTCGATTCTAAGTTCTTATGAAACATTTGATTGTAAATTGAATCTACTGTAAACGAATGTCAACAGAGAGTTCACGTTAATAACTGCATTAGTATCTATAGAATTGGCATACATATATCATGACTACACAACAGTAGTAAAGTTAATCTCGATTATAAGTCACTCTTTCAATCTGTTGGTTAATATCATAAAGTTGACGGAAAAGAGTGATTTGTTGTGAATACGCCAAGTTTATCACTGTTGGCGCAATGTTAGAGAAAGCAAGACTCAACGTATTGAAGTGGTAAAAAGTCTTGGATAAGAATTAGTCGTAGTTGTAAGGTACGTATTTTCTCGATCGAATGATTCGATCAATCAATCCATCAAAACTTTGTTGTATGAGTTGTATCTACAGTAGGATCCGTTTCAATTATTGCATAAGATGTGAGATTCGTTCAGCAATGGAAAAAAGTATTGTACACACGGATCTAGAATAACTTTCAAGATTGAAGCAAAGAGTAAAATTGAAAAGAGAAATATTACATTTTCTTCTCGCTTTTTTAACTCGGCGGAAACTTCCTCTAGCTCTTCTTGGCCTTCGTCCGATGACATATAATACCCTTCTTTTATTAACTTTAAGCCAAAAATTACAAAGAGCAAGGTCGATAGATAATATGTATATTTGCGAGGAATGAAAACCGCAGCATGGCCAACAAATGCGGACAGGATTGTCATGACTGCTAAAGCAAAGATGGCACCACCGAATACGGATAAACGTGAATATTTCATGGCCATAATAGCTGCGATAAAGAATGTTTTATCTCCTAATTCCGATATGATAATAATGGATAGGGAAGCAACAAAACCATGTGTAAATCCTCGATCATTGGCAGACTTGGATTCATCTTGTTTATCCTTATCATTTCCCTTATCGTTATCGTCGTCTTTTTGCTGTTTATTGCCGTTTTTGATGGCCTCATCGATTTGTTCTTGTATTTCGATTTCGGCCTTCTATAATTAATGAATAGAAAGATAGCTAAGTTAGATTTTGTTCACCTATGCATGACTATTTAGACTACTACAGTGATAGCGATTAAGGTATTTTTCATCTTGCAGGATGGGCGTTTATGCCATCACTGTTACAAAACATGTTATTCACCATTTGACTATTGTATGGTCCATAGTTAGTATCTAATGAAGCATCGCGAGGTATTACACCCATGGATTCATTTGTGAATTTGAAAGTTAAATTTGTTTTTAGGTCCTGTGCTGTATGGTAAGAGAATGTCGCTGTGAATTTTCTTTGAATGTATTGCTTTGAGTAGACTATGTACCGGTTGATTTGAAGGGGAAATTGATTGCAGTAGTTGCATTTAGATTAATACTAATAAGCCAACTATTCCTTGTGCTAGACTATCAGCTACGACGGTATTCTCATGATACAGGTTGATATAATCATTGGTATCGGCCATTATCATCGTTGTTGGAGAACATGGAATCCATCACGCCATTACTAATTGACTCTACCGTGTCCAGTTGATGGTTTGTATTGCAACATTTCAATACTGATCGATTGATTCGTTATATTATTATGATTGTCATTCTTGCTTGGTGTACGCATTTTAGTTTTCTTTTAATGGTAATACAGTATGTAAAAGAATCAAGCAATTTACCGATGCTTTACTCAATCCTCAACCCGGATGTGGCAGAATGATGATAGTAAACTATGCCACCATTGCTGGAAAGCATTACTGGTGATGGTAATGTATGCCACCTTTACTGGGAAGCATCAAGTTCATAATTTGTATTTCAAGCCATGCAATGCTTTCAACACAAACCGATTGATTGATGATTACTTTATCATTATAACTTGATATGGAATATGATCCTCGTAGGAATGTTTCATCGATCGGCTTGCGGATCATCGTTCTATTCAAGGTTTATTAGAAGTATTTTCCATGGGCAGCCTATAACTGTACAGTAGTCATGACTAATCCTACGTATGCTTGGACGCTACTGCTGGTGGTTAAAAGGTTCAATAGCAAGATTAAGCAATTATATTCTCTAAAGTCTAGAGGAGTAGAGGTATATCACTGTAGTCTTGTTGAGCTCGAACGTTCTGGAAACAAGGATCGAGTATTGCATGGGCACTAGTAGACGTCAATCTTGCTGGTCTAACTATTTCCATATTCAACTCTTACCTGACGATCTTGACGTTCTTTGACATCTTGGCCATAGCAAGATGTGACTAAAACCAACGCTAAAATGACATAGAATGCTGTAGACATAGTCTTACTTGGCTGGTTACCCAGCCTCAAGCCAGGCCATGGTGATATCATGTTCATTTCCAATTTCTTTTAGCGATCTCGGTTTATGGATGGAGTTAGCAATGGAAACGGAACGCTTTCAAACGCCGAGTGCAGTAGTGTCTAGCTCCTGTTCGTTAGGCTGCAGAGAATTGCAAGAGGGAATCTAGACGAATACAAGCTTCAAGTGCACTAATTGAGTTAGCCAAGTGGTTGAGTTATTAATTTTGTGCATGCAACGGTATAGATCGATGGAAATGGATGGCCTACAGCATCGTCTGTTGAAGGCTAAACATTGCACAACCCGCTGAACTTGCTCGCCATTTTGTTGGAAAGGAAACACCAGCACACCCTTAACCGCGAGCGCGGACACTGACTGGCCCACTGGCCAATAGCCCCTGGCTGTCGAGTGATGAGATCAGCCGTGACGAGTGCCTAGTCCAACTACTGTATGCTACGGTATGTTAGCGTAGCATACAGTAGTAGTCAACATGCTTCTATGGACCGCTTTGACCAGTACTACAGCTGTTTGTTTACAGCCATTGCGAAAGCCTCTACTACTGTACTACTAGAGCACTGCTTGACCTCTTGTCTCATCCAGATTGCTACTCGCCTTGGAGATCTTTATGGCCTGGTCTCGTTTTACTTCTTTATTTGAAAAGGATGCAAGATGATGTTGGCTGAGAGAGAGCCAGTGCAACCCTTTGACCGTGCGATCATGCATCAAGTAGGGTCCATGGGCAAAAACACAAGGCACAGTAAACTCGTTCAACTCTGTGGGCAATGCTGCTGTTGCTGACTAGCTTTACCTTTAATCTCAGCCCGAAAGCATGCACCAACCTCGATACTACTCTAAAACGCTATTAAACAATAATGAACATGCATCCAATGATAAACTACGCGTCTAGTCCATAACTTTTGAAGTCGAGCCAGTCGGCCAACATCGATCATTTTATCATCCGACCAGTCCAATAGACGGACCCATTTCGTTTCTAATTGGTTTTATACTGAATTCATGCGCCAAACATTATCGAAGTATGGGAAATGCGATCGTTCAATCAGTGAGTATCTTGGCCTACAAGTTGTACAACACTTTGATTTACAGTTGGTAATGAAAATAGAATTCATGCAAAATGAATTCATTCATGGAGGTTGGAAAGAGCGCATCCATCGCCTAGCTATCGGTTTAGCGGAGGACAGCACAGCTCATCCAAGTGCGTCCAGACATGGACACGTGGTACTGCACTTGACGTTACACAAGTTCGCCTCATTCTCGATTGCTGGACCGTTAGATGAAACCAATTGGAGTGTAACAGAGACGTGGTACCGTAGGTGACGTTACGGACCCCATTGTCTCCTGCTGGACCCATAGACTAACCAAATTAGAGTGTACAGTACAGTACAGAGACGTGGTACTGTAGGTGACGTTACGGACCCGTTGTCTCCTGCTGGACCCATACAGTACAGTAGACGAACCAAATTAGAGTGTACAGTACACTGAGTACAGTACAGAGACGTGGTACTGTAGGTGACGTTAAGGACCCCATTGTCTCCTGCTGGACCCAAATCTGGTTACAGGTTAACCAGTTTTAGTATCCAGAGACGTGGTACTGTACAGGCTGTTTCATAACATTTTGTCACTTTCGGGCCATATTTTTCTTTAAAAATACAGTAAAGCTATAGTAGAATGATACTGTACAGTACAGTAATACTGTACAGTAGATTAACAAATTGGATTGTACATGTACAGTACAGTACAGTACAGAGACGTGGTATGTACTGTAGACGTTACAGACCGCATTCTCTCTACAGTACTGTACTCGTCCCCAAATTGGTTAGCCTATCAGCCTAGTAGTGAGAGAATGGGATTTGGAACGTCAAGTCCAGTACCACGTCTGCGTGCACTTGTACAATGTACAGTAATATGTACTGTAGATTAACAAATTGGAGTGTACTGTACTGTAGACGTTACAGACCGCATTCTCTCTACTGTACTGTACTGGAGTGTACTCGTCCCCAAATTGGTTAGCCTATCAGCCTAGTAGTGAGAGAATGGGATTTGGAACGTCAAGTCCAGTACCACGTCTGCGTGCACTTGTACAATGTACAGTAATATGTACTGTAGATTAACAAATTGGAGTGTACTGTACTGTAGACGTTACAGACCGCATTCTCTCTACTGTACTGTACTGGAGTGTACTCGTCCCCAAATTGGTTAGCCTATCAGCCTAGTAGTGAGAGAATGGGATCTGGAACGTCAAGTCCAGTACCACGTCTGCGTGCACTTGTACAGTAATACAGTACTGTAGATTAACAAATTGGAGTGTACCGTACTGTAGACGTTACAGACCGCATTCTCTCTACTGTACTGTACTGGAGTGTACTCGTCCCCAAATTGGTTAGCCTATCAGCCTAGTAGTGAGAGAATGGGGTCTGGAACGTCAAGTCCTGTACCACGTCTGCGTGCACTTGTACACTGTACAGTATGTGCTGTACGCACAATGTACTGTACACTGTACATTATTACTTACAGTACTTAATAATATTTACGGTAAGAGAGAAATCATTTTCCCTCGAAAATAGTCTTCTTTTTGAAGTAGCTGCGCATGAGCACTGTACTTCCTGAACCAGCGTATTGTACAGAACATACAGTACAGTACTGTACTGTGTTTGCCGCCAGTTTGGTAAAATGCGGGTCAACCGTGCAAACGGGTCATATAATGTAGTATGAAGCAGCACTCTTGCAGCAGATGCTCGATTGACTTGACCAGCCTAGTGCCTCTGATAGACGTCTGTATCGTGTCGGTTTTTCCAAAGCCAGCTAGCTACCCAGCTACGCAGTCAAAGCCAACCACCGATAGGTGCAACACTGGGACAGTCGTCTTTTGTCATAATACAGTAAGTCCATCTAGCATTCTCCTTGTCCAACAAGAGCGTTTTCTGGCGTCTAACCCTTGTCGAGTTTTTCCATCAAGGCGATCATCCTTTTTCGGTTAGCTTTGTTGCAATTCTAGGGCACCAGGCGAATTCAGCGCCACTAGCCCACATCGTTGTCTTGGTTGTGCAAATGGTTATTGCTAACGCGATCGGTTATGCCGAACAGAAGAAGTAGGAAGCGTAAAGGTAAGAGACAAGTGTATGCTGACTGTAGAGAACAACCAAACATGCCTAGGTCTGAAACTGATTTGGATCACCCACATCGCTGTCAATGGTAGAATAAATGCACCAACTGTCACTGTAATCTTTCATGATAAACTAAGAAGAAAGCGTTAGAGAGATCCGTCCATCAGACATATTCCACACACGTTGTACTGTATATAGCTTACTGTACTTTACAAAGTGGACAGAGAATCATGTTGATAGCAAGCGGCTTCTACACAACCACGCATACCAGACCATACCATCCATGCGTAGATCAATAATAACAAGGCAATAATAATAATAATAATAATCATAATATTACAATAATACAGTCATTATTTTCATCCAAAGAGATTAGATCTTTCGAACTCTGTTAAAATTAGGAGGATCTGATCGCTATTCTCTTTACCTATGCTCGCCTCATTTCACAGTCAGTCTAAGAATTTCATTGAACTTAGACATATTTTTGTCCGCCAATGCAGTACAGTACTGTGACATAGTCAATCGCATGACTGACGTATTCAGACCTTTGCCCACTGGCAGTCATTTTATCAAGCGCCTCCTCATACTGTATTGACTATAGGCGAACTGCACTTTCGGTACCCCTACCCAAGCGTTATGAAGAACCGACAGCGCCTCCGCTGCAATCAGCTGGACGGAATTCCGGATGGAAGGGATTTTTTTTCTCTTACCACAAGTCTACAGTATGCTAGTGCCTGCGAGTAGGTTGCTTATGAGAATACTCTACACTGAGTACTGTACAGTATCGTACTACACCTACTTGATCAATGTCTGTACGTCTGTATACCGCGTTTGGTTGGCCAGACTCTACTCATGCGTATATCAGTGGATGAATTAGGCCTTTCGTCATGACATCACCCATGTCGAGTTTCCAACGTTACCATCCAACTCCAATGAGGGTCCAATCGGATAGCATTATCCTATGCAAGCGTTTTGCTAGTAGAATTCCTATCCTACAGCCTACACGATACAGATATCATATCAACCATCATCACAGTATGTATAGTATACAGTATAACAAAGGACAAGTGTATCAGAAATCGACTACAGCAGTGGCTTAGCGATATTGAATAAAGTTATAACTTACGGTATTGTGCCTATCGTCGCATTACATGCCAAATTGCAAATTGATCTCAATAGGAAATACTAGAGTTGGACAGAATCTCTGCAAATAGGACTTGTTATTCTGAACGTCACATGTTGTGGCCGAGAGTGTTATTGATAGACGTAGACGTACACGGTATCGCATGTCATCATTGTCCCGTCCAAGAGTACATTAGAGTAGGAGGATCAACATGGTTGAGACCGATGTGATATCCAGAGTGGTGGGTATTTGTATACACTTAATCCTACCATGCTGGTCTCCATGTTGATTAGTAGGTTGTAGTAACAAGCAGTTGCAGTATGACATTGAAGTGAATTAATGAAATAAATCAGTTGTTCAGCGTCCAACTGTTTACAATTGAGTTACAGAGCTTTCCCATATCGGTACAAATGTCATACTGCGAAACCAATAGTATTAGTCTTGGTGGGTCTACTCGTTAATGGCTTTATCATACACTTCTAAGTACATAATATTATTAAAATAGTATAGAAAGTGGAAATGAGTGAAAATGTTTTAAAAAATCTTGTAACCCAATTTCTGTTCAATCTACTTCACTCGAACGACTTCATTTTTATATTGCTATTAGCTGAAGCTTCCAGAACATTGAGAAGGAGCAGTAGACTTAGTAGTTGCGAAGAGAATGTACGGTGAGTGATGGGATCAATTCAGCCTGTTGTTAGCTATTTCTTTCTTTCTAGCTTCTCTTGATGTCATACACTGTGAGTTCTTAGTATTTATTATCAATAAATTGGTGTCATACAGCGGTTGAGCATGACAAAATTATGCATGCTTCGACGGTAGTAAAATGATCGCTTCTACCCTAGTAAACGATGATGTTTTATTACTTTACGAGGTTGGAGCTTAAGCTGTATTAATTGTGATTCGCTACTCTTATGGAATTAATACAGTAGTTGTGAACTTATTAAAGGTCCAATTTCACAATACTGTGTCATAATTCTGTTTTTTTGTATTTCTAGATCGACAGGATGTGATAGCAACCTTTCTAAGACTCAGTATGGTAATGCCATTTTCAAACAATTAAAATAATATTTATAGATACATTTGTACTGTAATATATACCTTAAATTAATACAACACATTACTGGTAATATCCAAGGCATATGTCAAGCAGTAAGCTATCTAGTCATTGAATGGATGTACTTCACTGTTTTTTTTACTGACCAATTGCTTCAGTGCTCCATGTATGTATGTAACTATGTAGCAGAGTAGGCACACATTGAATTGTATGCCAATTTTGATCTTGTATAAAGATCGAGTTGAATTGAATGATTTAATAATATTGTTAAAGATACCGAATATGAACAAGCAGAAATCTTTGAACGACCTAGTATAAACTTTGCATCTGACTCTAAACCCGCAGAGGTAATAATTATTGATCTGAAGTCTAACTAAAATGTGTGAAGAATATCGTTGTTAACTAAAATTATAAATCTATTTATGTGCGTTACTCTCCAATTTTATAATACATTAGTCATAAGGGATAACTATCTATTTTTGAAAGTGTCCATCGGCTATCATTGCCTAAGCTTAGTTCTATTTTTCCTTAGCTTTTTAGGAAAGATTTGATCAGTGCAATGAAACTGCCTGATTCGCAACCGTTGCCTCCTGGGCGCTACATAACAATAACAGATACGTGGAAGCAAGAATGGGAAAAAGGAGTTCAAGTACGTTAAAGGCATTCAATTAAGTAACTTTTCGCATACTGTAGTAATCACATGTATTACTCTTTGTAATGTATGCAATGTAGGTACCAGTAAATCCTCAATCGCTATCGGAGCCAACTTTTAGGTTTGCTATCTACTGTATGACCAAAAATGTTATAGTTATTAATAACGTTGAGCTAACTATATTTTAAACTATGATTACTCATTAGAGAGACTCACACCGTTGAAGCAACGCGTAAACGATTCTATAGGTAAATATACTCAACACGAAAGATAATTTGATAAAATGGTACTAAATTTTTATTTCTTGGCTTTAGGTCTCGAAGCTATATAGCTGATCAAAAAGATTGCATTGCCAAGCAACGCCAATATGATCTAGACGAAACAGATATAGCATGGCTTCAGTTAATGAATGAAAGAAGAGTAAAATCAGGTTTTTAAATTGATTGCCATATTTCAACTAGTAATATAAAAATTTAAAAGACTTTCCTTCTTTCACTCTTACGGTGGTGCTGTTATAATTCTGTACTTGCAGATAGTAAGAAAGTAACGGAAGAGATGTTAGAAAAGTCCATTTACGCGCTGGAGCATAAGGCAATCATGTTGTCATAATAACTTTAAGTTACAAAATGGATCATATCTGAGAAACTTAACTTTCTGTAGTGCCATGAAAAAATGAATGTGTTAGTGGAGTCGGAAAAGCTCGGAATAGAATACGACGATGACATTCCTTGCGACGTTTGTCAGTCGGTTAGTTGGTTTTATATGGCCAAAATAGTTCATTTGTTTTTTATGGGGAAGATTTTTATCATGTTGCATTTTAATTTTGTTGCCTTTATGCCATTTGAATAGCCTTTCAGCGAAGAAGGCAATGAAATGGTATTTTGCGATCGTTGCAATGTGTGTGTTCATCAGGTATTGTGTCAGTAATATTTTCGTCAATGATCGCCGTTCTACAGTATTTAGCCACTCAATAGTATCCAAGTACTTCTCCTATGTCTTCTTTCATGTGTGTATTTTATCATTCATTACACGTAAATTAGGCTTGTTATGGTATTACTGTTATACCTGATGGTAATTGGTATTGCGAACCTTGTCGCCTTGGCATTCGGTTACCATCGTGTATATTTTGTCCACATAAAAGTGGCGCTATGAAAAAAACACAGTAGGTCTAACTATTGCAATATACTAGATTACCTTTACTATCATTGAAAGAGAAGCCGTATTTATCTTAGGGATGGATCACGTTGGGGTCATGTCAGTTGTGCTCTCTGGATTCCAGAGACACGGATGGGCAATCCTGAGAAAATGCAGCCCATTACCAGAGTAAATCGTATTCCAGTAAGCGGTAGAAATAAATTTATTTGTCGTTAATTGAGTAAATGTTAAGATCGAGTAGTGAATGAATTTCTTATACTTGACGTAGGCTAGTAGGTGGACTCTGCTTTGCTGTTTATGCCAAGAAAAATATGGGGCCTGCATTCAGTGTTCTGTAAGGAAGGATCTGCAATATATTCCAACTTTGCTAACTAAAATTTACACTATATTAAATCAGATTAACACTTCTGAATTCCTTAGGTTCCATCATGTACAGTCTCATTTCATGTCACATGTGCTATTAAGAAAGGATTAGTCATGGTCGCACGTTTAGATGATTTTGCTCCGGGAGGCGTAAAGCATATAGTGTGTTGAAATTGAAATAGATTTTTTAAATTTAAACTTTTTAACTAAATTCCATAATTTAACTGTATTTATAGTGTTATTGTAGTCGTCATGCTGATCAATATAACGAAAATGACGATGCTGAGACAATTTGCCCAATATCTGATCGTGATCAAAGGTAATTCACTTTATCAATGCAAAGAATAGCAGTCAATGCCGAATATTTCAACTCTAAGCGCTATTTATTAGATTAAAGAAGATTCGAGAAGAATTTTATCAGTATGTTACACCTGTTGATATACGTGAAGTTATTGAAGACGATGACCTAGCTTTTGCCATCCATGCATACTGGACCATGAAACGAAAGGTTATCCTCGCAATGCAACTCAATTATTATGTACTGCACTGTAGGGCTTAAGGTTATCATTGTTGTAATTAATACTAGTTGTTATTAACACCACCCTAGACTTTAGATAATTTACCGTTGGTGCCTAAACCAGAAGATACGGACGAAGAAGAGGTCTATATTGCTTTGCATGTATATAATTGAAGCGAACTTTTTTAGCTAAGGTATTAAAGCTTATAATTACACTCATTAGGTTATTGATAATCCAGAACAACAAGCCGACTTCATGCTACGAGTACGCCAAGACATGGAAAAAGTATGCTTTATACTGTATGATTTAGAAGGGATATTTTGCAATAGAATAATTATAATGAATGCGTTCGTTTTGCAGGTTCGAAATCTCTGTTATATGGTTATAAAGAGAGAGAAATTAAGACGAGAGTTAATCAAAATTCAAAATGAAATTACTATTAAACGACTAAGTATCATATTTAATGGTAATGTTCCTTTAACTGATGCCGAACAGACTTGGTTAACGGATGTACGAAATAATTTTGAAATCTCTCGGAAAGCGGAAGACTTTTTCTATACCTTTGCAACTTTTCCCTCAAATAATACTCCATACTTGGGCAATCTTATCGATCTTGTAAATAATATCAAAGTTTCTAGGAAGCATTCGAATTATGATGCATTATTTCACAATCAGGCTTCAAAAATTAATTCTTGCAAGAAGGAAAACTTTGCAAATTATTCGCCTCATCGTTTCAAGAGCTCAGTAAGATATGATGATGTAAGTTATCTAGATTCTTCACCTGTCAATGTTATTAGTAGAGATGCAAAAGAAGAAGGTAGTGCTGTCAGTTGTAACGCTTCCAATAGTCATCAGGAAGATTTCGAAAATGAATTAGTTGATAACGATCCTAAAAGTGACGAAGATGGGACCTTATGCATTCATGGCGAAAAAAGTGTGTCGCATACGAATTCAGAATCCGAGAATGGAATTTTAAAGCGTACTCCACAGGAAAGTGACTCATTAGAATCGCGAGTCCTTCGCAACCGAGAATTAGTCGATTGTAATAATAAAGCAAACATTTCTACTAGTTATTCTGGAAAAGACTTTATGCCAAGCTTTTATCGACGCATCTTCGTAAAATGAGCATTGTTTGTCTACCATTTTTTGCAATCGTTGTGCCAAGCACTAAAAATTACTAAAAATGGCGCAAATGTTCTACTATACCATATTGTCCTCAAACTGCTTTATATACTTTATTAAATGGTAAATACAATCATTCTTATCACAGTATTTACCGATATTGTCTCTCATAGTATTATGTAATCATTTGTGTAACGCAACGATGTAAAAGTTTGTTAATAGTGTCATTCTACTGTATTATTTGTAAACCAATCATTGATAGTACGTCAGTTTTAGTTGTCGAGATGAAGAAATTCAACTTGAATGGACAATGGTGTGCTTGTCAACAGACAGTGACGGATTTGTGGTAAAAATGGGTGCCTGAAAATGTATGGCAGAAAGCCGAAATGTACAATAGAATTACTAGTATGATGTCCAAAATAAATGTAAATTTATTAACATCTTGATATCGGTTTCGAAGATTGAATTTGGAATAATTTTGCTTACCATGTTGAACATTTGGAAATCTAAAAGATTGCATCTAATTAAGTGATTTTAACATTTAAATGATATGTCATTGCGGTAGTCTCTAACTGTTTGGTGTATTAATGTATTATATTGGAATGTCTTATAACTTCATGACGCCATAAGACTATAGAAAATTTAGGCGTAAGATCGATTGCCGCCTCTACCGTTCTTATAAACAAGAAGAAATAACTAAATCCAATAAAATAATACTATAAAAGGAGTCCTATATAAGATTAAACTTGCCATCGATTAGAAAAATGTTCATTAATTGAATCAACACGATCCCTAGAATCTCAGACGCAGTAATTAATGAATTAATTAATTGCGCACAGTAAAAGCGATTGATGTATCCTTTAGCTAGCCTAAAAATGTTCACTGCAGTAACATCGTTACTACATTAACGGACAAGGATCCGCACAATAACGCCTATAAGATTCTAAATGGCCAGTTGAGGGTTCCATTAAGGCGGTATAAGTGGTTAACTATTTATCAATACATAATACACAAGATCGCATAAAATAACATTAGATCGGTCAGCGTAAGAAGTTACAATTTAGAAAATATGAAGTTAAAGATTGAAAGGACTTACCTTATTGCGGACTGGTTTCGTTGATAGTACGTTATAGATGTTAGGTAATGAGATATGCTGTGAATTCGCAAAAAGCGATTGCATTCAATAAGGGATACATTTTAATATCGAATAAACTAATAGTAAAACTGGCAAGTTGCTTATTACATTATTGCAGTAAAAGTACAGAAGAGACCTAACGTAATAGAAGGTTATACATCCAAGACTTTAGATAAGCTTTTTATAAACTAAGAACAAACCTGTTGTGTAACTTTGTTCAGACAAGCTTTAGCCTAAAATATATAATTAGCATTTTTTGTTAAAAAATTCGCGTATTATTTTCGTAAGTTACAGTGTACAGTTTATCAGTTTACTAATAGAGTTGAATGCGTATAAAATAAAATATTGTACAAAACTTTACACTCAATATTATAATAGGTTTACCGGTGTCCTTCGGTCGTCGGTGACTGGCGGCTTATTCCAGTTATCATAATTTGTTTCCACGACGTACCATACATTTGAAGTGATGTTTAAGCTAGAAAAAGATATCAACGAAAGTAAAACAGGTAAGAAGACTAATAACAGTTTAATAATTCAGACAAGCTTATGATCAAAAGATTTGATTGAATGGTAATTTCTATTTGCTGACGCGATCAGTAATTAATTTGATTTCGTTTACTGTAAATTGCAATATTTACATTGTGGTATTTTATCGCTATAGATATGAAGCTGCTAGAAAAATGTATTTTACGCGTATATATAATATAAAGTAAAAGACACTACAGCTTGAATATCTACCTCATTATATTATCAGTTTTCTCTCTAGATCTGGTAATAACACATCCCTATGAATATAAAACAAGTGTAAACAGCGTGTTAACGAATTTTGAACTTAATTTTGTAATTTGATAACAACACTAATCAATACCTCTCCTGATTTCGTACCGGCAACAATAAAATAAGCGGGCGCAATTAATTGTGGCTCAACTAATACGTTGACAGCGTCCTGATAACTAAGAAAGAGTATTGTAATTAATAGTAACGATATTGTAGAGAGATGAGTTAACAGATCATAAAGGTAACATACAATGAAATGATTTAACGATATCAACTATTCGCATCGCAACCTGCTAGCTTTATCTAGTGTATCCCTCAGCAATAGGCTCATAAACTTAGCATCATTCAGTCCAAGTACCCATTCAATTAGACCTAAAATTAATTTTATGATAAAGGTAAGATATTTACGTTCAGAGTTACTTTGACTTTAAAGTGAAAAGATATGAGCAAATACCGATGTAACCGCCGTCGCTTATGAACCTTTCGTTGATAGTAACAGAGGCTACTCCAGGCTTAATTCCAGTAAGTACTCCTACGTATCCGATAAAACTTACTGATTTGTAGACAGTTTTACCATTTCGCTAATTTATTTAAAAGGCATGAACGTAGAAGGTCAGGCAAGGTATTGTAAAGAATATATCAACGTATACTTTGTTTGTTTAGAATTTACAAGTTCCTATCCAGCATAGTGATGAAATGCTTAGAAATTTACCTGATAGTCAACGTTAACGACTAAAGGCCGAAGATATTCTGTAAGTAGCCAAGTATCTCTTTTAAAGTCCCACCTATAGTATTATGACATAAAAATAAAAGTTATAATTTCGATAAAATATGAATACTTGCTTTATAAACTGGGATAATAAATCACTCACCCAAGAAAGAGCCCAAAGTCCAAATTCCTGGCATGATATATTTTACCTTTATGGAAGACAAGCTTACGTGAGTAAAAAGTATTAAAGTAACAAAATATAAGCGAATTGACATCATCTTGCTATCTTACTATACCATTCTTGTCCTGGGCAACAACGGATGTACAAACACTAAATATTTCGTAAAAGATATTATAAAGGACTATTTCTCCTATAGTAGAAAGGAAATAACGTCATTTCTATCCGTATCATATTAAAATTTAGCAATTACTCGTAGCCTTATGGGCTAACTGCGCCAGTGGATCAGTTATAAATAAATTAAGTATTAATTTACCTAATGGAATATTTGCAGCTTTAGCGATTCCTTTAATTTCATCAGAATAAGGTTTAGGGATTTTGTCTGCTAACGCACCCTAATTGTATGATAATAAACATCGATATCTAATTCATTAGAGTTTATTTTATCATGAAAGCTTAGCATGGATATCGAAGTAGGCATAGCATAGATGATGAAATTATGATATAAGCAAATTCTAGTATACGCGTATATATAAATTGTGTAGGATTAAAAATGTTTTCATTTAACTATAACTATAAGTTAAGGAAATAAAACCTGTAATATCCAATAAATATATGCTTTTCATGAATAGCAAACAAAGCCAGACATTGGTTACAATCTCGACTTTATCAAATTGTATTATGACACAAACCACTCTGCCTATAATATATAGTATAAGTTGAGTAGTTAAGAATATCTTATACCCAATCTTTGTCCACCCAGTCAACAAGGAGATTCTTGAAGAAGAATCGAGTAAAATTCTTTACGACACCAATCATTCCGGCCAACTACACAATGATAAAAGAAAATTAATTGAAATATGATAATAACTGTACGACCATTTTAGCTACAAAATAGGTATACTCTATTACAAGCTGACTGCGTTTTATGTGACTAACGTAAATTAGGTTCAAGAAGTAAAGCAAGATCATATTTAGCTCTAAAACAGTATGAATAAGGTTGTCTAGGTTAAGCCAGAAGTGAATAGTGTAGGTATGACTCAGCGATCTTACTATTAAACGATGGCGATAGTTTCTCGGTTTTACTATTAAATTTAGATTACGTGAGTTCAGTCACCTCATGTTTCTTTTTAGAAGCCAGTTGCATCCATCTCTCTTGTGGTGCACTATCTAAATTCACAGGGTACCATTCGATCTTGTCTCTATGTAGCGGGAGTAGAGAAATAGTACAGATACGGAGAAATATTTATTTTTTAAGTTATCTGGACTGTGACAAAGATTGAGTACCGTAACTGACGTTGTATGTATTAATTATAAATTATGCAATAGCAACATCGTCAATGTTAATCATTCTTATCCTAACTTCTTATCAGGAGGGTAAGCAGAAGTTTCACATGATTCCCACACATCTCCATTAACCTAAATTGTACATTAGGCAAAATATTAAGCTTCCTAACTAGCTGGCGCTACAACTATATAAGTACAAGTTATTGTAGTGTATAGTGTTATAACAAAGCAGAAAAATTTCAGCTATTACGGCACAGGTAGTGGTACACACTATGCTCATAATATCAATCTTTGTATATTAGAATCTATTCCATTATAGAATTAGGCTACTGATCAATAGACGTAAATATAATTATAATTATAGAGGTAACTATTCCATATCGTGTTATGTCTGCATGCTTATGATAAGTCTGTTTTATTGGCTCGATAAAAATATCAACTTCACTATTCGTCGTCATGGAAAAAAGTTAAATCAGACGTAATATATGAGTCGCTACTACCCAGAAAGTTGATATTATTTAATGATGGTGACTAGGTAATTAATAAAATAAGAACATCTTATTTAGTATTTAATAAAGTACTAGAAATCTACTCACAGTCACGAGGAATCTATACGTTCTTATTCTCTTAATTATTCTACATATGTGTTTACAGATATTATACGTATTATACTGGATCGATAACGAGTAGTGTATTAATTGTAATTAATTACATATTACTAGTAACAATTCAATAAGGGCAATTTAGAGAACTTTGCGTATTGAAGGTTAATTTCTTACGCAATCCAGTATGGATAGAAATACCGTCGATTGACTTATGATGACATCGAAGTATTATTGATCTACTCCATTAGCACTTATTAATTGCCAGTTGCAATAGATTGATAAGTCTAGCAACTAATCTAGTACGCAGTAAATCGTATTCTATCGCAATCGATGGACTAAATACAGTACAGTAGGTGGCAAATTGATTCGAATTTCGTTATTCATAAGTTTCCTTTCAAAACCTCTACTGTACGAGTACGGCACAACTAGAACCATCGATTGAATTTTACAATGAATTTACCTGATCCTTGGCTAATACGATTACTACCAAGAACACTAGCAAGAGGTAAAAGCGTTGCAATAGTGCCATCATTGCAATTTTAACGATTGACGAATTTCCTTGCTTCTAAAATGCAGAAATTGAAGATTTGTTGTTTATTTTATAAAACTTGAAGGCGGGGCGGCAGCTTCCATCCGTCTGTATTCCGAGTGTACACTGTACAGTACTATGACTACACAATCCATACTGACTCTACAGTATTGCGCCATACTGTAGACTGTAGAGGAAGACGTGTCACTCAGTACCAGTGTGACAACTGTTATGAGCTTCACCTTATGAAGAGTCGACCTGGACTGAGCCCTCTTGGACGGACAGACGTTTTCGGCCATCTCGTCAAAATATTGTTGCAAACACAGACTGTGTAGAATTTCTTTATACAGAAATCAGTGCCTGTTTTTATCGATTATTTTCGAATAAAACTTGTAAAACGTGATATGTATTATGGTGTTGATTGATATAAAACTGAAATAAAATGGATCAAATGTTGATCGTATTATTTTTTTTTTAAATCTGCATTGAATTTCTACACACTTGTGCTGTGTACTGTAGCCTTGCGCAGGTGTACAGTCTAATGTCATCCTTTCCTGGATATGTTTAAATTGTTAAAACTAGAAGTAAATCGCTTGGAAAAGACCAATGGTAATGAAGCCTTTTTATATACGTAGGTCTGCTATGGTAGAAAGTTACCCACCAAGTCAAGAGCTATCCATCTATATTAAAAGCAAGCATTTGCGATCAATGTTGTACAAATTGATGCAAAAGTTGCAATATGGAATGTACAGTATGGGATCAAGTCGGCCATGTACTGTACTGTACATTGTACAATTGTCAGTGTACTGTACAACGCGTAGCATTTTTTCGAAAAATCGGTGCTTACTTTTATTCAGAATTTTGTAGCAAAATTCTGAAAATTTTATACGCGTAGAAAGAGGAAGGTTTAGCGATTAATAAATAAATTATATTCAATAGAATCCATCAATTTTTGACACTTTTATTTCATTTTGAAAAATCGGAATGGAATATCGATCGACACGCTGTACTGTACAATACTGTACAGTGTACAGTACAGTACAGTACAACACGACAAACTAAAGTGTTTTGTATTGTACACTGTACACTGTACACTGTAGTTCATAGCATACTATATGCAGTGTATGGGCCTGCGTGGAACCTGTATCAATTTAGTATAAAGTGCTGCTGTAGAACTCACCATCTTCCCTTACTGTACTTGTTTTCTATTGGAAGCGTGTCGGCCATCTTAAAAAGGTTGGACAACATTTTCATTTTATCACACGGTTATCCGCGCCATTTATTGCCATCTACTGTTTTACATTATAACAACTCGATCTAAACGTAAGATCCTCTCCTATCACAGGTATCTATGACGCCAAAAGCCAACAAGAAGAGCCGTTCGGCCATTGACGAAATCGTTTCTAGGGAATATACCGTTCATTTGCATAAGCGCCTGCATGGAGTGTAAGCAATTCAACGTAGGAAAACGATAAACTGAAAAAAACTAGTACAAGACTTCCTTAAACTGTATTATATAGATTGACATAGTGCTATGTTGCCACTGCGTGAATAAATCCATTTTGCTATAGATAGAGAAAGTCTCCGATACAATTTCTGCCCTACTGCTCTGTAATGGAGTGATATACAGCATAGAACTGTATATTGACTATACTGTTATGATACAATTTACAATGCTGAGCTCGTATTCGTGACCATATTAAATGAAAAACTTTGTGCATATACGTTATCTATCTTCACTTTACTGTCATGTGAAAAGAAAGTTTCAAATCAATAGTTAATCTATCCTTACTACAGTAGAATTTCAATTTTGACAGAGTATACCAGCGAATACATGCTTATACTTTCATCTTGATTGATAGTGGGCTTATTATTTTGGATTATGTAGAGGTTTTAAGAAACGAGCACCCCGTGCTATCAAAGAACTTAAGAAATTTGCTATAAAAGCCATGGGAACTACCGATGTTCGAGTTGACTCTGGTTTAAACAAGCATATTTGGAGTAAAGGCATTAGGTACGTACTTCATTTAGAAGTTGGATATTATATTCTTAGCAGTATTAGACGCTCTTTCGGCATGATAACATTCTTGGAAAGTAGAGTCTGATAATGTCGAACTTCTTTATCACACTAGAAATGTTCCCTTCAGAGTACGCGTTTGTTTATCAAGAAAAAGAAACGAAGACGAAGATGCTGCCAACAAGTTATACACTCTAGTGACTCATGTACCGGTGGAATCATTTAAGGGTAAGAAAATTAAAATTTAGTAAAGAGATAAAAGATTCTCATTATGATCACCTCATGATGATAGTTTATGCATAGGTAACACGACATGAATCAGAGCTTGTTCTGTAGTGCATTAGTATTATCTAAGCCTAAATTGCCACCTTATTTTTTTGCGGTTATTTAGGTCTACAGACTGTGAATGTTGATGCCGAATCTTAATGCACAATTGTTTAATAGAAATTTGTAGTAAATAAACGCTCTTAAACCTTGATTGCCATTGCCTTTAAGATGTGACTGAAAAAATGATTCATTTGCCTGAATAATCATCTCAGATGACATGAATTCCTTCACTAGTGCATGGTTATATCACGCTGTGGCTACCTCGGTGCACTATATTTTTATAAATTATTGACTGCTCCTTTTAGCTAAAACAGTACTGTAATTGCATTCGCTTACCAGCAGCACCGGATATTTCAAATACTAACATTTGAAGCTATAACAATTTCTTGGATGAAAGATTGTTTGCTTACGAACTGTCAGTGAATGCATAGAGTACTTAAAATCTGAGTAGTAGTCCTTGGTAGGTGGCATACTATGGAGATGGTCAAGTACTTTGCTACTGAGCCAAGGTTCAGCTCTAGTTATTCACTTGGTACATGCTAACTGTAATAACTTTGTTTACAGAACAATTCATTTTTACGACGACTAGGATAAATTTCCGTACCAATTCACCAATAAGAACGATCGTAGCGCAGAGACTAATGGATCTTCGATCGAAGCAACCACCTTGCCTTGTCAAACTCGCAAAACTGTAGCTTGTTACTGCACAGTACACTTGCTTAAATTTGATAATTCACATCGAATGATCTAATTTACTTTGGAATATCTCCAATACACTCTTCATATTGAGGAAGAGTGCAACTTGATATACTACGATGATTAATAGTGTGGCGATGGGAATTTGTCACAGTATTCGCCAGATTGTGCTAAAATTGTAGCCAAGATAGTATTTTTTTGAAACCGTAGAAAGCAACGTGCTTTTCAATCCAGGCGGATCAGTATTAAGATTAATCTAAAATATACGCGAAGTAGAATGCTTTACGATAAATTAAATATGAGATAAAACGATTTTGTCCAAGTAAAGGATAGCAAGCAGTCTTGCGCGCTACTAGAGATTTTAAATAAACCTTTTACCTAAAATTTTGAGAGTGTAGTTCGGTCAACCCTAATCTGTAATATACTTGTACAGTAGCACCTATATTGGATTTTACTAAAGCGTGTCCGATTACTAAACAGAAAATTCTTGATGTAATTTACATGGAGGCAGAATGCATCAGTAATTCAGAATTGACCAATTTACCAATTAAGGGTTTGTCTATGAAAATGGAATTGGAGGTAATAAACAATTCTTCAATAGATCAGAATTTGGCTAGAGTAAATAACTACTGGTAGTATATCAGTGCATCCGTGATAATCTGAAGACATGCGAGTACATTACAGTAAGCATAATGCGACAGCAGAATTAGCTGATGAAAGTTGGATCCAATTTGCATCGTTTTCATTCATGATTATATGTTCAGATTGGGTACATTTGGTAAAAGTAAATACCCTTCAAGAAGGAGACCACTATTACGGCGTGACTGGTATACTGTACTGGTTGAACCGATAGTGTAATAAGTGTACCAGTGGATAGTCGGTTTGTATTGGAATTGTGTAGAAATCGAAAACTGAATGCTGTAGTCAAAATGAATAGAAACATGAATAGAGGGAGCTCACCAAACGCCTAAAATAGTGGTCTAATGGCATCGAAAGGCAAGCCTGAAAGCCGGTCAATTTGACTCGTTTCCATTGCACGCTGCCGAGAATCTACAGTACTCAGTACTGTACCGTACGGTTTCTATGACTACAGTTACACAGTACAGTCCACATCTGCACCGTGTACAGTACATGTTGTACAGTACTGAGTACGGTAAGTGTTCAGCATTGTGTACAGTACAGTACTACAGTGTACAGTACAGTGTACAGTACAGTATGTACTGTAAGTGTAAAAAGTGGAAGGTTCAGAACCGGACCGAACCGAACCGGGACAGGTCTACTGTAGAGGCCCTCAACGGTTCGGCGCGGTTCGGTTCTTGGTCCTGGACTGCATGGAAGACCGTAGGACAGGACGATGCTAAACATCTACAGTACTCAGTACTGTGGAGCATGTACTGTACACGGTGCAGCGGTGGACTGTAGTAAAGGTCCTCTTGGTACTGGACTGGCCATGGAGGACCACAGGAAAGCAACTCAAACTACCAGCAAGAACTGTATGTATTGTATGCACAAGATTGCCTGTAAGATTTTAATACCGCTTTGACGTAACACTTCGTCGGCACGAATGGGCAGGGCAACTAAACGCCAATATTAATGATCACAATTTGGATCAGAAAGAAAATTAGCTTGAAACTGGATCAAGGCCTGGCCCAATTTCCTTTAAGTTCCTTTTAAGTTACAACATTCAGACGCTAGTTTCGACCTTTATGACCGCCATTGGTAAGAAAAATTGATCTTTACAACGTTTTCATCGAAGGACAACCGCCCTGCGATAGCATACTGTGGACAAGGGTCCATCCCTAGCATCCATTCAGCATCAACATCGACCAGCTCAACAACGAAGAGAGCAAAACGCAAGTTAGTCAAGAGAAGAGTTGCGAGTACTTTTCAATCCAGTGTGGCATATTGGCAGGGAATATTGAGCGGCCATTGTCGACAATTTGAATATCAGTAGTAGTGCCAATCTGCCAATTGTGGTGACAACAGTTTTTACTACATCGATTTGTGCCATTTTACGATGCAATTATCATCCTCTGACGGTAGCATGGAGAAGGAAGGTATCGCGAAAGATGTCAATATTTTTTCAGTCTTGCCTCAACAGGTCATTATCCATATTACTAGCTATTTGACAGGTTGCGATCTTACTCGGCTAGCCAATACTTGCCTTTCCTTTTATAAATTGACTTGTGATGATACCTTATGGAGACGAATGATACAAAATGAGTTAACCTGCAAGCCTCAATTACTCAAGGATGAAAATCATTTCATGTATTACAAGCGTGCTTATTTAGGTCAATATAATATGCTTTGTACATTCGTCCTTAAAAATTGGGACGATCCTCAATTTTCCGATATCAATATAGACAATTTTTCCAATCATGATGATGATAACCAACATTCCAATACCGTAAGTAATTACAGCACTTACGCTAAGGATACTTACATTCTAGAAAAACTGTTCTCCTACGGTAATTACCTTAAAACTCATACGCAAACTGTGGATAGCAAAATCCTATCCATGTATCTATGCCATGCGGCGAAACATGGCTATGAAGTATGGGCAATATTATTACTTGAACGTGGTGCTTTATTTTCCGGTGTCAATTTCTTCAATTTGAAATTTTATCCTATCAATATCGCTATTCGAGAATCTCGTCATAATTTCATACGTCAAATAATTCGATATTTCTTAAAAAAGTACTCTGGTGAAAAAGTGATGAATGCCATTGCAGGCAACAATAATCAAGGCAGTTATAACTACGCATCGAGTGTTAATAGCATCTTAATTGAAATAGTTGATTATCCATCACAATTAAAGTCGTTATTAATGGGCTTGAAATTAACGCCAGAATGTCGTGCTGCTGTTGAAGGCAAATTCGATCAATTACGCTATTACGTTGAGACACAAAAATTAAATTGTTTCAAACAAGATATTTACGGTATGGATCCACTAAGATATGCTACCATCGCCGGCCATTTCAAATGTTGCGAATTCTTAATCGATCACAATATCCATTACAATCATTGTCGATCTTCTTTACGAGTTCAATCGTTTATTGAGATTGCCATTGATAAAATGGGTGTAGCCATGTTAAAGACATTACGCCAGAATCAAACCAAGGAATTCTCCACGTGTAGTTATGATGAAGACCCAATAAATTCATACCATTTAGCCTTTACCCACGCTATGGCCAAAGCATTGGCACGACCGTCACACTACTCCGATTATATAACTTTCCTTCTTCCCGATTTGATTAAGTATAATTACTATAAAATGATCTTCGATCACGTTGTTTCTATAGGCAACATGAACATGTTTCGTTCTCTAGTTGTTAACTATAAACAGTTAATCTCGGATTATGCTCAAAATGGAGATGAATCTCTTAAAATGATGACATCGCTCGGCGATGCTAGAAATAAAGCTATCCGTTATGTTGAACAATTACAACATCCTCAGTTGCTAAGAATGGCATTCCAATGTATTTCTGACCTTCCCAACGTACTCCTCTATGAGTCTTCAAGATTAGATCACCATCTAAGATTAAATGTTTTTAATGATTGGTCGATCTTTTCCTCAAGTCAGCACTACGACACAACAGTCGGATTCTATTATAGATTAAGCCAAATCGAGGATAATTATTTCAACCCCAAACGGTTTGCTCTAGAACTAACATCTTATAATCTATTAATAGTGCTTCTAGAATTAATCAACCGATGCGATGAGCATCAACGATCAGAAATATTATTCTGTATGTTTTGGTCAGTTATGAACATGGAATGGAACCATCGTTTATTTCAAGATGAGAAGTTAGATAGGAGACTAGATCAAATTACTGAATGTTATTTCGAAGCTATACTGGATGCTGGCTATCAGATTAATGATTGCACTAGAAGTTGTCGCTCAACAGCCGCTCACTATGCCATCACGATGGGTAAAACACATTGGGTTCAATTTTTTTTAGCAGCCGGTGCTGACAGGCATATCGAAAATATCCGATCACTGTCGTTACCAAAATTGGCTCAATCATACGGTGTGGCAATCGATTTATTAAACAGCTATTGCAACTGTCCTTTACCTAGCAGTAAACACCAGAATATTAGCTTTTGGTGGCTGAAATAGTACGATGACTAGATTCAAAAGGAAAGGAGTAATTTCAAGCTTTTTGCTGTTGTTAACTGACATAAGCATTTTTTTCTTCTATCTGGATATTATGCTGGCTTACAACTGTATCACCGTTTTCATGTAATCTACACAACAACATGCCATTTTGGATCTTATTTCAATGTAATGTTTGTTTCAGCCAAGTTGGTGATGTCCTTTCTATGTGTGTTAGCCGATTCACTAAATAATGTACTGTACATAGATAGAGTAAATAGATCGATTAAGTAAATACATACAAAAATACAAATACCCAAATTAGGTCAAAAACTGCTATTGCATTCTCATTTTGTAGCGTTTTCAGTTTGAAGCTAATGGTTGGTATAGTATGTATTGATTTTGTTTCTAGACTATTATTCTGTTGACGTTTTAAAACATTAATTATTAATTGACTACTTTTATAGATTCAATAATACTACAGTGTTTCTTCTTACTGCTGTAAACTTTATGCGCTTACCTACTGTATTTCGACACTTATTTGCCTAATAATTATACATTATAATTGTATCTGATACAATCGATTCCATGTACTGTAATACTATTTTATGTACTCTCATATAACTTTAACTGTAGCATAACTAATAAGAATACTAAATGCCATTCATATTGTTGAATTAATATACTTTAATATTAAAGAAAGAGCTTAAACCGTAATAACGCTATTTTGTTAAAGTTATGCTAACTGATACTTGGATAGTAACACTAAAGTATACCAATCTCAGTAGCCATGTAACGCTATAGACTAATAGGATAAGATAAATTACTCTTTCTTTAATGTAGCGCGACTTTAAGAAGATATTAAATGATATTTAAGATTGCGAACTAGAGAGATCTTCTAATATGCTTAGCTTCGATTTTATAAGGATACTCATGCGTAATGTATGTAAAATAGCAATAATTTTATTGGCATGTTATCTGTATTTACTGAGAATGCATTAATTCTTTCAATTTTACAAATGCAACATTTATGACATGATGCATTATTTGCATCGACATATCACTTTACAGTCATGAAATAGAGCTGTTATATCCTTCTAAAATAGGTAATGGAAAGTCTTAATCTTAAGTGAATTGATGAAACTGACAAGCTGTGAGTGACTAGAATAAAATATATAAATTTTGGGAAGCAGCTAAAGTACTAAATCGTATTACTACAAAATGGATGCTACTTTGTTGAACAATAAGACGAAGAATGTTTGCGCATGGCTACGCTTTCAGAGATCTTCCGTTATAAGGAATTTCAATTCTATGTACTAACGAATACAATAACATGATAGCTTGATTATCAATAACTTTACTAATAAATTTTTTTAACAAGCGAAATAGTTCAAAGTAGTAAATAGTGTAGATATGATTTTGATACTTTTCATCTATGATCGTAACAATAATTTGCTCGAAGTGATAATCTTACACGCTATAACAATGCTATTCAATCTAGATAGCTTGGAGAATTAGTTCCAGATGGCAGTCTTGTCATACGTACTGTAATTGATTAATTGTATTACCATTAATCAAACAAAGTTAGGATTTAGACAATCATTAAATTTTATATACTGTACTCGAATATCAACATAAAAAGTTTCTCTACCAGGCACCAATAGTATAGGTTACTATTTAGGTTATCTAGTTAAAAAATGGCTAAAGTTACTGTCTTAAAATAAGTACAGCATTTACATGATATTAGTATCTCGTATGACACAATAAAATTACCTAAAGATATTAAAGGTAGACATTAAGTCAAAGTTGCCAGTAACTATGAGTATTCTAAACAATATCTTTACGAATCATTTATTTAAGTACATTATAAACTGATGCAAATAATAACGCCAGTAAGATAATAAATTTTCTGCACAATATGAAATTGTACTAATTTATATGTAATAAAATATCATTGTTGCATCAATAATTTTACGTATTTATCTTAATTTTATATATTTTCAAATTTTTCCCTCTATCAATGACATTTTTTAATTACGTTAAGAAATAATTTCTTGATCCATAATTTCCTATGAGTAACATAACATCGACACTTCGATTTTGTGTATTATAGAGTTCAAATTCTAACTGCTGCATTTCTCCCTACCGCTAGCGTTTCAATAAGCAAGAAACTGAATTAATTTTAGTCTACTTATTGCACGTATACAGTAATTCAATATTCGAATATACAAAGTCGTGGACAATTCTATCTACCTATCTTTTACGTCAATAACTTACAGATGCTAACCCACAGAACCACTGATACGCCAACCAATTAATTAATATAAAGAATGATTAATCAAAAATATAGCTGAAAACACTACTGATATTAATATTCCAAGTAGATCAACATTGGATTACATCACAATTACTGTACGAAGCGTAATCATTTCGGAGTGTGTTTGATTGGATCATCAAAACGATTCTTACGAAAATTAGCCAATGGCTTCTAAATGCAGTCTATGCAACTTAATCTTAAAATAAAAAAGCGATAAATACGCGTATATTAACTGTGAGCTCTTATTCCTTAGAAACTTAGACATTACTTATGAGTTTTATAGCAAAAAGTAGACGTAATATGATGGTATAGAAAGCGTTATTCCATTATCGTTGAGAGTTATATGTGTGTGAAAGCATCGTTAAGATGTACATTAATATCACTGAACTATTATACCTTCCTTAGTCCTTCGAGGGCAAGATGTATAATGTGTTAACAGGTCTACAGTGATTTTCATGTTTACTACATTATATTGCTTGTAATGCTCTCGGCAAAAATCGATTGGTAGCTTGTCTTGATTATTTGTTAATTGGCGATCTGCACCGGCAATTAGAAGAGTTTTTACCCATAATGGTGTGGCTAATTTACAAGCGTAATGTAAAGCTGGTATATCTAGATACTTAGAATCGTATATGGCAATACTAGGTAGATTTTCTTGCACTGATGCTTGTTGGTGATTGCTTAATTTATTGACATTAAAACCATAAGATAAATATAGATCAAAATAGCACTGAGCAATAACTTCAATTTTATGCCGAAGAATGTTATTGCATAGAATATCGTCCGGTCTTATCTTCTTGATTAATCTATTTACACCACAAAGTAGCCATTGATCAAAATCGAAATCTTTCAAGTATAACTTTCCCACTCGCAGTGTTAACTCCTCGAATCGGTATCCTGAGGTTCCTCTTATCCAATCGGCTATCGATTGTTCATGATGTAACTTATTAAGACTATAATACAATGATAAGCATTTCGAAATTTCATTTTTCGATTCGATAATTCTTAATTTACGAAATAACTCTGGAGGGGTTATTTGCTTATCCTTAATAAGAGTAATCAAGTTGTATATATCATGGCAAAAGTAATAATCGTCATATTCGCGACATAAGGGATTATCAAGTTCTGCTAAATCAGGTAATAGTTGTTGGAATACTGTTGCCCATAAATCATATGTATTCGTTTGCGGACAGTTGTCATTCACAAGTCCAGTTAAAGCATAAACAATTTCATCTTTCTCTTTCCAGCTGTCGTAATCTTCCATTAATTTATAACATGCTCTAAATATCAATTCAACACCTCTTTTGTCATCACGATTTGACTTTCTAACTACAGTAAAAGTGTTCAAATCATTACACTCTAGCGTAATATACTGCCAAAAATTTGGATAAGATGTTGGATTAACGAGCGTGCGATAAATCGCATGCCATAAAGCGATGGAATAATAATGTTTAAATATAAAATGAATGGTTGACATTTTGCGTAAAATCTTAAGAAACTCACAACCATTCCTATCAACGGCAGCTCTAATCATTTCTCTTTCCCATTTGCTTTCAAAGTCGGTAGTATTACAACTACCAGTTTGCCCATGACTATTATTGGCTTCCTGCTTCTCAAAGAAATTTTGATAATTGGATAGAACATACTCGATAGTTGATATATTGCCACATAACGAAATGTAATAAATAATACAAAATGATACAGATGACCAAAGATGAGTTAGATCATGATTACAATGAAGTAAAAATTGAATATTATTCAAATCTTTGTTGATGACAGCTTGATACAGTGGTAGTAAGTTAAAAAATTCAGATAGTGCACTTATTAAATGACTATCTAATGAAATACAATAAAATATTTTCCATACAATCGGTGTATGATTTTTAGCCAAGGTAGCAAAGAGTGGAGGGCATTCATTATCATCATGGTATTGAATATACATATATAAAAATTGACGAATAAAGTGGCAAGAATTTTCGCGTGTAGCAACGTATAACGATTGCAAATAAATATTTTCAACTTGCTGTTGTTGTAAATATCGACTGATTTGTTGGTATAATTTATTAGCCCAGACTTCTAAATTATTTCTGGCCGCGTTCAAAAAGAAAAATTTGAAGTAATAATAATTGCAGTTCCTTGATGGTAGGTCATTTTCGATTAATTTATACTGTTTATAGGGATGAAATTGGTCAATATATACCCATGATGTACGTGGTTGATAATAATGTTTTCTAGCGTGGCTATCATCATCGTGTTGCTCATGGATATTTTGCTTGCATGTTTCAGATGAATCTATTCCACCTGAATTCATTGTTTTTTGAATTCCAAGATAATGTCGTTTATAGAAATGATAATAACTCTCTCCATCGATTAATTGTGGTTGATTCGTTAACTCTTGTTGTATAACTTGTTTCCACGTCAAATCATTGGAAATCACTGTATAGAAATATTGCGATAGTCGAGCCAATTTGGCAACAGTACTGCCATTCAAATGAGTAATAATAATTCGTAGCGTTTCTTCCGGTAGAGCTTGTAGAGTAAATAAGGATTGAGATGGTATATTTTGTGTGTGTTTCCCGTTTCCTTCATCCATTGTCAGTCGTTAGAGTAACGAAGAGGTGAAATCATGTTCTAAAATTATATAAAATTAGTAACGATATCCGATAACATCAAATTACACCGTCATATATGTACAGTGCTGTACTTTAAAACCAATCTTGCTGTCCCTTTCATCGATCGAATGATATCGATAGCTTTCAAATTGATGTTGCTATCCACTCTGTGCACGATACTAATTAATTAATATGGAAAATACTACAGTACTGAGACCGCTATACTTTATGCCCCCGATTTCTGTCGACAATAATCGATTTTGTCAAAGTGCGGTATGATTGATTTTGTTCTTTATTCAGCCTTTGGTAGTGACTGTTAGACAATGTAAACTACGTCTTTTCATTGACGACTCCAAAAATGGCATTCTATTACTAACATAAGCACTCTTCAATGCCCTATTTTCATCTTTTCATGACAAAGACGATGCATTGAGAAATACTTCTTCATATGTAGTAGGACGACTATTGACCACATTCATCCAATTCTACTGGCACTCGTAGTTTATCATGCTGAATCGGGTTAATATAGGATTGTACTCATATTGTACACTGGACTAGAGAGCATCGAGAGTTTATCAAAAGAGTTTACGATTAGTATTTTGACATTGATGGAAATAAAAGGTATCTGTTATTGTTGACCATTGAAATATTTTTAGAACGGATAATCCACTTTTATTGGATATTGTATGGCGATATTGATTCAATTGTACGGGTACAGCACCAATCTTCTATCCTAGTGTATTGTTGATAATTGTTAATAGGATTGTATTATACAGTACACTAGCGAGCTTCTATTCATGAAAAAGAATTTTGCATCACTATTTTAACTTTCTTGAAAAATGGAAGGTATCCATTCTTGTCAATAATGGCAATAGGGTAGAAACAATCATTCATTTTCGCTAAACACAGTGTTCACAACTTGCTGTCGATTGTGAACTGTTCCAAAAGGAGTGGTGGTCAATAATGGTCAATATACAATAGTTCACTAGAACATGACTAGGGTAAATATCCGATATTGTAGTGCCATATTAATTTGTTCATTAAGAGTAAATTAATTGAAGCTATGCCGATGGTGGGCCTTGATAAAAGTACAGTATGTTAGTGAGTGAGTAGTTTTGTTTAAAGTCTGTTACCACAGTATGGGTATACCCGGTTCAAAATAGGAAAAAATCAACCATAGACAATTTCATATCGTACACAGTAGACTAGCACGGTATGGCATGAAAGTATCTACAAGTCTGATTATTTTTCGATGGCATTCCTTCGTTCAAAAATGAAAGTTGTATTCCGTTAAAATTGCTGCATAATAATTAATATTTATATATACCCGTAGAAGGATATCTCCACAGATACAACTAATATATAGAATTGATGTAGTTTGGGCCTGATTGAACTTCCACCATTCTATCTTTTCAGGGTGCCATTGAAATTATACATCAGACAGTACAGTACAGTGTGTACCATAACATTTTATTACTTTCTTTAAAAATACAGTAAAGCTATAATAGAATGATATATTAGGTTGATGGAGAGATTCTGAAAGATCTCAATGTGGTAAAGTTAGAAAGTTAAACTTGCTCTTAAGTCCATAAATAATGAAAGTATCACTGACCGTTATATCCCCATTTATAGTAAGTTAGACTTAGCGTACAATGTACGGTACAGACCAGACCATCAAGACCTCTGTACACAGTACAGTATAGAGGTCTTACAGTGTACATTGTCTTCCTTACAGTATTCAACAGTACTGTACACTGTACAGTAGTCTGACTCGTTCTTCAAATCCGATTTTGCATCAATTACGCAGTAAATAAGAAAAATGGAAAAATCCATTCGAGTCCAATATGAATCGTCAACAGTGGGGAGAAATTGGAATAAAAATATTAGCATGCAGCATTTGATTGGTTCCCATAGGAAAACTGAAGTGGAAAAAATTTGAGAACGTCTACGGCACGAGGTATTCCCAAGCGGTCACCCATCTAAGTACTAACCTCGCTCGATGCTGCTTAACTTCCGTGATCAGACGAGAACGGGTGTATTCAACATGATGTGGTCGTAGACACCAGGTAAGAGACAAATATCGTATTTATTCATGCACAACTCTTTCATCTCCAAATTGAGCTGCCAGCATTTACTACACCATATTTAAATTCGATAATTTTTTTTTACTAGGTACAGTTTCAGATAAAGCCAGATGATGCTGAACGTGCAAGATCAATTCATACGAGGAAGCATTTGAGCTTGGCATTCGATGCCATTAGATTCAACGCTCTGATGTTTTCAAAGTGACATTAATCTATTTATTTATTTATTGCAATACATTCGTAAAATCAAGCATACAACTGCAGGTTTCACTGATCAGTACCAATCACGAGCTTAATAATCACCAGTTTGTCAATTTCCTGTCTACACATCACTGTATCAGACATACGACACTATCATAAACATAAAGGTATGTCCTGCAGTAATTACAGAGCTTTAACTTTCAAATTTACAGATTCATATGCGTTACACTTGTTCTAAATTCGAGAGACTAATATTTAAAGTGTAGTTATATCGATGTTCATAATTGTATATAATTGCAAAATACCGCTTGTAAATTGTATAAGATAGTCATTGAAAGGTTGCCAGCCCATGCACTGTATCGCATCGTCATCACAACAATATTATTAATAATACTGTGCGCATTTTTAAGTCCTGATAAGTTATTATGCGCTAAATTCATTTGAACCGATCTGATAGCAACGAGTCAATTGAACTTTCGATAGCAAAAACAGCTGGCTTTTCGTAGCTAAAAATCAACTCCATTGCATCCAAGCTTGTAGTCGTACTATACTGTATAGTAAGATCCAAGTTTATACTGTATTTATAGCACTACGATCAAAATACAACAAAATTCTAAAATAAGGGTATACCCCGCATAATTAATTCATGGTAACAACTTCTACAGCTTCTGAAGCTGACGGGACCTCGCTCTGATCATTGATGACAGAATTCGCCATCGTAACACGAGGCAAACCAGGAATGTGGTGGCCTTGAGAAGATGAAGTTTGCTGGTGCATTTGAACTACTTGTTGATTATGTTCGTGGGCTTCAACCAAATTACCAGTGTTATGATCATGCTGGAGTGATCCTGCAAGTACTTCTGCTGCAGTCACCTCTCCAGTTTGCTGTGGAACCATCATAGAAGAACCATGAAATTCGATGGTCACACCTTGCTGTCCACTGGTCAAGCCAAGATCACCCTGTGCTTTTAAAGCAGCAATGGCTTGTGATGTTTCCGTTGCATCAGGTATACCTTGTGATGGATCAAGCGATAATACTGTGACAGTGCCGTCTCCATTATTAATTTGAATCATATGTTGAGAGGCATAATGTGCACTAGGGCCTTTTTTCAATTCCGCAGCATCAGTAAATTCAGGTAGAAGATCTTCCCGTCCATGATGTTTGTAACAACTTTTAATAATATCCCTTAATGCTTGCGTCCAGGGAACACGTTGTTTCTCTTCTTCACTTCTAGCATCACTTCGTACATTTTGCCAAGGTAAATCTTTGGGCCACCACGCAGGTTTTAACGATTCCTTGCCCCATCCAGGCTTACCACGGCCAGTAGAATACTTGAGCATTAATGGAATAAATGCCCTCAACTGCGCCTGAGTCATTTTATCTACTGGAGTAGGTATCCCATCGCAAACAAGAGGTGGTAACTCGAATAAGCCAGTGTTATCTTGCTGTACTTGGGGTGCTTGTTGTTGTAAAGCATTATCTAAATTTTGCATGATTACCGGTTTTAGATTTCTTAATACATCTTCTAACGGCTTTGCGCCAAAAGCTTTGAAAATCTCATTGGGCTTGCTTGGTGTACAACATATTATCGCGGCTTGTTGTCCAACGCGAACGGTATATTCATCCAAAACATCACGCATCTTCCGTAGAAGACGAGTCTGTTGTCTTTTACGAATGGATGGATTGGTCTCAAACGTGTGGCCTCTTTTACGCTTACGGCCAGTAGCCACAGCAGCAGCAGCCGCTACACCAACCGGACCTGAAATTGCTAACTGATTGGTAATCTCATCATTCATGTTCGGATTCAGTAGTTGGCCATCGTCGTACGCTGATTCAGGTGATGAAGGCTCTGATCGATCGTCTGACATGGTGATTTCTGTAGACAAACAACTATTTGCCCGCCAAAATTGTTCACAAAAGCGGAATGATTGCAAAGTAGTGCCATGGTGGATGAAAAAAGGAAAAAAAAGAAATGGAAAAATTAGTTAAGCGAGAGAGAAATTCTTTTGGTTGGAAACATTTCCACGAGCACAACAGCAATCGTTGTGGCTGTATCATTCAACTTGGATTACGTCTATTCCTTTCTCAACTTACTTTTCGAGCAGACTCAGTAAAAAAGATGCGCGATTTCTTCTTCACTAATCTTCAGCCTTGCGCACAAAAAACTTCAAATGTTGTAATTTTGCTCAGCGTCAGTATTTAATGGCCGCGTCAATTTCTACAGTGGTTGTACTGTACCGCCTGATGTTTTTACTGCAATCAGCACAGTACATGTACGGTAAAGCACAGTACAAACTATGGTAGACTGCCTGGCCACAGGTCACATGGAGGACTGGTCAATTCCAATGTTCTACAACGGCGTCATATAACATCATTTTTTAATGTTAGGATTTGTAGTAACCTGGATTCCGTGACACAAACTAATATAAATACACAACACACTGAAGTGGGCATACTCCTACATTACCTGTATATTGCAGAGAAATGGACAATTATTCTGACTTGCTTCCATGCAAAGATGCAGAAAAGTACATAGTCGCTTGTTTCTGGTTCCAATCTCAAGCTCAACACCACTAGTGTACAGTACTGTATGCGATACAGTACCGCAATGTCGTTCTTTTCCAGTAGTCCATCCTTGCAGGAGCGATGGTGATGGTACTGTACACTGTAGCGTAGTTCAACACAGCAAAAATGGATTCATACTGTAGTGCGCAATAGTACTTTGAACGACCCACCAGAAGCTGCTTTATCAATTCATGCATGTTTTATTTCAGAAATGATCGTTCATATTACTGCATATTGTTTTATTTTTCCTGTAGCTTTTGCTTGAATTGGATCGGTCCTCAATCTTATGGAGTCCATCTTCTTCTCTACAGTACTGTAGAGAAGAAAGGCTCTTTCTTTTATCTCGACAGTACGGTATACAGTACTGTAACGTACTGTACACCCTACCGTATCACATATTCTACGCAGGACACTACGGTACGGCAAGTCCTCATCACGTGATACTGTCGTTACTGATTGCTTGAATTGAATCGGTCCTCAATCTTATGGAGTCCATCTTCTTCTCTACAGTACAGTACGGTATGTACTGTACTGTAGAGAAGAAAGGCTCTTTCTTTTATCTCGATAGTACTGTACAGTACAGTGTACAGTACTGTACAGTACTGCTCTGTACAGTATACTGTAACGCGCTGTACTGTACACCCTACTGTACCACATGTTCTACGCAGGACAGGTACTGCAAGTCTGCGTCACGTGATACTGTCGTCACGGATCGTGATGAGGGTAATGCTAGCTTAGCAGGCGTAATCGTTCCTTTTCGCTTCTACGTCGAACCGTATCGTAGATCAACCATGGCGGTCGGTAAAAATAAGAGACTCACTAAAGGAAAAAAGGGGCAAAAGAAGAAGATGTAAGATCCAATTCTGTTTTATTTCATAAAGATGCTAGTTATCTCCATGGTAAAACTGTTATTTTAGCTATTCATGCGACGATGACCGTGATTTCTGGATGATCCATTTCACCCACCACGCTTTTAACAAATACAGTTCACGTTGCGACTTGGTACAACTTGACCATCATTATGGCTGGCTAGGGGCTACATAGATCAACGCTATCTTGCTTTTCAAATAGTATAGGCCTTGATAAAGTATTCAACGCTATGCTAATGGGCCTTACTATACTTTAGTGGAAGGAAATGTATGCTTATTCCCGACTTTTACCGATTTCACACCCTGTAGTACAGTAGTCATGAGAAGAATTGAAGTGTGCTGTACAATACAGTAAACCTGGATTGAATCGATGGATTACAGCTGCTCACCGTCAACTTTACATTGGGATAGTTTACATACGATAGGATCCATCAATGGGTCTGATTAGTTTTTGCGTAGAGAAATACAATCTACAGTAGGTATCAACCCTTTCAGGCTACGTACACGAGATAGTAATCATTCGATGTTAACATTTCATGCTTTTATACACGAACTGTACTGTCCTCGTAGATTGCTAGGCCTTTTTTGATGTGAGAGGTGGAAATCCAAATTCATTCCCACCTAAAAAATATGTATTATATTCAAAATTCTTCTCTTGGTTTCTTAACTGCTGTATTGACGCAAGTAAAAAGTAATTTTGTACAAAGTGATCCATCACGGATGAACTAAGACTTGTTTCGACTCTATTTCAAATACAGAATTGACCCCTTCACTAAAAAGGACTGGTATGATGTTAAAGCACCTTCGCAATTTGCTGTTCGTAACATCGGTAAAACTCTCGTCAATCGCACCAGCGGAACAAGTACGTATTCTAGACCTTATATAACATCAAGTCAGGTTTACTCTACAATAAAGACTCGAATTGCAGCAAAGTATTTTTTCTCTCGGTAGAATAAGGATCATAAAACAGCCATATGTAATTACGCTATCTTGCTTCGTTTACAGAAATCGCTTCGGACGGTTTGAAGGGCCGCGTATTCGAGGTTTCTTTGGCTGATTTGCAGAATGGAGAGATTGCCTTTAGGAAATTTCGCTTAATTGCTGAAGAAGTATTGGGAAAGAGCGTTTTAACAAATTTCCACGGCATGAGTATGACATCTGATAAATTGAAGTCCCTTGTTAAAAAATGGCAGGTAATGTTGACTATCTTCGAAACCATGACTAGATTCAAATGATAGTAGTGTAGTTATTGTTGAAAAATGGAATACAGCATTAAGGATAGAATAAGATTTCATGCAGCTGGGATTGTTCTTGTGCTTGACTATTTCGTTTTAGTCAATGAATATCATGTGTTAGTCTTGCATCCGTATTGATGTGAAAAAGTTACCAAACAGCAATTTTAATGTTGCTCATCTTTGACCACTTCCCAACAGACATTAATTGAAGCCCATATTGATGCTAAGACCACTGATGGATATTTGCTCAGATTCTTTGCTATTGGTTTTACTAAAAAGAGGCCCAACCAAATAAAGAAAACAGCCTACGCCAAAACTTCTCAGTGTCGTTCTATCAGGAAAAAAATGACTGATATCATTACACGAGAAGTTTCAGCAATTGATCTGAAAGAAGTAGTCAACAGATTGTAAGTTTTATTCGAAATTGTATTGAATCACGATTTGAGCGGGTTATACAAGACTGTTATAATTATTGCATTTATAGTTTCAACCGCTTACAGCGAACAATCTACAACATACATGCTAACGTAAAGTATATTAATTTTATTGCATCTGCCTATAGAATCCCAGATAGTATCGGCAAAGACATTGAAAAGTCTTGTCAATCAATTTATCCATTACACGATGTTTACATTCGAAAAGTCAAGGTTTTAAAAAAGCCAAAGCTTGACAGTAAGTTTTGATTGATTTTGGCTCTACTTGGTTAAACAAAATCAGATATATGTTTATAATAATGCCTGTATCTTTTGCAGCTGCAAAATTGCTTGAATTACATGGTGAAGGCGTTGCTTCCAGTGGTGATGCAGGTTCTGCCGTTCGTCGCGATGGATACGAACCCCCAGTGCAAGAAAGTGTTTAAATCTTAATTCAACTTTTACCATGTACAGTTTCTTAGTTAACAAATAAAATGTCAATGGTACATTATTCAATTTATAAGGTAATCTTTGATGTGTACTCCAATCTAACATGTGCGGTCTCTTGGACATTACTTAAATCATGGTAGAAGAGCATTATTCCACTCCGTAGCATAAGTGAGGGTGACAGTATTGAAAGTAATATTTTTGACGGATTGTAAATGATAAAATATTCAGAATGTAGGTGCACGGGTGGTGGTGATTTTATTAGAACGTTAGAGATAATATTGTACGTTACGATGTGTTTGACGCAATTAAGACGGTTTTAGGTTGGTAAGAAATGCAATACTGTACGAACTGTTGTCATAATTATGACAAATTATGAAAAAACTCTCGTAAGATATACAGTACTGCTTGTTGAAGGAGGGTGAATGATGTTTTATGAAAAAGTGTCGGAATTAATTACAGTAATTATTAATCAAATGATTCGTTATGTCGAAGATATACTGTACTGAACTATTTAGCCTCTAACTCGTATTACTGTACCACTGTGGGAAATGGATATATCAAATCAACAGTCGTTTGTAAGAAATGCAATACTGTATGAACTGTCGTCATAATTATGCTAGATTATGAGAAAGAAAAAATTATCAAAAAAACTCTCGTTAAGATATACAGCACTGCATGTTGAAGGAGGGTGAATGATGTTTTATGAAAAAGTGTCGGAATTAATTACAGTAGTTATTAATCACTGATTCATTATGTCGAAGATATACTGTACTGAACTATTTAGCCTCTAACTCGTATTACTGTACCACTGTAGGAAATGGATATATCGAATCAACAGTCGATTGTTACAAAATCTTACAATTTACTTGATAGCTCTTTCTGCAGCTAGAACGCCCTTATTCCTATCAAGTGCACGATCTAACTTAGCTAGCATAAGTTCAGGTTATGCTAAGAGACACAAAATTGTAAGAAATATTTTATTCAGTTTTTAGAAGTAGATACAAGTATCGCATGTCGAATAGATAAAACGACAATAAAAGCAACAGCTTACAAGCCAGTTTTATAGCCTTAGCTTCTGAATCTCACAGAATATATAGCTACTGTATACTGCATCATTCATTATATGTGGTACAGCTCATCTAGACTTCAAGAGTTAGAGCTATCAGTGGCAGCGATCAAAAACTTATTTCACTTATTAAATTAGCTTTTGATTTTGATAACGTTCACTGTTTAAACATTTGTTACTTTATTTGCACCGCTATAAAATAGTAAAGACATTAGAGTATCGTACTGTACAGTTGAGAGTGTGTATTAATAGTGAGCTTATAACAAGTTAAAAAAAGATAGAAATAACTTTTTCTGGTTTAAGCAGCATTTTGAGCTAATGTCTTTATTACATCTTGAATTTGACTTTCGCTCTTGTTAGCAATGGTATAGACTTCCTCTTTCCCGTATGCTATCAAGAATAATAGTAGTACGATTAGCAAAAGATCCTGTTATAGCCTGATTAATATTAGATGTGATCAATTCCAACATTTTACGCTAGTGCAGCTTCAAATACTATTGTAAAACAAAGATGTTTTTAAGTTTTAAGGCAACGTTTACATCATCTAGTGTCGATACCATTCTATAGAAAAGCCATAAACTAATTTAATAACCAATTAAATTTATATCTATCAAGTATCCATATCTCATGTTCTTTGGATAACCATCATATGATCGAACAGTATACATTTCTAAAAGATTTACTGCTATTTATTATGCTTGCAGTATTTAAGATTCAAGTCAATATGAAATGTTGCTACCAAATACAAATTTGGCTTACCAAAACGAGCATACATCTTTGCTTCAACACCGCTGCATTCTCGAATAAGTATAGGCAATTTTGGATTATCCTTCTTCAATTGAACATAATTCTTCTCGATGAATTGCCTATTACATGAAGAATATTTCAAAATTAAACGAGAACTATAATGGACTACATAAGAACTAAAACGAAAACTTTCTAGTCTTATTTAGAATTTAATTGATATGCCTGCGTTGTCACAAATCGCTTGGATTGTTTTGACGATAGTTCAAGAGTAGAACATTGATTGTATCAATTTTAAAAGTGCTTGTCTAGTTACGCTGAGCTTCAACTCAAGAAAGAGATAGTAAATGCGTTGTAATCTTGTTATATCACTAATTACAGTTCGGCTTAGTTCCATGGTGATCGAATTGGCAGTCAATACAGTATCACTTGTATGAACAACAAGTATGAATCAAGCGTAGAATAATCTGAATTGAATCCAAGCTATTTATTGAGTGCCTGATCAAATGGACTTTATAATCGATTATTCTGTCGCATGTACTCCTATTCAAGAAAATGCATATTGAAACTTTAGCATTGGTGATAGTGAATCAGGAAGTAACTTATCGCCCCGAGTGGATCTGCATGTTTCATCAAGACGAAAAATCAATCATCCGAATACAGTATGGGTAGGAAAATGGCTATCAATACGTATACAGTTGCTTCCTCGAAGAGAGAATAACATCGATTCATCGAGTTCATTTTTACTGGTTTAACGTTCAGCAAAACCAGCAGAATTTTCTCTAATAATTATACTAAGCAATCATAACTGCACTATAATATGCCTACGGTAGTTCACTCTCGGCTACCCAGAGTAATCTCTTGCACACTCAAGATGTTGTTTGCGCTAGGAGTTTCCAAGTACACGAGTACAACATTCAGCTAATCTAACGTTTACTAGCCAAACGGCGCTGTTGAAGCTACTCTTATCCGAACATATTTTCATAGTGAGAATCATTTGTATTTCCAATTGCTGCATCCTATAATGTAGTCGTCTCTAATTACTGCAAATTGCCGCAGCAGAATCCACAATTAGACTCCTATGAAGCATCATTTCGCAATATCCTTCTCGTTCAAGACGGAATCTCAAATGGTTTCCAAGGCCTAAAACGTTCTCGATTTAAAACTCCTTCTATTCGTATTACTGCATCACCGATCGCGTCCGGCTATCCCTTAATCGATGCATAGAGATATCAACCAAACAATCATTTGATAGTGGAATTACTCACCGTGCTCCTTGACTACTTGAAGACTTTTGGCAAAGATGGATTCGCAATTCTCTGACCGTTTGCGACAAAGCTGGCCGCCACGACATTTTGATTGCTCTAGCAGATGGAATAGAGTGGGGGGGGACTATGGGCTGCTGTTTAGCCTATATTGAACTGGGCCAAATGGAACAAAAGCATACATCACTATGGATGGAAAGAGCCGCACCAGACAGCTATTTCTTCATTCCGAGAACGCTACTGGTATCGTTACGTCTCGTGGCGTACAGTACAGTACAGTACACTTGAAGTACAGTACGAGGCTTCAGACGACGGTCCGGACAGGACCAGCCCATCAAGATCTCGCTTGTACTATACTGTTACCCAACCATAGCATGCTGGCGGATGGACGGACCTATTTTTGCCAAAGAAGAACGTAAAATATCGAAAAATGGCTACTTGGTCTAATTTTAAAAGATGGACGATCTTATAGAACTGTTTCCAAGAAAAAATTTCGTAACAGATAATAAGGTTCAATGTTAGACTATTTAACTTAGAAAAAAATCAGTTAATTCAGTCAAAATCGATCATATTGCAGTGTTTGGACCAAGATTTGAATGACATCATGTCTGTCCGTCCAAGAGTGATCGAGTTCTTGCACAATGCACGGTGTCGTCAGTGTGGTACACGTAAGTGTGTGTATATACAGACAGACGGATGCAGACATCCTGTACTCACTGCACAACAGTACGCAGAATCAGTCCAAACACTTCGAACTATAGTATACAGCGTGGTGTTGTCTTATTAGTAACTACGTAATCTATAAATTGATATATTTGAAATAGATCAAATAAATGGGCAAGTTCCCTCAGCTTATGCAGACTATAGAACTTGCTTATTATCTCTGATCATGAATCTATAAAATTCTAAATTCATTTTATTTTTCATGATTCAATTTTATTTTGAATCTGCAAGTTGGCTTGGGATGTTATAAGGGTATCAAGCTGAAGCAATGGTTCGGACGAGGCTAATTTTGAAATTTCATTTCGCTAATGGAGATAATAATAGACTTGAATCGAGCAAATACCTATTCCAGTCTGCCAGCATGCTTTATTTTCCAACTTAATGCTGACAGTACACTTGAAGGCTGCGACACATAAATAAATTATTATTTATTATTATTATTAGATAATAATAGATTTGAATCGAGCAAATACCTATTCCAGTCAGCCAGCATGCTTTATTTTCCAACTTAATGCTGACAGTACACTACAAGGCTGGGATATATTTGGATCAATCGTAGACACTTCTGCCCGACTAGTAGAGGTATTGGAGTTTCTTTTACCGCTTTCGACAGGTGTTCATATTACTGTAATTAACGGTGCGCTTAATCTCTACAACAGTAGCATAATAACATACATTCAAGTACTGCTAGCTTACAATACTCCCATAACGAAAACTGTCATAAGGAGACGAAGTGACTATCCATTCAATTTATAAAATGAAACAAAGTAATAAAGATGTACAGAAAGTATAACCGCTGCTGCAAATTTCATCCATGCAGCTGCTGACGTAATATTACATCTGTTAATATCAACAAAATAGCCATCTTAGGCAAATAATGGAGTAAATTAAAATATAATTACAACATACTGCATCATTGAAATCATTGTTCTTGAGCATTCATGAAATCTTATAATATTGATATCGATTATACCTGCAAATGTCCCATCCAATATGTACAATGACAATTGCAGTCTAATCTTCTCCATAGTAACATTGCTTAGATTATTTTTATCGCCTACTGGTTTCGAACTTATATCTGCATGTCAAAATAACTCATTATTTTAAAGAAGGATTAACCATTTACTATTTCTACTGCCATCGGTTATAATCAATCTGATTTAAGCATGTTGAACACCTTTGTGAGTTATGAAGGTTGGCTAGTTGTTATTACATCCTATTGAAAAGTAAAGCGATTGATTAGCGAATCATTTTCAAGAATGTACAATAACGTATCTAAAGATAGCATTGTTCACCATGAATAGATACCATAAGTTATCTATTGAAAAACATAACAGGAAACAATAGCTATCTAGTAAACGACTGTCCTAGCAATACAAACAAATAAATGACTCTATAGCAACAATGATATATTCGATGTCATCGAGACGCCTTGATTTTCATCATTTTACAACTTAATGTCATGATAATATAGGATAAATTCTCTTCAGTAGTCATCAATGACATCCATCTTTTAATTTACATTGAATGCTGTTTCTATATTTTCAATCAATTGATTTTCCTCTACTTTTCATAAGCGACCAGTATTGTCTACCAAGTATTTAATATGGAGAAGAATCAAGGAATACGGTACTTTTATTTCAATAATTAACAGGGATCAGCCACGTTATAACGTTGTCAAGTTTCATCTTCCTGACATAGAAAATAACAGATATATTCCAAGGTTTATTATTATAGTCCACTGAGCGAATAGATTTAGTCTGTAAAGTGGAAGTTAAAGCTATTATAATGGCTCAGCGACTTAATTCGACAGCTAGCGAACAGCCAATTTCCGCGTTACGAACTTCTCTGCGAACAAAAACGCGTTTACGTACGCGCTCGGTGTTGAGAAGCTTTAGCGTAAGTTTTGTAAAATTGGAAAACTAAGAAAATTGATATCATACACGTATTATACATTAATTTTATGCAATTAAGACTATCTAATTGAATCATCTATATCTGTTATTAGCTACCATATCGTACAACTTGGTCAATTCAGAATTGTCCATTTACACCATTGTAACAACATTTTGCAATATAGCTTAGTTCTATCCACGTTTTATTCTCTAACTGATTGTTCTTTAAAGTTAAATAAGGACCAATTTACTTACAGTCTATCACATAGTCGATTAAGACATAAAATGTAATGGTTATCGATTGGCACAAATCTACTAGCTCGATCGAAACTGCTAATCCACTTTATTTGCGTACTTGCAAATCTTTAACATAACTTTATCATAGTACTCCTTTTGACAATAATATTTCAAGAATTACACGTTAGATAGAAGAAAGCTGTCTTGTAATTAAATACGTGGGATAGTTTTAGAAAGAACTTTTTATACTGAAAGGATCCTATCATAGCCCAATTTTTTCTTATAAGCTTTACTTAGTATCATACTGTATGTTGACGGAGATTAATGTTATAAGTAAATGCGGATGAAAGTATCAATAGTTACAGAATCACCGATATGTTATTCAATTTAATTCCAAATCTCGATGAGAGATTAATGCTTTTCCAATAATATTAGGGGAAAGCAACACATCACTTCTAATACAATTTTTTATATCAAGGTACGCTTTATTAATGTTCTACTATGATGTTAAGAAGAAAACTAGCCTATCCAATATTCCTTGAAAGTTTCCGTAATTGAAAATGTAGTGGCGTTGTTGTAGCCAAATTGCATCAAAATTTATCGACATTATTCTATTATGACGTGAACGTTAACTCTCTCATTTATACTAATCTATAGGGGTATAACACAGTTCAAGCCATTTCTTGTAGCTATAAATTAAATTAAAAGTAAATCTTTTATAATTTGATGTTGTTTATATGTAAAAGCTTTACATAATGCAGAATCAAATAGACTACATAGGCATTGCCTTGAAGCCGAGTTCAGTCCTAGCAAATCCGAATATCAATATAAAATCTGTCACAATCAATTGCAAGCTATTAGTAGATTTACTAGGAGAATACTACCAGTATGTTGTCGGTTATTTATTAATCACTCATCGTTTAATCTACGATCTATGACGATTCACTTTCTAGACTCTACAACAGAAAGCTAGTTGAATTACATTAAAATGACGAAAAAAATCTGGATAATGGGGCTAATAATTAACATTTCATTCCTTGATAGTTGTCTCGAATATCTAAAGAATAATCAATTAAAGTTAAATTTCCAATAAAAATAAAGACTTATTGTTTAATAGGAAGTCAAATTAAAAAAAATAATAAGTTAGGTAGCATTTCTATATTTTAATTAAGCGTTAGTACATTAGTAATTTTAATCTAAATACTGTAATACAACAAAAATTATACTATCGTTTTGTCTATTGTAGTGCTTGCTACAATTGAGTTTCAAGAAGCAATAGCCGCTTGCAATTGATATAGGAAAATACGATTGTAGCTGATGGAATCTTAAGTTTATTATTTTAATTACCTGAGAATTGCTATACCGATTAATAGAAAGCTTAAAAATCTCGTATTACAGAGTGGATTGTCTAGCAGTTGCAAATTTTGAAGCACTTGTTAATGTTACACAAAGATATGGAAATCCTTGTTATGATGGTGGGCGGATCATATCTCAGGTAGTAGGGGATGGCAATTAGCAATATAGCCGACATTTAGTTACAATTCCGAAGCATTATCAAAATACTACTAAAGATTCAAATAAAATAAGTACCAATGTCAAATAAAAGATCTCTAGAGCTAATAAGATCATTACTGATTAGATCTAGCAAAATGATTATAGCCATAAATATTAGTGTTTATTGCCTATCATATTACTTTCAATAAACAATAGTAGTCGTCTGAGTATAGCTAGATTAGGCTAAGATTTTGAAGTATTATCAAAATATCACTACAGATCACGATAGGAAGACTATAGATTTCAAGTAGGAAATCTCCAGAGCTATTGAAGATGAGCATTGAATTGATCTAATAACACAATTGTATCGGTATCAGAGGAATATATTGCATATTCTATTATAACCGGAGGACGATGGTAGATGTAATGATATAGTCAGATTGTACTATAACTCCGACATATAATCAAATTTTACCAAAGATCCATCTAGGATAATGAAAAATATCAAGCAAGAGATCTCTCCAGTTATCTAGACGATTACTCTACATATAGCGTATATTATACGCATATCATATCATTGCTAGTAGAAGATGACAGTTCTAGATGTAGTCAGATTTAGCCATAATCTTTTTACTATAATCAAGATAATACTAAAGACATTGATAGGAAAACTAAATTGCAGGGTAGTAACTGAGAAGCCAGCGTGACATTGATTTGTAGCTCTAATGATAAAAAATTAAATTGTCGAAATTATATTAGTGCATTACCATTTTTTTCATCGCTTGATCCCAGGCTCAATTCGAACTACTATTGGGATACAGCCAAGATTTAGTCTCTGTCACTTGAAATATTGCTATTACTTGTATACTACTTCAAGTCGACATAAGGTAGTAGTCGCGAAACTAATATGACAATGCATGAAATTTACTGTAACTACATCAAGATGCATTGATATTCTCATTGCTTGTAGCTGGATTAAAGTGAGGCAGAGTTAGGATTATTTCTTATAGCTTCGCAATGTTTACATTGCTTATGTACGGTACTGTAAAAAAATTGGTGAGGTAGTAGCCATGAAAGTAGTACGAGAGTTATTCGTAGTCCTGATGACGAAAAATTTAAAGGATAGAAATTATAATATTAAGCTATGCTAATGTTTTATCACTTGTGGCTGGGCCATATTCAATATAGGATCTCTACTGAAATACAATCGAAAACTTTATTCTCTGAATTTGTAATATTAACATTCTCTGTTCACCATTTCAAGACAAAGTTAGGTAGTAACTACGAAACAAATATATAGTTATTGATTCTTTAAAATTGAACTTGAATGAAATGATGCATGTAGCGAGGTCAATTGATATTTTCACGCTATGCCATTGGATCACATTGAATAAATATTAAGAGACAGTTGGGATTGAATTTCTACAACTAGTAATATTAATAACCACTCGTTTACTGTTTAAAGACAAAGTAAAGTGCGGTAGTTACTATCAAAGTAGTACAGTAATAATTCATCACTTGATTACGATAAAATTGCAGAAATTCTTATCCCAAATAAAACAGCACTAAGTAACCTAATTTTAATATTTAAATATCAGGCAATCGCCTTCTTATCCATTTATTGACGTCATAGGAACATCTATATACTTGAGCTGATTAAAGATATCAATTCAATTGTCTATGAAGATTTAGTTGTTGACCTTTTAAATTGGATTACCATGAAGGAAAATGGAAAATGGTTGCATAACTTCTTGTTGTTTGTAGTGATTGCAACTTTTTATCAAGTAGAAAAATTGACTCATAAGCTTTACCCTAGAGGCTGCTATTGAAATATAGATAGAAAAATTGAATCACGCCTTATAACAAAATTGTTTTCCAATATCAAAATAATAATATAAATTGTATTTATATTAATAACGCCACCTACCCTATTGATTTGAAATTAAAAGGTAACGCTATTGCTCGTCAATTTGCAAGAAAGTAAAAAAACGAGAAAACAAACATCATTTTAAAAAGATCGTTTGTCATTAACGAGATTGTATTACTGCCAAAGGTTATAAATTGAATTTCCATATCGGGTTTAAGACTTCTGTATAGATAGAAACGTATAATAGAGAATTGTAACAGTACTACAATCGTCGTTTATCCCAAGTCACATTGTACTCGACCCTTTTGATGCTGATTTATTGTCTTCGCCAAGAGTACAATCCTGTGTTGTAGTTCATTTTCTTTTCAATAATCTGAAATCCCCTTCGGCAATGTTGCCAACTGGTAGCTAAGGACTACATATTCTAACCTACTTCGTTGTTATTCCTATTAAAGTCACATAACAAGGGTTTGAATTCTAAATCTCATCATTATCATTACCTTAATATTATTCCGTCATTAGTAAATCAAGAATGCCCTGGATGATTTTATTACAGAAAAAATAAATCTTCATTTCTTTTCTATGTCCTCTACTATCCACTTTTAATGCTAATTTAATTAATGTAAATTAACATGCCTGTGCATCCTACATCTTTAACTCGATTGAGAATACTAATTGGTAATCGAACTCGTCGTAATTCACAGGATCGAACCAATAATCCTATCACTAAACCCGCAAAAGCTAAAATACGCGTAAGTTATTAAATAAATCACTAATTCGATTGAATTCTATTTTGCCTAATTACATTGTTGGTATTAATTTTAACGTACATTTATTGTTACTATTGGTGTTTAAATGATTAATTGACGCTAATTTCCTTTCTCATTTTTTACTAAATTAAAATGAATACAACTTTTCCATCATCTCAAAATTGAGTAAACTCTTCCTATTTTAGGGTAGTACAGAGTCACACTAATTTAGTGAATAAGTTCTATTTCGTTGAGTGATTGAACTATTCTCGGTTCTATCGCTTACTTCATCAGATTATAGATAAATACATATTCATTTTTTTATTTAGAATAATCCTGTGATACTTTTGAAACATAGTCTACGCTGTTTACTTAACTGCTCTAATAGAGCTGTTGCAATTCGAAGTCAGAATACTGAATAAATACTGGCTTTTAATCGAATGTTGTAATTTAATATTTTACTACAATAGCTAGCTAGAAATTTAAGGTAAAATAGTGAAGCAAGTCATCCAACTATTTCCTATAACTAGTTAATGCTAGCAACCATTATTGTCTCTCGATTATTTTAAATCAATCTAGCAGCCATCATGATCGTTCTCATTTTATGATTGTTTTTTCTTGCCAATTAGCGAACAGTTAGCTCTCTAATATTATTCGTGCGGTCATATTAATATTCTTTCCTAACAAGGAAGCAGTATTGATCGTTAAATTATAATGTAGATATAGCTATTCGATGTTCGTCTAGGTTAATTTGATTTATTTTTCATGAAACTATTTTGTTAATTTTTCATTGCACTCATAGCTGAAAAAGAGACTCTTGATCGATCTGCTATTATTTCTCTGTTTTGCCTACCCCATAAATTCATTTTCCTAAACCAAACTTTCGGTCAAGAATTTGATTTAATAATCCTTTATTACACTTGTCGATATCGATCAAGTCGCTACACCATCTAAATCAATGCTTATACTCAGCATTCCTAGAATTATACTTAGTCCTAGTTAATAAGATAAAGTAAATGAGGCCTTTAATGACACGAAATAACAAATTGATTGATGACACTCTAAGCCATTATTGATACAAGATAAAGATTTATAAAAATATCACAGATTGATAACCTTATTAGTATAGGTACTGATATAACTTTCATTTACATAGCCCTATAAGCGATTTCAAAACTTTGCTAAATCTGTGAGAATTATTGTTACGGCATGCATCGCTGTAAGAAAGTAAGTTGATAACTTAAATTATTCTCCCTTACAAGCGGTTATATTTTATCGTTGTAAAATCTAAAAACGTTTTCTTTTCGCAATGATAGGGAGGTTTCAGCAAAATCTGGAGGATTATCATTAGCTGAATTCCAAACTGATATTGAAGCAACCTTTTCAGAAAGTCTAGCATTTCATCCTCTGTATATAGTTAAAAAGCAAGAGGTAAGAATTTACAGAAAGGTAGTTTTACTTTGAAAGAAGAAGAAATTTTTAGCTTGCAAGTCTCTTGCATGTAATTAATGAATGAGTACCAACTTGGAAGGATTCCTAGAGTAATTTAATGCGCAATGCTGTCTTATAGCCCAAAGGTAGCGAGATCTTAAAGAAATTATTGGATATTCCAGCGGATAGGAGAACAGATGCAATTATTGATGATGTAAGTTGGAATATGACTATTTAATAATTGTACTGTAAGGATTCCATTGAATCAATTAGATCAGAAAGTACCGGTATTCGATTGAAAGCACAATTATTTGAATTATTTAGTGTTTATAAGAAGGAAGGATACTGGAACGATAGTATTAATTAGAGCCAAGTAATATCAGATAGCCATTGATAGCTTGAAAGATTAATGATGAACATCTGCAAAGGATATGTAATGCATAACTATCGCAATAATTAGTTCCTTACTTTGAAATTCAATATTTGTTTACAGATTTTATCGCATGTTCGTCGACTGAAATCCTTCACTATGTATTCCAACACATTACAGAGGCAGCTATGTCAAGTTTTACGCTATGAAAGGTATTTCTTGTAATGAATTTTACGGCAATAATTCTACTTACTGAAAATTGATCTATTGACTCAATTTAGCTATGGCAAGAGGAGAGTAATTGTACAACAAGGACATCTACCGATTGCTTATTATTTTATTCTCTCTGGAACGCGTAAGTTGATCTAGATAAAATTATCCTACAGATAGGAGAATTTCCTATAAGTTGATTGACTTACAAGCTACATATTGGTGTTCAATATTGAATAATTAATTTCAGAGTTATTAACCGCAAATATTTCCAAAATCAACTGATTCTCTCCTTAAAATTTCTCCATTATTTTATATTCAGTTTTAGTCAATATAACCGATAGCGATATTCGCACTAATCAGCCATTCACTCGTACAGTTCAAGAAATTGGTGAAGGAAAAAGCTTTGGGGTAAGACTTGATCTACTAATACAACTAGCGTAGTGATGGAAGTTATCCTAGTAATCCATCACAGCAAACTTGCAAAGATCTTCTATAGTTCTCATTATAAAATACTTATTAACTCTGCTATCTGCGATGCTCATAATAAAGTTAGTAGCTTGATGGCTAAATAGGTCAATTTCTATGTTATTGGAGTATTTCTTAGCTACGTCTTTCTTATTATGATTTCATAGGAAGTGGCGTTAATAAATGGATCAAGTCGAACTGCAACAATCGTTAGTAAAGCTTTCGTTGAGTTATTAGCCATCGATAAAGAGGTGATTAAAATGGATCTTAATAGAGAAATGATCTTATTAAGATAGCTCGAAGGGCGCAAGGCTTACAGCTTAACCAATAATTTTTTAATAGGATTTTCAAAAGACAATCTATCATACATTTCTACAAGAAAAACATGCTAATTTACAATTCCTAAAGTAAGATGATGAATAAATCTGCTAAAAAAATTTAGTCTATTCTAAAGGAGAGCTTCTACATTATCATGTTGAAATGAGTAGAAATTATTAATCAATTTCGTAGCTAAAGATAAAATAGCTCGATCTAAGCCAGCGTTAAGCTTGAATTACTAATAAAATTTTAGATATTTATAAGAACAATTGCTTCAATCCTTAAAGATTTTAATCGGAGCAAGGATTTATGTTTCCATATCTCATCAATTAGTGTACTTATGAGAATAGAATTACTTTCTTCCCTTCAATTCTTCCATAACATTGACTCAGAAAAAGTCAACTATTACACTAAAATTACTTCATCACATTTTAGATTCTTTCGAGAATAAAATTGCGTCCATCATTAAAATTTCTTAATAGTTTGAAGGATTTAATATTCCATATCTCGTAAATTAGTTCCTAAAGGATAAATAAGCCAGCCATTATCTTGGATTATTTAAGATTTTTTGATGATTTTTTGTTGACTTTAATAGAACCGCAGTAAATAAGATTAGAAATATTATTATCGATTCATTAACATAAAATATCAGCTTAACATTTGCTAATATTTTTTAATTTTCTTTTGGGCAGAACACTTAAATTATTTGAATTATGGCCAGTTAAGATTTTATACAATCGTGCAGATTCATTTTCCTATCATCATTATCGGTAAGCCATACTAGATAGTACAATACTAAAAGAAGTATCGAAGGAGAATATCTTTATTAAACTAACAAATCTTAAACATTGTCTTGTAGACCTGAATCTGTTATTGTACAAAATAGCAATGATTCAAGATGGATTGCTATAGTAAAAGAGGTAACATGAGTAGAACTAATATTATTTTGCTATCGTTTTAGGCGAAATGGGCTCGTAAAATGAGGTTTTAATAGGTATGATAATTAATTTATGCTCTATTATTGGCTATTTTATAGGGAAAGTGTAAGGTAGTTTGTAAAATAAAGAGACCAGCTCTAAATCAAGGCAAAGTAAGAATCCATTCCTCCAAACCTAAATACTCAACGTATCTTCCTACTTTGCGGCCACTACCTGTAGAAGCTTCTAAACATATTGTTGGTGAGTTCTAAGGATATTCGTGCTTAGAATTTTTTACATCATTACTGACGATTATAGTAAAAGTTATAGACTTTAAAGAAAGAATAAATCTGCTAAATTTCAATCTAGTTAAAGTAGAATTATGTGATTGCTGAATTTATTGGTCCTGTTTTGTAATTCACTTATAGTCGATGGTCCTGACAAAGATCGACTCGATCCTGCAACCCAAGTAAGAGAATAATTGTTAAGCTTATAAAATTGATCATAAATCATTTGATAAAGCTGCACTGTTTTCTCGTACCACCGAAGTAATCTCAATGGCTTTAATTAAGCCTACTATAACTTGCCTTTCCTGTAGTATTCACATATATAATCTTGCAAAAATAAAATTCATCTCATGCTTAAAAATATAAAATAAATTTTTATGGTGTGGTACCGAGATTGTTTGCTACAAGGCTTCTGTATCTATCTTTCCATATTCAGATATAATACTTGGAACTAGATTTTTTCTTTTTTTTAAATTTAAAATCTATAAATTAGCAATGCCCCATTACACTCAGGTTGATAGCCTGAAGAATATTTCATCCATCTTTCTGCTCGTTCCATCGAGATTGCTTGAGAGAAGGCCAAATTTTACTACAAGGCTATCGAGCTGATAATCTATATAATTAAAACGGCTGAAATAGGATTCGTTGTTTACAGATAAAATACTATTTTCTATTCCTAGCTTTTGGTGGTCAGAATTAAGATAATTAAACATCCATTTGAATTTAATTTTTACGTATTATCTTACTTTAGCTCGTAAAGGACGAGGATGTAATTATGCAGGAGAGTGATACTAACATGTTTCAACGCTATGGCCAGTCGGAAGAGGAAGCAAATAGAAGAAAGAAATATGTAGTATGTTTATATTCGTTACCCATAGAGAACTTCTCGATTAGCTCAACCATTTTAAGTTAAGGAGTATTAAAAAGATAACCTGTTTTACTTCCAGGAGATATTACATAAAATGGGTAATGCTCATGCTGGCCATTTTCGTAAGCGAAGCTGTAAGTTATATCCTCTTTTAATGAATTCATCTTGATTTTCGAAAGTATATTTCAATATATTACATTACAATCGTATTTGGAAGATTGATTTCCATTATTGCTTTTATTATGCTGGCACAGTATCGGAACCACCACTGCCTACTCGACAGCACATGCCGATGATTAAGAGGAAGCTAGTTCTACAGAAGAATAAAGTAAGTCATATTGCCATCTCGAGTCATTTTAAAGATTTCAACTTAGTTTACGAAGTTTTGTCTATCGGCTATCTGTATAATGTTATATCGACATTTAGTTCGAGTAAGACATTATAGATTAGTCTATATCCAATCTTTGATATCCAATCGACTATAAATTATTAAAACTGAGGCCTAGTAGAACTGATTATGATTTTACTATCTTATAGGGAAGCTATACTAGAAGAACTCAGAAAAAGTCAATCTTTCCTCCAGTACAAGAACAAACTGACGATATGTTTGTACAAGTTTCAATACTTAGAAGTGGAGGAATATTTGTAAGTTTATAATAGATATATACGTTGTACATCTTTAGGCTGATCATAATATTTTACGAAGCTTTCCAAATTTACATCAGCTTTATGAAATAGATTCATAATTGATTTTTACAGGGTTTGCAAAGTATTGTTAACAGAAATGCCGTAGAAACTGCTCTGGTAGGCATCCGTAGCGGATAAAATTTCTTTTAGTAGTTTATCATTTTGTTACTTATATATTATATTAATCTATTTCTACATGTTTATAATTTCGATAAACAGACTTTTTTGACATTTGAGGTCGTAAAGTTTGCTCTAGCGGATATAAATTCAATAAATGACTTATTATTCTGCAACTTATATTTTACTATGCTCTGATATATTTATAATAATTTACAATTCTGACAAATAGTCTTTCGGTAAATTGATGTCATAAAATATTAATAGTTTAATTAATCACAAGATTAAACAAGATTGATTCATCTTCAAACTATAAAGTATTGATTTAGAGTTTGTTTAACCAATATTAGTATTAAGTTGCTGTATATTAGTTTTGTGTCTAATATAAAGCTGAGAATGTCCGTGGTTGCTTACATCATTTCGCTTTAGTCTACAATATTGGATATTATAGATCGAAATACTTAGAAATAGTCTTTGCATAAATAAGGATTTATACCTAATTAGGTTATAACAGTTTTAACCATGAATTATTGCATTTAGATCAGTGAAGGAGCAGAGATCATCCTCGTTTCCAAGCAATTATTTTTGAAAGAAGCAAGCAAAAGTGTATTGACTATATTAGAAAATTTGGTAAGTGCGCCTCTGTAACAACAAACACTATCTAAGAAATCGTTCATCGTCCATCATGTCCTATTCCTTAAGAAATACTAATTTAATAAAATACTATAAGATTTTTATTTCATTCTATTGATAAATAAGTAAGCAAATCGAGAATAGCTAGTTATGTAACTGCACGTAGCCAAGATTTCTAGAATAATTTTGCTAGTTGATATAGACAGCCATGAATAATGCTGAAATAAATACATCTAGATCTCCATATTAGAGTTGAATGGTGAAAAACTCTAATCTAGATCCATATCTGCTGTGAAAGGATAGGATTAAATGCGTAAAATTTTATATAGCACTTGGATAGTAGCAATTGTAGAGATATTGTTTAAAAAATTTCATGAGACTGATATCTTGAGAGATCACTGGAGAAATATCGATTCTGCACTGTAATAGATAGACATCAAAACAATAATGCGTTAGAAGAGATTTCAAGATACTTATCGTTTTAACCGTGCATTATTCGTAATATAAGTTATATGCGTAAAATTTTGATTTTATGGGATAAATGTATCTTGTCTAACAGTTATAACTACAATTTTAATACTCTATTTATCTTCTCCTCATGATATAGACAATCCAATATCCATCAGAGGTAGCACTCCAAAGGGAATTGCAGGAACAGCAATCATGGCATAATTTTAAGAGATCATTGATCACAGATATTATGGAATATTCTAAAGAATGTAAAGACGTGAATGCTTACTTAAATACAATAATGCATTCTTAACGCCAATATTAATACTTATAGTTAAACTAGATACACTTTCGCCTCGACAGGATGCTCAATTCCTGATCTTAATTTGATGTAATATTATGTATATATATATTTGTTGAAAAAATTTTTCTTTTTCCAGAGTAATGATTTTATATGCATAAATGTACAGTAAAAAGATCGACACTATAACACGGATATGGTACCTATAAATTGATTCAAAAAATAGAATAAGAAAAAACCCACTGCATTTAGTTTAATTGAAATTTTATAACGTAAGTAGCCTTAATCATTTATCCGAAGCCTTTAAAAAACTTTTCATAATAGATAATGGCTATTTCAACGGTTAATGCACTAATTTTATCCGATTTCTGGCTACCCTTTTCATCAATTTATGATTTTTATGTTTGTTTGATAGCTATGATATAGCAGTGGGAATATGACTTGAAATGGTCATGATTATGGACAATAAAATGGATATTGATTATTTATAGCGTAATTTAATAGTGTCGATTTTTTAAGAATAGAATAGAACAGCTTTTTAGCAGCATTACAGGTGCTATTCGATTTTTATAAAGGGGAACCCAACTATCCAGAATCCATTCGGGAATTTCTTTACTAACGGTTCACTTATTCATATTTAAGCTTCTAGTTGCAATTACTGCGCTGTTTCTTCTTGTAGCATTGCTAATAACTTACTGTGATTTACATTACAAGGTTAAATTTGTGATTGATATTTCGATTGTATTATTTAATGATTGACACAGGCACCAATCTAATAATCAAATGTCAACTTGAATCATTTTGGTGCAATCTTAAAATTATTTTAGAGCTTCAGAACTGTAATTGCAGGCAAGGATTCTTAATATCGGCTAGTCTTGAGAGTGAAAAATCAGTAAGATGACAGTAATATCTAGGAAAATCAAGAATGACAATTAGGCCCCAGGATAGTGAAGATGATCAGCGACTTAGCATCCATTGAACTACTCAATTTCTTTAATAAAATATGACCAATAAACTGATTAATCCCCTATAGATTTGAGTACAGTTAGATATAAGGATAAAAGAAAAACAGCTTTTGACTTAGTTTTTACTAAACTATGCAGCTTTATCAATAAAACATACCTAATAAACTGTTTTATCCGCTATAGATTGGAGTTCAAATAGATATTGAGATAAAAGAGGAAACAGTCTGCGACTTAGCATCTATTAAACAACTCAATTTTATCAATAAAATATACGTTATCTAATAAACTATTTTGCCTTCTACAATTGGAGTAATCTTATTATGCCACGAAGAGACGGAGAGAGAATTAATCTAATGTAAATAGATACTGAACTGGATATACCCTTTAACACCAATAATTTAGTTTCCATTTTTAGTTTATAAGAAAGAAATAGTATAGATTTGATCAGCTGAATAAAATTTTATTTAGAATGCCCGTCTATAATTCCAATTATCTTGAATTGTTATACAATAATTCGGTACTTATTTATAAAATATGGTCTGAGGCTCCACATTTAGAATAAGAAAACATTATATCATTCTCAACAGTGACGATAGTATTCTACCTTGATAGTTAAGCACCAAAATTGATTGAAGATTTAAACATCAAAAATGCTCATGTTATAAATTATATGACGATAGTGAGTTATCTTGATAGATCATCGTGGAAGATAAAGTTGCCCATTCATAAATTAGGAAACGATTCGAATTTATTTTCAATCTTGATATTGTGGAATTATAGTTATGGATTATCTAGTATTAATACTTGTGAATAAATCTCATATATAGATAGGATCATCAAATTAACATCTTCTATTACTAATAAAAATGAATTCAATACAGTTCATAGTATCGATAAAAAACGGCAATCGTATTCGCCAACATAAAATCCTCTATGAATCTCTTTAAAATTTTTTCTTAATGCATCACGGCTAAAGCAGTATATATCTACTTTTAGACAAAATGGATCAATTCCAATTATAGTTACGGTATCATCACAAAATTGCAGTCATTGAGATCAGAGTCTATCCTTAATAATATGCACGCAAGATTAGTTATTATAGTTGCAACAAATTAAAGGATTGCAACTGTTATAAATTCGATATAAATTCCTGCATCTTTTACTAATTAGCGCAGCTAATTGCATTCTTGTTTACGAACGCATTATCAATGCTCATAGAAAACTCAGAAATTTACTTTACAAAGTGAAATTTTACATCGCTATGCCAATAATGATAAGTAAAGACTTAATATGACATTGCCTATCAAAGCATTGTATTTAATTAGCTTAGAAACAGAAAATGATACAGCTAATGATAGTTTTTTCTGCCATGCAAATTAAAGAGAAGCTTGACGACGTTCATTAAAATCGAGCTCAACGTCTTTAAATGCAACGGCATCACTAATAGTACCCTTAAGTTGTTGTTTAACGGATTCAGAACCATCTATCAAGTGTTTAAGAAGAGCAATAGCAGTTATTTAATGATTGATAGTACTTTACATAATATATTGAGTAAGTAATTTGGCATATTAATTTGATCTGTTTATAACTCCTGCTAATAAAAATGAATCTGGTTTAGTTTATAACTTACCTAGACGACAATTTGTGTCTACTCCGGAGCGATAGGCAGTAACCGATGCAGAAGTATTTATAAATAACCGAACTGTGCCAATAGTGATCGGAATTCGAACGACTAGATGATATTTACGTGGCAAGACTGCCTGTATCTACAATAAAAGGCACAAAATTCATTCCTTTAATCGATATCCCTTATAATTTATTCCCGAGAGAATGATATACTTTGCCTCTATTATGATTTTAAATATAGCTTCTATTTGAAAAAAAACGATGCATTATAGTTTTGAGCTAGAATAAAATTTATACTTAAGTGTAGTAAATGGGTGTTATAATCTGTTTAATTATACACTAGTTATCATATAATTGCTTTATTAGCAAACAATTCGACTAATAGCGATTACGATTAATCTTGGATACTCTTGGCGCATTTTGAAAGGACAGTATAGCTATAAGGTAGTATTTAGAAATTATTCTGAACGAATGATCTACTTTGGCCATTTTGGATCATCATCAACTACGCTACTACCGTATGCTAGCTTCCGGCTTGAGCCAAAAATTATTTACAAGTAAATGTAAAATCAGCGATAGCTAATATGCTAGTTATTAACATGGAATAGAAGACAGTGTCGAGAAAAAAGGCGAGAAAAAAGGCGTGATTCTAATGAAATTACGGTAAATAGTATATCCTATTTGTGCTACTTACTTCAACAGCGTAATTAATGCTAATTGCAGGACATGAATTCACCGTTGGAGGCACTGAAGGTATTTGTAAAGGTTCCTTTTCCCATATAAGTTCTTCATCTTGAACGATTGATTTGATAGAATGTTTTTCCGAGCAAATATGCTCGATAGTGCGGTTAAATTGCTTTAATTTCGCTAACCGTCGGATGTACCATATTAAATTACGGTAGTAAATGTAGTGACAGATATAGAATGAATTCGGATTAATAGCATTATCCTATTTTTCGGCTCTCTTTAAGTTGTAATTAAAGTAATTTGATTAGATTAAACTATTGCCTTTCTAACCTACCTTTAATTTCCACGATTTGAATTAATTTAGCACGTAAATAACGAATGATTTTGTGGCTGTTATTTTGGACTCTAACATTCATGCAAACTGGTTCTCCTGGACGAAATCCTACATGATTTGTTGAGGCCGTTATTCGAATGGATCCATGCAGGCAGCATAATTTGGATATTTTAATCTCTTTCGTATCGGTTTTAGATGATTTCTATATTGTATCAAGCAATCAATGTTAGTATATTTAATGATATAAGAATCAACAACAGGATGAAATTAGGACTTACAACATAACGTGGCAAATTAACATCAACTACTTCAAAGATGAAAAAAGATTGATGCACAGTATAAGAAGGGCGATGAGGAAAAACAATCGTAGCTGAAATTTGATAATTGATGGTAAATGTGGAGCCAGCCTTGACTGAGGATGGTAAACCTTCTTCGGGTAAGACAAATGCAAAAGGAAATCTATGGTGTCCAGCAGTTAAAATGTCGTGTCGAATTGGCTTTTGATCGTCTGCAAAGTTACCTATAGGTATTAAAATTTTCATTTTAGTGCAGCTTTAAGACCAAAAAAGGGCTAAAGAATTAGATGGGATACGAAAGCTGTTACTGCATTCATTCTAAAAGACCCTAAATCATAATCGTATAGCATAAAAATGAGTAGAAATGCTTTGGTTCGACATTTTTAATGCCTTAAAATGATGAGGAATGAGCAACTTTAGCCGTAAATGAAAATAAATAGGACATGATATAATAAACTTATTATTACTCAACATTTCCCAACGTTTGATATGCTTTCTACTAGCTCCGTTTTAATTGTACTGGAATAACAGTGTTTGGAAAACATTAATCTCGAATTCATTTCCATTTCTCTTCTATATTGATAATATATTGAATCTTTGGCAAAAATGGCGATCTTACTTTTAATTATAATTATAGGTGTAGTTCAATAATAAAATGGTTAACAAATTCAAGGTTATTTTCCGTTATTGAGAAGCGGAAAGAAAAATTATTTATTGAATATGAGTCATAGGTGGCTAATTTAAATGGCATTGGATAGCATAAATAGAAATTGTCATTTAAAACTCATTTTAGAATATTTCGCCAGAAATTGATGCAAGATCGCAGTCGGTCTTTAAGATTTTAGTCGGAATTTTATTGCCTTTGAGGATATCGATGTTTTATTTATACTAGATTTATACTAGATGGAAGACCACAACTACGTTAAACATCATTATGATTGATTTGGGAAGAACAGATAGCAATAATCAATTTAAATCAAATAAAATTTAAATAATTAGAATTTAGCCAAGGCTAAAGGTGTTGGGAAATCATTGTTTTTTCTAAATCTATTCTTGTTGCTGTGACTGTTTGAAATAACTCAGATTTAAGCCTCCATTTTGTAAACAATGTTGCTGGCTCCATTTCAGGCTCTAAGTAGTTTAGTACATATAACCAGGCTTTTAAATTTAAAGCTTACCAGAAAATATAAGTAAAAGAAAATAAATTATTTATGATAGCTATTTAAATTAGCAAGCCCTGTAGCTATCCCTAAATTTATGTCCTAATTAAGCAAAGCAATCGTCGCATAATCTTAGGATGTACTTGAATGTAATAAGCTTGATTTTTAAAATAATAACTAGACTGAATAGTCTATAATCATTATTTGCAACCATAGGACTGCCTAAAATAATCGAACTTCATCTGTGATTCGGAAAATAGTGGCTTAAGTGGTTTAGTTGGCAATCTTTCGATATCGAAGTTGTAAAGTGTATTAGTGGAACAGTATAATATAGCATAGGTCAGATAAGAGTATACAATTTATGTCGAGAGTAGAAAACTAAAAGTAATTTCACCTTCTTGAGTTATAAATATTTCATCCTAAAGCAGTTTGCACATGCTAGCAAGATAAAGTAATTTATGATCCATATTTGCAATACTTTTTAGTTCATCTGATGATTAAGCAAAACTGTGATAGTTTTATCATCTTAAACTGTAAATGGTTTAGTCAGTATATTGAATATTATGATGTTAGCAGAGCTGAATAATTTAGGATAGGTATTTGAAGTTTTGGGAAGGCCAGAAATAATTTAAAACTTGTCTTGTAAGTAGTCCAGTAATAATTTTTATCGTCACAAGCTACACTGTACGTAATTAATTTACTATAAATTGGATATGAAAAGTTCTAAAAATATTAATAATGTTGTGACAGTGTTATATACTCTATTAGAGTAGAAAAATCAATCTTAGGATAATTTTGTCAGCCTATCCTTATACAGTTAACTTCTAATTTGGTTATGCTGTGTTTTAATATAGCACTGCCTTTTTATGACAGTGGCACATATACATATTTTCAAATTATTAGCTATATATTAGGGAATGCGAATTATCTACTTACAGTTCGAATCGTTGTGATTGTAACTTACTTATGGTAGATTGCAAATTATTGTGGAAATGTTCCGTGATAGGACATATCGTAATCTGACTATTCTGTATTAGTCATCAGATGTCTATGTTCGTAAATACTCAGTGAATGATTCCAAAAGTAATCGTACTAACTATGACTCATGAACTATTGAGGAAGAGTATATAAATGTAGTATATCGTATAATATAGTTAATTCTTAAACTTAGTGTTTAACGTAAAATACGAGGCGTCTAAGCCTTTGTGCAGTCTGTAAGTAAAGCAAAAGTGCTGCTGATAGTTGCAGATATCGTTCCTTGATACGTGGTTCAAGGAATTGACTTATTGATCGTACATTACGTGATCTTGTTGAAAAGCTGCTTTATAACAAATGTAGAGTCATTATAAGTTATATTTAATATTTTAAGATGTTCAGGAATAGTTAAACACCTGTCTTGTCAGTAGTGCAGTAATAACTTCGTCATCGCCGGCTACACCGTAAGCAGTTTAATTCAGCGCAAATTAGGTATGTTAAATTATAATAAGAAATATTAATAATGTAAAGTCATTGTGAGTTACATTTAAAAATTAAAGAGTTTCAGAAATGTGCCAAACTTATTAGTAAAGCAGATTTGCATAGAATAGATGTTTGAAATTTTGGAAAATAGTCTGAAGCTGTCAGTAGCTCAGTAATAATTTAATCATCGTAAGTTGCATTAGTAAGTAGTTCATTTCAACAAAAATTTAGATGTAGAAAATTAAAATAGTTACTAATAATGTAGAGTATGGGAGAAAATGCTGTAATTTATCCTAGTAGAAAGGTAGTATTATAGAGTTAATTTATATTAAATACATCTTAAGATAAAGAATTTTGATATATTGCGGAAATCGATTTAATGCAATACTGTGGAATAGCATATTATTAGACCGCAATGTAAGCCTTTTAATCATTCATATCGTTTTAAAAAGCTATTAAATCATTATTTCTGATAGTGGGTATGGAAATAATGTTGTTGTCCCTTACTGTACATTCGGAAATTAATTATTTAATGAATTTTACTAGATAGAGTGGCATGATTTGAGTAGGACATGTGGTTTTTATTCAAAAACTTTAGCAGTTTCGGGTAGGATATTTCCGATTTCACTATATGATACAGATTAGAATTTGATTTCAGTGAAAGTTATGACATATTTTAAAATACCAAGTATTATTTTCATCAATGCTAAAATATAAATATCATCAACTTTAATCAATATCTTCAAGTTAAAATTCATTTACAACTGATACTCGGACGATATTGCTGATCTTGGATTGAAAAGTTATTATCTATCTATTTGTAATTGTCATGTTAAAATGTCTATGATATGGATAGACATTTTATGGTTATCAATTCGATAGCATGAGATTGAATGGTGAAGGAAAAAATAATTGAGGAGATGGTTATGTTAGTTACCGCTACCAACATAAACAGTACTTGTAATAGCATAAAATAGGTAGATGATAAATATAGAGAAAGGTTTACAAAAGTAACTTGATCTAACTAGTTGAATCACAAAAGAATAAGACAATCAGTGAATATTATATCCTTAATATTTAGGTTTATAAAGAAGAAATGAAAAAAGATTTAAAATACGAACCCTAACCTTATCCTCTAACTGTAGACTTTCGAATAACGGGATATTATAGAACAGCTGGTGTAGACTAACATGGCGGATGTTACTTATTGGTATGTGATAAAAGCATAAAATAATGAAATTGAGCTGATATGTTCAGTTTTAGTCTATTTTTGTTCCTCGAAACTAATAGTAAGCCATTGAAATAAAGATAGAAGTATCAGAAATATTTAAGAATAGCTACGTGCAAATGAATAGAGACAAATATATCATCTTATAACTATAGAAAACAAAGAATGATGAAAATAAAGTTAGATTTTTCCATTTTAGTGACACGTTGAAAAAGAAGATAATACTCAATATGTAGAACAAAGATGCGGCAATTAGGAAGAGGATATAGTGAAAGATGAGGAATGAAGATATAAATATCGAGATGAAAAGAGAATAGCAGATGTAGATTGATATAGCAAGACATTTCCTTTTTCATTAGAATGGATGAATATGTGAAATGAGAGAATGAGATTCTATTTTTTAATTTTAGCCTTCAACTGTATCACAAATTAAGGTTAGAATTTAAAACAAAGGTATGAAACTTGGAAAGGAACTGAAAGGTTGCAGATTAATAATATATGCATGTTATTTTGACCTCTAATCAAAGCCTAGACAATTAATTGAGAACAACTCCTCGACCTTTCGAATCATTATTATAGATAACGGTAATGAAGTCCCAAAATTAAAATGAAAAAAAGGATTGTAAATTTAAAACCGATTGTCGTATAAAGTAGAATATAAAGTCCTAAAAATGGCCAAATGTTTTCATATTCAAGTACAAGCTTTGTAGACTTGATAACTAAAAATTTTAAATAGCCCACGATCTTTAGCCTTATATTAGTAAAGCTATTCGAAGTAAAGATGCAAAATACTGAGGCAGGAAATTCAAAGTAAAAAATGAACTATGTAGAATATAGTCAGCGATACAAGTATCGCAGTCCTAAAAGTAATAAATGTACTTTGCCATTTTTGGTCTTTGAAGAGCTAGTTCGAAAAAATGAATTACGAATATAGTCAGCGATACAAGGACTGCAGTCTTGACAGTAACGAATAAACTTTGCCATTTTGAGCCTTAAAAGAGTAGAGACGGATTTGAAATATGCATACACATGCAAAGGATTGAGAAAAGAGATTCAAAATCATAAGATCAGTCTTGGAGAAAAAGGAAAAATGGGCTTTTGTAATGGCTACATACATGCTCGTATATTGCAAAAGTTGAAGCATGATAATAAAATGCCAGAGGCTTCACAGCCTGACTTTATGAAGACTGAGATAGAAAATCAGAATATTGATTATTCTACCTCCTTTAGTCCTACAATGGAGGTTCAAAATAGGGATAGAGTTCTAAGAAATGGGAGGAAAGTAATGGTATAATTAGGAAGGATTTGCAATCTTGGAAATTTCTGCTGTAATAATTAATACAGATATAGCTTTTTACATTAGGATAGGAAAGGCTACGTCTAGAAGATGTTAGAATACC